CGCGGGCTCGGTGGTGGGCGATGCCGCACAGCAGAGGGCGTCCCGGGTTTCCGAGCCGAGCCGATCGCTTCCCGGGCTGGGCTCAGCTCATCGTAGGATCACCGGCTCCTAGATCCTTTTAACCCCCTCCGCCGTCAACGATTTCAGCAGACGGGAACCCCTTGGGAACCCCTTAAAAAAACCCCTGCGCCACGACAACGCGAACCGCCGCATCGACCACTCACCTCAACTCTGTGCGGAGAATGCGTCAAGCATGGTCGCCAGCGTCCTGATATAGAACCGGCGAGGCGCGTGCCCATTGGCTGCGAGGACACGGCGCGGTCACCGATTGGTGGATTTAAAAAAAAACCGCTCCGCCGAGGGTGGTTCGGTCTCGCTCCGCCAAACGCGACCACTTCTCGCGAGACTTGAGCGAATCACCGCCTCCGCACGTAACTTTTAAATTTTAAAAGGCCAACCGACCCCGCTCTCCCCTGCAGCTTGCAACAGCTGGGAAATGGGGGGGGGGGGGGGGGGGGGGGGGGGGGGGGTTAAATATCCGAGTTTATATAGTGTGGTTTATACAGGGAGAGTGGGGTTTATACAGGGAGAGTTGGGTTTATATAGTGGGGTTTATACAGGGAGAGTGGGGTTTATATAGTGGGGTTTATACAGGGAGAGTGGGGTTTATACAGGGAGAGTGGGGTTTATACAGGGAGAGTGGGGTTTATATAGGGAGAGTGGGGTTTATACAGGGAGAGTGGGGTTTATACAGGAAGAGTGGAGTTTATATAGGGAGAATGGGGTTTATACAGGGAGAGTGGGGTTTATACGGAGAGAATGGGGTTTATATAGGGAGAGTGGGGTTTATATAGGGAGAGTGGGGTTTATACAGGGAGAGTGGGGTTTATACAGGAAGAGTGGGGTTTATACAGGGAGAGTGGGGTTTATATAGTGGGGTTTATACAGGGAGAGTGGGGTTTATATAGTGGGGTTTATACAGGGAGAGTGGGGTTTATACAGGGAGAATGGAGTTTATATAAAGAGAGTGGGGTTTATATAGAGAGAGTGGGGTTTATACAGGGAGAATGGGGTTTATACAGGGAGAGGGGTTTATATAAGGAGAAGGGTTTATATAGGGAGAGTGGGGTTTATACAGGGAGAGTGGGGTTTATACAGGAAGAGTGGGGTTTATACAGGGAGAGTGGGGTTTATATAGGGAGAGTGGGGTTTATAGAGGGAGAGTGGGGTTTATAAAGGGAGAGTGGGGTTTATACAGGGAGAGTGGGGTTTATACAAGGAGAGTGGGGTTTATATAGGGAGAGTGGGGTTTATAGAGGGAGAGTGGGGTTTATACAGGGAGAATGGGGTTTATACAGGGAGAGTGGGGTTTATACAGGGAGAGTGGGGTTTATAAAGGGAGAGTGGGGTTTATACAGGGAGAGTGGGGTTTATACAGGGAGAGTGTGGTTTATATAGTGGAGTTTATACAGGGAGAATGGGGTTTATATAGGAAGAGTGGGGTTTAAATAGGGAGAGTTGGGTTTATACAGGGAGAGTGGGGTTTATATAGGGAGAGTGGGGTTTATATAGGGAGAGTGGGGTTTATGCAGGGAGAATGGGGTTTATATAGGGAGAGTGGGGTTTAAATAGGGAGAGTGGGGTTTATACAGGGAGAGTGGGGTTTATATAGGGAGAGTGGGGTTTATACAGGGAGACTGGGGTTTATACAGGGAGAGTGGGGTTTATACAGGGAGAGTGTGGTTTATATAGGGAGAGTGGGGTTTATAAAGGGAGAGTGGGGTTTATACAGAGCGAGTGGAGTTTATACGGAGAGAATGGGGTTTATATAGGGAGAGTGTGGTTTATATAGGGAGAGTGGGGTTTATATAGGGAGAGTGGGGTTTATACAGGACCAGTGGGGTTTATACAGGGAGAGTTGGGTTTATATAGTGGGGTTTATACAGGGAGAATGGGGTTTATATAGGGAGAGTGGAGTTTATACAGGAAGAGTGGGGTTTATACAGGGAGAGTGGGGTTTATATAGTGGGGTTTATACAGGGAGAATGGGGTTTATATAGGGAGAGTGGGGCTTAAACAGGGAGAGTGGGGTTTATATAGGGAGAGTGGGGTTTATACAGGGAGAGTGGGGTTTATATAGGGAGAGTGGGGTTTATACAGGGAGAGTGGGGTTTATATAGTGGGGTTTATATAGGGAGAATGGGGTTTATACAGGGAGAGTGGGGTTTATACAGAGCGAGTTGGGTTTATACAGGGAGAGTGGGGTTTATACAGGGAGAGTGGGGTTTATATAGGGAGAGTGGGGTTTATACAGGGAGAATGGGGTTTATATAGGGAGAGTGGGGTTTATATAGGGAGAGTGGGGTTTATACAGGAAGAGTGGGGTTTATACAGGGAGAGTGGGGTTTATATAGTGGGGTTTATACAGGGAGAATGGGGTTTATACAGGGAGAGTGGGGTTTATACAGGGAGAGTGGGGTTTATATAGGGAGAGTGGGGTTTATATAGGGAGAGTGGGGTTTATATAGGGAGAGTGGGGTTTATACAGAGCGAGTGGAGTTTATACAGGGAGAGTGGGGTTTATACAGGGAGAGTGGGGTTTATACAGGGAAAGTGGGGTTTATATAGAGAGAGTGGGGTTTATATTGAGAGTGAGGTGTATGTAGGGAGAATGAGGTTCATATAGAGAGAGCAGGGTTTTTATAGAGTGGGTTTTATATAAGGAGAGTGGGGTTTATATCAGGAGAGTGGGGTTTATATAGGGAGAGTGGTGTTTATACAGGTGTCGTGACATTGAATGAGTCACTGGAATGCGTGCCGCTGGGAGATTGGTAGACAATGGAATTAGGGGTAGCAGCAGCCCGTTCTACCAGTTGGACCTGTGGGCAAGGCACGGAGCCATCTGGGGGATCCAGAGGGGTGCGGGGCAGAGGGCGGAGCCTGGCCATGCTGGGCTGGATAAAAGGTGAGCTCCGACTCAGTTGGGGCTGCTGAGATCACGAGTGGAACTCGTCGTGCTATCGTCGATGTGATCTTCGCCCTCTTCCAGCTGTGGGTCTTGCAGCATGTTGGCTGTCCCGATCCGGTGTGTAGTTATCCCCCAAAGCTGGGAAGGCCGGAATAAAAGAGAGAGTACCTCCCTTCTAGTGTCTGTGAATGAGTACAGTACACAGTTAGTGGGCTTTTAACACTTGGGTGTATACAGGGAGAGTGGGGGAGGGGGTTTGACACCCAGGTTTATACAAGGGAGAGTGAGTGTGTTTAACCATTATATTTACACCCTGATGCCGTCCGCTGCCAGTTCAACTATATCGAAGCGATAGCCGCTCGCGTTCACTTGAAACATGGACGTTGCATGGCCCATTTCGCTTCAAGCCTCCGTGCAATTCTCTTGCGCGTATTGGCGGTTGGAAGCTGCGTAACGCTGTTACCTTGGAACCGTTTTGTTCTTTCCCTTCCCCGCTCTGCGTCGCCGTTCATGATTACAATGAGTTTCACCCACAGAGCCACGTATGTGCCCACAAACACACGCGCGTGTGACGGTCCCATTTATGATATTGTTATAATGACTTGACACGCTTGTCTTGAGACGGTTTCTTTATTGTAGAGACGCGTTCACTCGAACAGGCGGAGGACCCCACTGCAACAGCCCCGAGTCTCCCACGCATCTCCCTTTTTACGGATCGAGGCCACGCCCCATTCCCGAACCTTCTTGTTGGCTCTAGAGCGCTCACTCCACCTGCAAACTCTACCGTTCTCTTCCGTCACCTGCCCACGCTCCTATTCGCGATCATTACCATAACCACCAGTCCCTTAGTACTGAAAGCCGATACCCCTGTCATTACCTCCCGTGGCCACTCGTCCATTTGCACTGTAGGCTGACTCCCCTGTCATTACCTCCCGTGGCCACTAGTCTGCTCACACCACAAGTTCTCGACTGTCATTACATTAATGGCTCTTCTTCTTTCCCACAGCCAGTGCCGGATGAAGGCAGTGCAGGGCCTGTAGCACGTGTTATATAGGAGCCCTAAATAAAAAATAACCCCACAAATATTAAAACACAAATGTTTTACTTGCATAGTAAAGTAATTGCATTTTTTTACTTGTTATACAGCCAGATAATACGACAAATCGCTAACCTTAAACACCCAGTCGTTCATAAAAGTTGAAGGCGGTATAGTACTATAGTTATAGAGCAAGTGCAGAATCACTGAACCGGAATTGATAGCGTGAAAGCATTTAGCACGGGGGCCCTTGAAAGTGTGGGGCCCGTAGCATATGCTACTTTTGCTACTCAGATAATCCGGCACTGCCCACAGCGGCTATAATTATCGCGACGATGCAAGAAGTAGTGAGCAGAGGCTCTGCGCAGAGACTGGTGAAGGGAACAGAAAACTAAAATTCCATACTTGGCATATTGGGTATGGCTAACGTTGGCCAAACGTTGCATGTTTACTGGGAGCCAACATTTTCCACGGCTCGGTTTTAATCTACGCGAATCAAGCCCATGACCGGAGTACATAAATCTGCAGTTTCTCCCACACCTCGTCTTCTTAAAGTCTGCTTGTCCGCAGTCACCTCACCCATCCGCGAAATAGCGATATTGTTCATGAATAAACGTAAGCATTTTAATTCTGCTGTGTCCGATAGAACGTGCCAAAGTTAAATAATATCCAGCAAACTTGATCTCCTTACGACACTGCTAGCCCATAACCTGAACAGCTCATCCCTGGGCTTAAACCGAACCTACCTTGGCTGTGACCATGTATGAACCAAAGACACATTTACGACCCAAATAAATCAACGACTAACCGCGAAGTAGGTGTTGGACGTCAGGGGTGTGGGCACATCACTTCAAAATTAGGCCGAGTGGAAATTGTCAGCAGAATTGTAATCCAGATCCCAATTCCGAACCGGCCACCTCTAAGGGTGCACGATATCTGTTTGGATCCCCTACACTTAAGCAGGAACCGACACCGATGAACACAAAAAAACACGTGTTTTAGGGTACAGCAAGTATAACTTTTATTTAAAAAAAATGTTATGCCATAACGAGCAGATGTCACATCGTTTTTATTTAATGAGACGCTTTCACCGCTCCCCCCGGGCTCATTTGCTGTGAATGAACACTGCTGTAATGTATAATCGTCATTACTAGATATACTTTGATCCATGTCTCCCTTGAAATATACTTTTCGTCTCAATGGGCTTTCACCTGGATACAAATATAGAGCGGGCAATGGCTCTCTACTGGACCAGGTGAGAGTGGCTTTCCCAGAGAGGCTGCTCCCTCACTGCTCAAAGCAGTCGAATCACCTCACCTAGCATGTGGCCAGGGTGTCTAGGGCTGACCAATCACAATTAATCACGCAACAGAAGAGTCCATGGGACCAGACAAGAAGTCGTGTAACAATTCATCCCTCCTCCCCCTCCCCAGCGAAGTCGATCATTTGTCATGAATTTTGGGCGGCGACTTTACTCAAGAACGTAACAATTGTATAATTTGAGATTTTATATGACATTATCATACACGTATATGATTTGATGCATGAACCGTGAGTGTAAAGAGTAGAATTTTAATTGATAAATTGATGCATCATTACATGCCCACATACTATTTCACCCTTCGCTACCACCCGTGGTGGCAAAACGTAATCGTTATTAATTAACAGCCCCAAAAGACTGAATTTATAAACACCACTCACATAAGCAACGCATGTGAAAAAAGTTATCAAGTTAATTATCACACCTGATGATGACTGCTTGTGTTGCAGTTGAAACGTCGTGATAATTTTGCTTTATATTTTTATTCTTTTGTTTCCCTTCTACGTGACTTTACCGAAAGAACCAAGAATATAAGTTAATTCACATTTATTGATAATTTAAAGAAATCGTTACGATTCGTGTTTTGCTACCAAGTTAAGTTCTCCGCCTCGTTGACAAACGGCGAAGCGTCATATTCCCAATTCGAGGAGCGGAGCGACGAAACCGACCCAAAAATGAAACCTGTTCATAATTTGTTCTCCGATCACGACCAAAAGAAACCCAAAAGGATGCTGCCACCAGAGTCATGACGCATGACATACGACTTGAGTCCAGCATCTAAAGCTGGGGTGGGACACCTTTTTTCTTATCGAGGGCCATATAGGATTCTCAAATACCTTTAATCGGACTGCACTGAACACACGGCTGGCGTTATCTAATAATAATAAAAAATAATGTAACGTGAAAAGAACTCGGGCTGACCTTTTACCGCTTTACTTTCACTGCAACGCATTGATGCCGGGTCGGCGTGTGAATAGTACGCTTGTAGTGATAAATATAGTTTGGGAGCCATAACGAAGCGGTAGGCCTCATGTGGCCGCAGTCCGTACGCGTTGAGGTCGTGGGCCAGATACGGCCCGCGAATAGCAGGTTCCCCATTCCTGCTCTGAAGCCACCGTAATATCAGACCTGGCGTCAGCATCAGCCGACAGACGTTTCGGGGTTCATGAGGCAATGTGTGAAAAAGACTGCAGCTAATTTTGCTGTGTCTGTTCCACCTGAAGACGGAAGCTTGTGTTGCCTCCGAAACGTCGTGATTTAATTTAGTTTTCATTTTATTTTACCTACGTGACTTTACCGAAAAAACCAAAGAGTACGTTCCACGGTTATTAGTGGGGCCCTTGGAGCAATGTTGCTGTCCGTAAGCCCAATGATAACGTTCATGGTCAGGGCAGAGGCCAGACTTACTAACAAAGCATGTAACGATTCGCCTTCCCACTGTGTCCATGAAACGTGGTAAAAAACACAGTAATCAAATTGTGTCATTTATACCGACCCGCTTGTACAGTTTATTCAGTTTTTTTTATACTTTTGTTGTCTCCGTTCATCTCAATTTCTAACATGTAATTTGCATAACTTGTAAATAATTGATTCTCACGCACACACACACACGTCTTAATGCGTGTATTCAGAGCAGAATAACTGATTTTAACAGATGAATGGATACATCTTCACTGTTGCCCAGTGAACATGCAAACGTTGGCCCAACATCAACCAACGTTTGCATGTTCACTGGGTACATGCCTCAATCTGATCCCACAGAACAGCTCGTGGGGTCGAGCTTCCATGCGCGCTGTGCCGCACCTCGGAACACCGAGCCTCCCGATGAAGTTCAGCCGCTATAGCTGTGTTCACACCAGGGCCACGGATTCACAACAGGTCCACTGAGAACCGAACTCTCCCACTCCGAAATGGATCTCGTTTATGCCACTTCAAAAGGAAAATATGGCTCAAAAATAGAGACAGCGGTCGCAATCCCAATGGTTGAAGCCCTCTTGAATGTCCCTTGTGTTCCTCTCCATTTGCTTGGAGCCGCAGGTCTGAGAATGTAGCGTCCTAATAGGAACCCCCATTCCCGTCGTGTTCTCAACAAGTGGCCACTGGTACAGACTAAATCCCCTAGTGTAAACACAGCTAATGCACCTAAATTAGTAACCATAAGCAAAAGACGTGGAGTTGAACATGATTACACAGATGACAGTGGTAGAGCACTGTAGTCACATTTACCCTACGCTGTGCAAGTTTGCGATCTCTGCAGTTGCATCAAATACGTGGACACGGGAGTACATTAGGCATCACAGTTTTCCTTCAGGAAACAAAAAAAAAGTACGAGTACATTTGCAGCAGGATCGACGAAAAGCGAAAGCCACACTGGGAAAGGCTCCGTGGCTGGCTTAAGTCTTTCACTGCCTCCTAGAATACACGACCCCGGAAAGAACAGGCGCGATAACTTTCCAGGGTCGTACGCAGGAGGGAGGGGGGGGGGGGTCCAGGATTCAACAACAGAGGAAATGTCTCCAATCCAACGCTCCTCGTCCGCATCAGCACGAGAACCAGGTGCGCAGTAAATCATTGTCTCTCTCTCTCTCTCTTAACACAAAGCACGTCCAAAACAGGTCATCGATATGTCCACACAGGGCCCGAGTTTGAGAAATGTCACCTGTCCGTCATCACCAATAATCAAGCGAACACCTTAATCATTTGGGACATGTGCCGCCAACTCCTTTGCTACACGTGCATTGCACGCGTTTCCAATGTGGGGCTAAGACAGGCATACGTCATTCTCTCCCTCGCCCCTCTACGCCCACCTCCGTAAACACCTCCATCAGGTATGAGACACAAGAGTCACACCAAACACAAACACTATCTGGGTCAGACCTCCCACAAATACTTTGTAGGACTTGCAAATTACAAATGGTTTGCGTCTGTGTCGAGATGTTAACTACCTCGTCTGGTATACAGATTGTGGGTTCAATCCAGACCCTCACGTCTGTATAGAAACATGCGTTTAGATTATTTGGCTGCTATAAATTTCCACATGAATAGCCACTTTCGTTGAGGTATCATTTTGTGGCCAGATCGCTTCTGAAAAGAGCCACATAGCTCAGTGGGTCTTACCTGGTAAAATAAAAATAGTTTCGCTTGGGTGTTTAGAGACTGATTAGCAGGGTGGGCGGGCATTGCATGCTCTGCTCGCCTCACTTCCGCCTTAGTTTGTAAGGCCTGAGTGCGATTGTTAACTTTTGGAAATTTTGGCCTCCTAAAGGACAAATACCGTTTTGTGTATGAATGCGTGGACTCCGATCGGATACAAAGAAGCCTTGAGCTCGCTTTTTTCACAGTTGGCTTGCCAGCAAGGCTTCGAGATTACAAAAGAATATAACATCAACGAAAACGTCAGCTAGACCAAAATGACGGGCGTATGGTTACGATTACAAGAAGTATAACAAGCTGTAACAGGCATTATATCTAAAGTTCTAAACATACTGCGGCGAACTTGAAATACTGTTGGAATTTCCGTTACAATGAAAAGTGCGGTCGGCACGCCCACCGACCGGGATCGTAGCATCATCGGCCCAGCGTGCGTTGCTGCTGCTGCTGCTGCTCAGTGGTTGCCTGTAGTTCTGTTTGTTTCAGGTCTAGTCCTATAGTCCAGGTGATACCAGCGCCACCCACGGCCCCCCTCCCCCCGCCGTCGGCTCCTCCTTGTGCCGCAGTCCAGGCCCGAAGGCCGAGGTCCCCTGGGGACCATCGCGGTGGTGGAGGCCACTGACGCAGGCTACTCGCTCGGGCTGGGCTGCGTGTCGTTTAGAGAATCCTTCTCCTTGCTGCTCACCGAGTCGTCGTCCGACAGGTCGCCTTCGAAGGAGGAGTGCTGCACAGTGCGGCGTCCGGTTCGGCTACTGCCGCTACCGCTGGCGGCGCCGCCGCCGCTGCTGAATGAGAAGGCGCCGCCTCGCCTGGGGTGGGTGGGCGATGGGGTGTGAAAATCATGACGAGGGGAGGGGTAAGGGTGAAGTTACAAGAGAGCTTCACTGCTGATTTATTCTCATTAGCAGAACATGATACTCGTTAGCACCACTACCACCACCACCATGAATGTGGGATGCAAAGAGATACAAGCAAAGCCCTAGGCCCCTAGAGGGCAGCAGCGGTGAGTTCAGCATCCTCAATTAAACCAGGTGAGACCCTATTGAGGTTGTGGATTTTTTTTTATGGGTAGCCGTAGTTCGGCAGAAGCAGTTATTTTCGAGATCGTATAAAATAGGTTGCAGGTAATTTATACAATTTGGGCTGCAACACTGGCTCCCATTGGTCTACCCTTTTAATAATAACGTCCTTTGTTTTGGAAAGCCTCGCCGACTGTCAAGACTTTTTCAGGAGGATCTTGCGTTGCAATATTTGGCCAATTCCTTTTCGTATTTTTCTCATGGGGAAAAACTGGCATGACCACACGATACCCGCCACGCATACGAGGGGGTGTGGGGGGGGTTATACTCGACTGTCTACATGGATAGCTCCACGAGTGATAGCACAGGGCTATTACAATTCCATTTCGAAGTTGACAGCACATTCGGCAATATTTTGCATAATTCACCAGGCAGCTGCCAGGAATAAGCAGTCACCTCCCTGAAAAGCAGCCATGGTGCCGAGCACATTCACTTCTACGCTACCTCGCCTGGTATGCAGGAGGTTGTGGGTTCGATCCCAACCCCTGTATATTTATGTTTGCATATTCTCCCCGTGGTCGCGTGGATTTTTTTCCTCCGGGTCCTCTGGGTTTTCCTTCCACATTTAGAAACACGCGTTTAGATTATTTGGCTGCTATAAATTTCCACATCATAAGCCACTTAGTTGAGCTATCATATGTGGACAGGTCGCTTCTGAAAAAGAAGCAAAAAGCTAATTGGCTATACCTGGTAAAATATAAATTGTTTACTTTCACTTTTTTAGTTATTTGCTTCACTAAAAAGATTCTGAACTCCAAAGCATCGCGTGACCAGGCACCTGCCCCAGCGAGAATCACCGACATGCGCAGGATAGATCACCCGTGAAGAGCGTTGTTGTGCGTGCAGAGGGTGACGCAAGAGCTAGCAATAGCGACAGACGTGGCAAGGCGGCCCTGCGTGACACTGCACTGCTACACACGGGGGGGGGGGGGTGGGGGGAGTGCCACTCAAGTCGTCGGCAACGCTTTATCATTTCCTCCAGATCAGGCCGATCCAGTGCTCACTGCCAATTGCACTTATTGAGTTCGGTTAACTTGGCAATGGTCGCGTATTGAGCAGCAGCAGCAGCTGCGAATTTGACCGACGACGGCTCTGACGGAGGAAATGGTCAACCAAGGTGCAGACGACAGGAAGCAGGGAACTCAGACCGGAGCCTTACTTGTCAGGTTTGTTAAATCGGGTGCTGTTTCCGGGTGAGAAAAAAAAAACCACGAGTCAGTCCATCAACAAACAACATCATCACGACCACCACCGTGCTGTGTACGCTCGTCGTTCAAACAAATATCGTTACAAAAATATGTCATGACCACAACGCACAGCTTGTGAGGTTTTTCTGTTTGGGCCGAGGCGGCATGGGCAGCACGCCGCTGCGTTGCTGTGCCACGTCGTTGCGGTGTCGGTTTCGCCGTTGTGCCGACGTGCCGCGGTGTCGCCAAGCTGCTGTGTGGACGCGTCACCGCCGCGTCGCGGCGTCACTGCCTGCGTTGTGGCGTCGCCAGCCATGCGCCGGGCGCTGCTGCCGCCGCCGCTGCCCGCCGCCGCCGCGTAGCTCACCTGAGCTTGCTCTTGAGGGTGTTCACCTCACGGTTCATCGCCTCCGAGTGCTCCAAGGCATCGTCCAGCTCGCGCTGCAGCTTGCGCCGCGCCGCATTGGCGCGCGTTGCCTCCTCCTCCGCCTCCTCGAGCTGCCGCTTCAGCGCCTTCACGCGGGACATCGCCTTCTCCACCTGCCGGTGGTGGGTGAAGCAGTGCGGGGGGGGGGGGGTTACGACGTTGAAGGGCACTATTAAGATAAACTATCGTTTATTTTACCAGATAAGGGCTCACCGAGCTATGTAGCTCTTTGTCAGAAGCGACCTAGCCACAAATGACAGCTCTTAACAGAAGTGGCGTATCATTACGTGGACATTTATAGCAGCCAAATACTCTAAACGCAAGTTGGTTCTCAATGTGGAGGGAAAAACAGGAGTACTTGGAGAAAAATCCACACGACCACGGGGAGAACACGCGAATATATGAGGCGTCAGGGTTGGGAACGAACCCACGACCTCATGTATACCAGGCGAGGTAGTCAACATCTCGCCACTGTGGATTCACCACACGGAGAGGAGGGAAGGAGGTGCGCTCTCAGAGCATCTGGATTCTGTGTGATTAAATAAGACTTGGGTTTGAATGGCATCAATGTACACAACACACGCAGTGAATGACGGTGAATTCCCCAGAACGCAGCTGGAAAGCGTTCCTCTGCAGAGGAAGCGAGTGCTGGGTGTGAAAGCTCAGATAAAACGTGTGGGTGTCCATGGAAGGGTAGCGGTGTCCATTGTATTCCCGAAGGCTTTTGAGGAAATTTCAAGTTCACAACCTGATTAATTGAAGAGGATGCTGACGTCACGAAAACGAACGCTGCTGCTGCAGCACGCACTTCCTGCCTGATTTGCCTCCTCCGTGGTGCGCAGTGGCCACCGCGGTCCCACGTTGCCACGTCGGCGACACAAGTGGCCACCATAATCCCCCGTCGGCCACCACCCTCACCCCCCAACGCGGCCATCGCATCCCACTTGGGAGCCCTGGCGGGCCCACCAGTCGTGCCGAATGTACCTGCTCCTTGTAGGTGTCTCCGTGGCGACGCTCATCCTCCACTTGTAGCATAACCTCCTTCAGCCGCTTCTCCGAGCGCCGTACCAGTTTGTTGGCTCCTGTTCGCTCCCTGCGACGGCGTTCAAGCAACCGCTTTTGAATTGCAAACATTTCCCTCGCGGCATTCAGTTGGTGCTCACGGTGTTTTAAATTAAATAACAATAGCAGCCTGGTCGGGCACTGGGACAACAGTGTCCAGGATAGTTTGAGGAGCGTTGATGAGATTTTAAGTAAAAAAAACAGAAATTTTTATTATTTTTAATAGTGTATGTGTTGTTTGTCTCAACTCTTTTTTTTGAAATCTGTAATTGTTAGTGTCAATGTTAGGTTAGTAACACTTCATGCTCTCCAGTTTCCTGGACGAAAAGTGGGCTAAGTTTTGCCCAAGTTGTTGAGCCACCTGGTTCAACAATTTTATAAACTAAACACATGGACACGCACGCACATGTGAAATGTGTCGTACACAGATACATTCACGGACACATGTATGGACACACAGGTACGACCGGCCCATCGGTACGAGGCACGTACCGAGCCTCGTGCTCCAGCTGCTCCTCCATGGTGGCCACCTTGGCCTCCAACGCCGTAACGGTGCTCTTGTATTTGGCCTTGACAGACGTCTCCAGCTCCGCCAGCTTCGCCCGCAGCTCCTTGTTCTGCCGCTCCAGCTGCTGGCGCGCGTTGTCATTCTTCTGCGCATTGCTGCGCTCCGCCGTCACCTCCGCCGTCAGCTGCTCCGCCTGCTCGTGCACGCATGCACACGTGCACACGCTATACAAATTCTAGTCTCTTACAGCCCTTCGTTAATCCACTGATGGATGAAGGACTGCCCCACGCCATAGTGCCGTGGGAGTTGTTTGATCAATGTGAAGTATAGTCAAAGTGAATTAGTGAAGCGGTTGTTGGGGGGGGGAGCATAGTTCCATGCGTTAGCTACTGTTCTACCATCAGGCTATGTTTGTTTACTTATTTTGCTGAGTACAGGAACAAAACTACTCCCATCTCAAACATTCAGCGTTTTCTCAACGTATTTTGACTTCCGGGCTGCGGTTCACATGGCCCGTGAAGTCTTTTCTGGGGTCCTTGGCTTGCTGCACAAGTGCCCTGACTGTACCATTTCATAAGTATTGGTGGCCACTTGCTCCGAATCACAAGTATCAAGTGACTCGTCACACCCTCCAATCATTTGACAACGCGAAGCTGCAGACAGGATGCTCAGGCGCTCCCATGTGCAGTTTGGACAAAGACGCTTCTCTTCTCTCTCTCTCCACCACCACGAGTGCCACCCCTTTCCCATGGCCGATTCATTTCATTGCGGCTGCGTTGGCAGGCGCAGGCTGACCGACCTGCAGGCTGGCCTTGCGGAAGCGGTCGTTGAGCAGCTCGACGCTGCCCTGTTCTTCCTCCAGCTCCTCCTCGAGCTGCGAGATCCGGGCCTCCAGCCGCCGCTTGTCGTCCAGGAGACCGGACCTGCGGAGGGAGGAACACGCGCAACCAAAATTGGCCGAACGTGCCGACGGTCAAATCCCCGCTGCTCACAAGTCCTCCGATTCGGCCGACACTTTTCTGGGTAAGGAAACGTCACCGCTATTGCTCTAAATCCGCATCCACACCCGAGCCATCGGTTGTGCAACCCAAATTGCTCTCGGAATAGCGCAACGTAATCGCCTGCTACCGCTTTGTCCGTATCTTAGTGAGCAGTTGCACAACAGGGAAATTAAAACGGGCTTATTCAGGATTGTAAGAGCAAATCAATCTCGATACAATTAAATAAATTCCCGTAAATCGCTGAGCAGATCGCTTGATAGTAAGCAAGAGTCTGCACTGCAAGAAAGTGCCTGGACTGCACAACTGCTCGCAATGAACTTGAACGTCCACTCACTTCCTAGTTGCCGACCAAACTCCTGCTATGCCTGCACCCAGGGGATGGGGCGGCCGCAGGGGACCTCTCCGAGTCGGTCGGGGAGCACGCACACCGTGCCCTACACAGCGGCGGGCTCACTGCTGTATTTTAACCATGGGAATGGCCACTCACTTCCCGGTGGAGTTGTTGGCCAGCTCCTCCGCCAGCTCGTCGCGCTCCTGCTCCACGTGGCGCCGCGCTCGCTCCGCTCCCGACAGCTCCTGCACCGCACACGGCACGGGGAGGGATGGCTGAGCATGCTGCGTCCGACGCGCAAGGTTCAGGCTAGTGAGCCATCCATCGCCAGTCCTGGAAACTCGACCGTGGTGCTCGCATCCGAGGGATTGCCGAGGTGACAACGGTCCGTGCGCCCTCACCTCTTGCATCGTGATGACCTCCGCCTCCAGGTTCTTCACCTTCTTCTCGTTCTCCTTGCCGGCGCTAAAGGCCTCCTCGCGCGCCGCCCGGGCCTCGTCCAGCTCCCTCTGGAAGTCCTTGAACTGGGCCTGCGCCACGGCCGCAATGACGAGGACAACGGGTGAGACGACAAGACTCGTCGCGCAGCGAAGGACGACGATCGCCGCGCCACGAACCCAGCGATAGAACCTGAATAACGTGTGGACCCGGCAGAGAGCTTCGTCCAATCCCATCCCATTTCCCACACCTCCGATTAGCATGGTTGGGTACGTACGGTGAGAAAGAAGTTCAACATACATGCATACATTGATTCTACCATCTCATTTCTCTCTCTCTAAATATCTTACATAGCGTTCTCATTGAAAAAGGGACTTTTACCTCAAAGGACTCATGCCTGGCTGTAAAGTGCGCGGTTACTGACGATGGACGGGCAGCGATTTTGCATTTCGCTGAATAACATTTTCTCTCTTTTCCACGTTTAACCGAAAAAAAAAATCTCCGCCACGACTATCGTCAAAATCTCACATCGCCCTCGTTCGTCACGCACCATCGCATTAACAAGTGTAAAGCATCTACGCTCAACTGTGTTGTAATGGTGCTGTATAGGGGCAGCCATATTGGTGCGTGCGTGGACAGCACCGTCGCTCTCTGGTCACGGTGTCTACTCGTGAGTTGGAGCGCGGCTAGCGGTGCCGGTGCCACGACCCCAGCCGAACCAACGACACGTGGGTGGCCGCGCTGGGCATTCCTCTCCTCCTCCTCCTGCTGCCACTGTGGGCAACATCGCCCCCAGATCCGGCGGAGCGGCGATCGTGCCCGGCTGCCCACGGCGGCAGATGTCACCGACCTGCAGCTTGCGCAGCTGCTTGACGGCGTCCTCGCGGCCCTTGTTGGCGCCCTCGTTCTGCGACTCCAGCTCCTTGTAGTCCGCCTCCAGCTTCTTCTTGGCGGCGACAGCCAGGGCGCGCTGCTTGCGCTCATCCTCCAGCTCGGACTCCATCTCGCGCACCTGCGTGGAGCGAACAAGCGAGTGCGGCGCACGATGAGCGACGTGCGGCGCACGATGAGCGACGAGCCTGCCGCGTACGACACGGAGCACGCGGTGTAGAGCACAGCACGCGCACAGCACACACAGCAGCCCGCGCAGCACTTGCGTTGCACACGCATTGCGCACACACACACACACAAAGTACACGTGCAATCCACATGGTGCACCCTGTGCATGAACAGTGCGCACATTACACACACAATCAGCATAACACGCACAATACAGACATAACATGCACGTGTAGTACACGTGTAGTGACATAGCGCTGACTGTACGTGCAGGTGGGCACTTGGTACAAATGCCGTTGAGGATATACACAGGGCGGAGGAACTGGGGAAGCCCCTGGAACCCTCTGGTGGGTCCGATAAGGGAGGCGCGGCTAGGGCGGAGCCAAGCTGCGCCGAGGGGAATATAAGCAGCGGAGAGCGAGAGCTCTGGGCTGACGGTTCTGGCATTGGACTCGTCTCCTCGTCGCTGCCGCTTTCGCCCGACCATCGCGCGGCCGGACAGCAGTTGGCTGTCTCGGTCGACGCCATCGGTGCAACGCGGACAGGGTCGTGTCTGGGACGGGTCGTACACGCAGCGTGGTCGTGAGAGGGGGCCCGCGTGGTGGCGTGAACTCAACAACAATAAAAGGGGAGGATGGTGCCTCCTGCGACTACCTCGTCTCCGACTGAATGTGTGCTGACGCACGCCGCCTGCGTGCACACACAAGCCTCGAGCCAGAAGGAAGAAGAGACGCACGACACTACACGTGCATGATAAACACAACACACAGCGCAGCGAAAAGCACAGAGCACGCACGAACACAACGGAACACGCTCGTCCTTGGCCCCGCCGCACCACAGCAAGCGGTGCCGCGCCGCGCTTGTTACCCACGGCACCGCGTGCACGACGCTCGGCCGCAGTGCGGCGGCGAGACAGCAGAGCGAGCGGCGGAGTCGGGCGTAGGGGGACCCTGCCCCCAACAACTTCCGCGCGGCCTCGTCGCCCACCTGCTTGACGAGCGAGCGCCGCTTCTCCTCGCCCTGCTCGTCCTTGCCTTGCAGCTCGCGGTCGTACTGCGCCTTCAGCGCCTGCATGTTGACCTCCAGGCGCAGCTTGGCATCCTCGGTGGCCTGCAGCTCGTCCTCCAGCTCCTCCAGCTGCGTGCGCATCTCCGCCACCTGCTGGTCCAGCGCCCGCTTCGACTTCTCCAGCTCGTGGACCTGAGGAACAACACGCACAGCACACACGGTACGCACACACAGACACACGCGGTGCGAGTTCAACATAGATAGAAAACACGCATGCTCAGGCGTGGGGCCGCGAGCAATTTGACACCGCGAGGCGTACGAGGGGATTTATTCTGGGTGGGTGTGTGCGCCTGTGCAGTTGGGTGCACGCGCGTCTCGGCAAAGGTGATGAAAGGACCTGGAACGCACAGATGCACAGTAGAAAGTCCAAGTGAATTCCTACTCAGAGGAGCGTGGAGGCAGTGCACAGCTCCAGTGGCGGAAGCTCCACATTCCTATGGCAGGGGTAAATCTATCCAAAGGACAATCCTCTGCTGGCTTCCCACAGTGGTACTAATTTCATCGAGCCCGGAGGAATTATGGGCTCAGTCAACCCCCGACCAGGATTTGAACTCGCAACCGTCCAATTCTGAGCCACGAGGCCGGGTACAAGGGAAGGCAAGAACAACAAAATACGTAATGGGTAAAACCACACGCATAACAAAATCTGGCAATGGACTGCAGGCGACGATCATCTGTCACAGCCTGGCGCTGTGAGAACGGCATGAATACCAAATGTACCAACGACTTGATTTGCGCTGCGACGGTCACTTGAGTTTCGTACGGTGGGATGTTTGCAATGCGATTTCTCTCCCGGCGAGCCTTACGCTTTTGCCGACGTCGTCCTTGGAGCTCACGAGGTCCTCCATCTCGGCACGCAGCTGCTTGTTGCTCCGCTCCAGCTCCTCCTTGGCCTCCACCGTCTCCTCGAGTGCCCGTGCCAGCGACAGCGCCTTGGTCTCCTTCTCACGGGCCTCCGCCTCGGCGCGGTCGCGCTCCTCCGCGTAGCGCGCCGACACGCTCTTCTCCTCCGCCAGCATCTGTGGCGGGGTGCGGCGGTGCCGGCGCCATCAGTGTGGGTGGCCGACGGGGCAAACTAGCGCACCTGCCAGTTCAGAATTTATAACGGCACCTGCTTTGCGCTTTCACGTGCCGCAGGTTTTCACAGGCTTTTTTTTTGTAATGGCTTGGGCTGCGTGTTGAGCATTTCTTTTCCGAGCTTTCGTCACGCACTGCTGTGGGGAACCTTGAGGAGTTGAAGTGTGGGCAAAGAAGCCTCGCAGTGGTGAGAGGAGAAACGCTCAAGACGTGGCCCAAACCGGATAAAAAACACACTTGAACCATTACAGGTAAAGCCTGACAGACCACAGGAGAAGTGCTATAAGTGAGCGCCTATTAAACCGAGCAAGAACATGAATGGGCAGGGCGGTCAGTACCACATCCGTCTCCCCCCAGTGCTGATATTCGCACATGACACCAAGTACTCAATTTAAGGCTGAGTCGAACTAAGGATAGCACAGGACAGTTGAAGATATCACCGGCCACGGATACTGCTGTCCATGGCTGGAAATGAAACCCAGGCCACTGGCATCATAGCACACGTGCAAGCTACAAAGACGGTCACTGCATCGTGCGCTTTCAGATGCCATTCTGCGGCCGCCTGGAACGCTCTTCCTTCTGATATTAGGATGCCACTGGAGCTATGCAGTTTTAAATCGAGTTTGAAAACTAAATTCTTTACAACTGCTTTTTGTTTTTAGTTTGTTGTCCATCCCCCACACCTCAGATTAGCACAGTTGGCTATGTACAGTGTGAAAGAAGTTCAGCATACATACTAAACTAAACAATTTTTTTATTTTACCAGGTAAGGCCCAATGAACTATATAGCTATTTTTCAGAAGCGACCTGGCCACAAATGATAGCTCAATTTACAGCAGCCAAATGCTCTAAACGCGACCACGGGGAATGAGAAATGCAAACTCCAAATATACAAGCGTCAAGGTCAGGATAAAACCCAAGACCTCCTGCATAACAGGCAAGATATTTCACATCTCGCCATCGTCGCACCCATACATACATACATACGCTCACACTGCTCCTCTCACACGCACACACACACAGCGTGCTTATGAACAAGGCCACATGGACATCGCCGGTTCCGCCCCCCCCTTCGCTCGCCATCGCGTGGAGGACCAAGTGGCGACGGTCGCCGCGCACCTGGTCAAACTTCTTCTGCTTCTTCTCGAGGTTGGACACGGTCTGCCGCTGCTGGTCCAGATCCACGGTGAGGTCATCGAGCTCCTGCTGCAGACGGTTCTTGGTCTTCTCCACCTTGTCACACGCAGGCGCTCTTCTCCTCCAGCCGCTGGGTCAGCGCCTCCATGTCCTTCAGCATCTTCTTCTTGCCCTCCTCCAGGCCCTCCAGGGACCCCACATCCTCCTCCACCTTCTTGCGCGCCTCAGCCAGCTGTGCGGGGGGGGGAAAGCACGAGGGCGCGTCCCAGTCATCTCCTCTCCCCAAAGACCTTGCAACTGACGCTGCGCATGGTTGTGTGTGCCTGTGCGTGCCAGTGATCACCTCTGTGCCAGTCCGCACACCTATGTATGGCAGTGGGTACGCAAGGGAGACGAAGGTGGTCGGGCATGGTGGTGGCTACCTACCCCCTCGTGTGCTGTGCTGGCCTTCATAGGTGCTCGATAATAGCACTTGCCCAAACAGTCTGTTATAAGCTATACAGGGATCTTAGTCGATGGAAGTGTATATTTGTGTGTACCACTGTATACCCGGGTGTGTCAGTGTGTACCTGCATATGCCAGTGTGTATTTGTGTGTGCCAGTGATCTCCTACGTGTGCCAGTGATCACCTGAGCATGTAGGGAGGTCATCTGCTTCTCCAGGTTCTTCTTCGCCTCCTCTTCCTCCTCCAACTGCTCCTGGAGCCCGTTCTTCTCATCCTCCAGCTGGCGGACCTTTGTGCTGGCATTCAACTTTTGCCGCGTCTCCTCCTGCAGCTGCTCCTGAGGAGGCAGAGCACGCGCGTCAGGTACGGCTCGCTCAGGTTTCACGCGCGGCAAGGTTCGTACGATCCACACGCGTGCACGTGCGTCAAAGCCCCAGGGTGTTTGTCACGTGCCTGCAGCCAGCAGATAGTTTCCTGGACGAGTGACGCAGATTAAAGCCACGAGGCTTGATGAGACCAAGTCAAGTAAATTACATCTTTGTCTTAAACACGTGGTGGCTTGCTGGCACACAAATCTGCCACTCCAAGCGCCAAACTTGGAGAACAGATTTGTCTCATCAAGCTCGTTTTCTGGAGTCCTGCCGAGTTTGCGCATAGGAGCGGGGGGGGAGGGTAGGGTGCGATAATTGCGAATGTATATTCTCAATTATGTAATTAAGTGGGAACCTCAATGTTACACAAAATGTTTCCTTGACTGAAAAGCTGCAGCAGGGAAACACGTTTCAGACCACGTTTGCAGCCCACTGTTCCCGAGGCCCCGAAGATAAAAGGCAACCAATGTACACTCTAGCATCCCAGCGGGCAAAGCAGAATTATATCTGTCTGTATTCCCCTGTGGAACGGATTTTGCACGCCCGCTGGCGTGAATCAATGTGTTCGGTTTCTTAATTTTCAGCTGAGCTCACGCCTGTCTCACATGGTTGACAAAAGCAGCTCACGAAAAAAAACCAGAACAGAGGCAACCTAAAACCCTCTACATTACCAAACGTACGCAGTTGACAACTCGTGGTTAACAATTGGCGAATGTCACAAAATAAAAACTACATTCATTTTTTAAAACTCTTCATTTCTGGACGAGTGGTAATTTGCGCGTGCGAACGAGCATGCAAGTCCGGAGGTCAGCACCTGCGTTTCTTGCAGCTGCGACTCCAGGCTCGACACCTCCTTGGCCAGCTTGTGGGCCTTGCCCTCGGTCTCCGACAGCAACGTGGACACGTTCTCCAGCTCGTTCTGCACCGCGGAGGAGGGAGGTGGGGCACACGGGGGTTCACAGTCGAATCGACGTATGCAGCAAACCAGGGCGATCGACGTGCTTCAAAAGCGACTCCGTTGAATACAGCAGAGGGGGCCAAGATAGTAGCTCCCTTCTGTTGTCTTGATCAGGCACCTCGCACCAACCCTAGCTCTGCTATTTTGATGACGATCAAAACGATGATGGTCATGATCACAGCAACGATAACTGGGATAGTAACAATGATGGTGAAGGTAATTATCATGGCGATGAAGAAAACAAAGGATGACGATGATGATAATAATAACGGTCATGCCGAATACAATGACACCTATCGCCAACGGACACAATGACATCTATAAATCGCGGTAAAACAACGGTGACGACAAAGATATGGTGAAATGTGACGGCGAATACAATGATTGGCGGTGACGGCGATCGTGACGACATCCTTCTTATCAATGGAGACGTGGCGCAAAAGGCTCCAGGGGGCCAACACCGCGAGGCGACCGGCGACAGAGAGAGGGAAAAATGCACGATCGTAACGACATTGACGACGGCGACGATGGTTCGAAGCGCACCTGCAGCTTGGAGGCGCGATCGCCGAGCTCGGCGCGCGACCTCTCGCTCTCCGCCGCCTTGACCTGCAGCTCCTGCAGCAGCCCGTCCGTCTTCTTGCGCTTCTGCTCCGACTCGGAGCGCGACTGCGCCAGTGCGCGCACCTCGGACAGCAGCTCCTGGCGCTCGGCCTCCAGCGACTGCTTCGACTTCTCCAGGTTGCCCTTGAACTGCAGCAGCAACGCCGTGGACACAGAGGCCATGGCGGTCACCAAAACGCACCATCTCAATATGCTCCTCCAACACGTGACCCAGCCGGGATAAAAACCACACCTGAACCATCATAAGTTTAGTCCGACAGACCACAGGACAGGTGCTGTTAGTGAGCACCTATTGGGGGAGACCACGGTGGCGAGATAACTACCTCGCCTGGTTCGATATCGACCTCGACGCCTGTATGTGTTCTCTCCGTGGTCGTGTGTATTTTTCTCCAGGTCTTCCAGTTTTTTCCCTCCACATTTAGAAACGTGCATTTAGAATATTGCCAAATATAAATTTCCACATGATAAGCCACTTCATTGAGCTAACATTTGTGGCCAGGTCAGCTCTAAAAAAAGCGATAGCTCAGTGGGCTCGCAGCAAGGGTTGCACAGGTGGTTGACACCTGACCGTCCTGGACCTCGTCAGCTCTTTCCTCTTGGTTTCTGTCCTCTGGGTGCCCGCTTCAATGCCTGTCTGGGTAACCTGCCCTGACTCTAACAGGGTCCAAGTCAGGGATAGGGAACCTATCGCCACGTGCGGAACAGATACGGCCCATAACTTTATTTCATATGGCCCATGCCCACATGAGGTCCAGGAACAATATATACCGGTCACTGCAAGCATCTTAGTCACACTAAATCGGGTCCTAGAAAGTCAATATTTTCACGCTGGTAGCACAGCGCACTCACTCACTTGTGTCACCGCAAGGGCCTTTTGCCATAGCTGCAACGTGCCCGTCGGAGGTATTTGAAAGTCCCTAGGCAAGGAGGTTACCCACTTCCCTAGTTTAATTGGAATGTCTCCCCCACCCTGGAATCGTTTGCCGATTGCGATAAAGAGATAGAGAGGAGCGCGGAGGAGCTTACCCTCTTCGCCTGCTCCAGCTGCTCCGAGAGCTCTTCCAGCGTCTGGCCGTGGCGGTGCCGCATGTCCACGATGGCCGCCTCATGGGATTTCGTCTCCTCCTCGATCGCCTTCTTCAGCTCCGCCACCTCTTGCTCTCGCTTTGTGCTGCAGGGATCGACGGACGGGTGTGTGGGTGTGTGGGTGTGTGGGCGTCCGATAGTGTAGCGATAGCGCGCTTCGCTGCGAACCCGGCGACCTGAATTAAATTCCCGCTCACGCCCAACACCAGTGACGATTATCTGAACCGGACCTGGGCCTCCCCTGGGTCGACAAATGACTACCTGGTGCGGTGTGTAAACATCACCACTAGGTAGACGAAGGCAGCCGGGCGTGGTGCTGGCCACTCACCCCCTCGTGTGCAGTTTCGGCCTTCATAGTTGCTCGCTAACAGCGCTTGCTCCAACAGTCTATTTAAGGCTATACGGGGGGGGGGGTCTTTGTGTGGGTGTGTGGGCGGGCGGCCACGAGAGAAGAGCGGGATGAGCGCAACGGGGGGTGGATGGAGAGGAAGGTGAATACAAAGACTCGTGGAAACACACGACTTTGGGCGGGCCTGCTGAATTGGGGACGTGCACACACCGATCTGAACCTGGCGTGACTTACATGCCGAATGAAAACGGTCTGTGCTGATTTAACAAAAAAAAGACGTTAATGACGCGACTATTTCACGCGAAGTTTGTTATTTTTAATTCCAAAAACTTCCTTTCTGTCAAATATTGGGCTCCGAAGAGCAACACAGACCGAGCCACAAACACCGAGCCGTCCAACTCTTTCTTCAAAGTCACGGCAAATTCATCGCCGTTTCCATTCCCTCGCAATTTCCTCACTACCCACGAGCAACGTCCCCTGGTCGTCCCCTTCACACGCACGCACGCACACACAGCACACGCACCGGAGCTCCTGCTGGGCGGCAGTGGTGTCGAGGGTGTCCTCAAGCTCCGTCTTGAGGGCCTCGAGCTCCTCGCTGAGGTCTCGCTTCTGCTTCTCGGCCTTGTTCCGCGACGTCTTCTCCGACTCCAGGTCCTCGGCCAACTCGCCCATCTGCGACTGCAGCTCGCGCAGCTGCTTCAGGACGTTGTTCTTCTGCAGAGTTTCCTCGTCGCCCCTGCGCCCGCAACGAGCACGCGGCACACGTGAGCGGCGTGCGCGAGCGACACAACGCGCAGGCGCGACGTTGCACGTGACCACCCCGCACGCGATCGACCAACCTGGCGAGGGCAGCCTGCAGCTCCTCCTCCTTCTTGGCGAGCAGCATCTTGAGCTCAATGATCTGCTGCTGCAGCTCGGCGATCTGGTCCTGCAGGTCGGTGCTCTCCCCGTCCAGCTTGCGCTTCGCCTTCTCCAGCTCCTGCCGCGTCTTCTCCTCCTTCTTGAGGCGCTCTGCGAGGGGTCACGCGGGGGGCGCGGCAGGGAGTTACTGGAACTGGTGGACGCACTGCCTGCACTGTGCTCCGTGCCAACCACTCGTCTCCTACCGCCACTAGCCGAGCTGCATTGGCTTCCGGTTTGCCGAATTAACACTTTATAAGGCCGCACTCATTGCACACAGATGAAGCACAATACCTCGCCGATCTCGGTAAGGAGCATAAACCATCTCGTGAACTCCGGTCATCCTCGCAGCGGCTTTTGGCTAACGAGATGCGCTTCTGCGGCCGTCTGGAACGCTCTTCCTTCCAATATTAGGAAGCCACTGGAGCTATGCACTTTTAAATCATCCAGATTGAAAACTAATTTCTGTAGAACTGCTTTTTAGTTTGTTGTCCTTCTCTCGCACCTCCCATTAGCATGGCTGGCTACGTATGGTGCGAAAGAAGTTCAACATGTATGCATACATACATGTGCGTGGCTGGGGAGAGCAGTGGCGTGGTAGTTAGCAATCTGCGCTATGAACCTGCCGACCAAAGTTTGTTTCCCACTCACGGACAACGTCAATGACGCATATCTGAACTGGCCCTGGTGTTCCCCTAGGTTGACTTAGCCTTAAGTGAGTACCTGAGTGCGGTGTGTGTAAACGTGGCGACTGGGGAGACAAAGGCAGTCAGGCGTGGTGCTGGCCACCCAACCCCTCATGTGCTGTGTGGCCTTAATAGATGCTCACTAACTAACAGCAAAACAATCTGTTAAGGCTATACAGGGGATCTTTGTCTTTGCGCCTGCATGTATACGTGTGTTTGCGTGTGTGCGTGTCTGTATCTGCGTGTGTGTGCGCCTACGTGTGCCTGCGTGTGCCTATGCACGCGTGTGCGCGTGTGTGCAAGGGTTCACCCTCGAGGTCGGCGATCATGGCCTCGTGCTTGTGCTTCACTTTGAGCAGGTTCTTCGCTTTCTCCTCCTCCTCTGTGAGATGCGTCCCAACCTCGGCCACGCGCTCCTCCAGCAGCTTCTTCTCCTGCACGCATGCGGAGCGGGGCCGGTGCGCGTAGAGAGGGAGGGCACGCGTGCGCCCGCGGGAGATGCGTTAGCGTCAAAGGCCCAGGGACCCATCCTCCCCCCCCCAACTCTTCGCTGCGTGTCAGCGTTAATCAATAACCCCATGATGTAATTCGATAAGAGGAAGCTAACGCCAATTTGCAGGCCAGGTGCTAGGTCACCTTGTGCCCACGGGGACAGCTGCCACTGGGGGTGCCCTTTGAAATGTTGAGATGCGATGTTGTCAGGCCGCTGACGGCGTGCGGAAGACGCGACGTCAAAAGCAAATCGTTATCATTACGATCGTGATTGCTCAACCGCCAAGAGCAATTGTAAGCGGAACGAGCAACGTGCCAAACACCTTTGTGATCTTGGAGCTGTGGTCTTCCAGGAGGATGATGTCCTCCTCCATCTTCTTCACCTTCGCCTCCGTCGTCACCTTTTCCAGCTGCAGCTTCTGCCGAGCAGCCTCCTCCTCCTCCAGCTGTTCCTCCAGGTCCTGGGTGAAAAAGTTTTCAACGGGCGCGTCAAGGCGGTCGCCGGCATCACGCTCGCTTTCACGCGCGCTTCCGCGGCCGTCTGCAACGCTCTTCTCCTTCCGATATTAGGAAGACACCGGAGCTGTGCACTTTTAAATCATCCAGATTGAAAACGAATTTAATTCGAACTGCTTTTTCTGTTTTAGTTTGTTGTCCTTCCCCACACCGCTGATTAGCGCGGTTGGCTACCTACGGTGTGAAAGAAGTTCAACATACATACATATATGTCACGCGAGCGGGGCGGCAGAGAACAGAACTCGAACATCATTCACCGATAACACGAAGGCCGCGTGTCAAGTGAAAGGTGGTAAAGCAGGGTGTCGACACGACCAACCCCGGCTGTTTTGAGTGTCCAAATGGGATTCAAGCACAACAAAGTGACGACGTACACTGAAACACGAGAATAAAACGCTATATTTGCCCAAGTATGGGGTGATTTCTGTTGGTGAGCAACTACTCACATTGAGTTGAGCTACGGGAGGCCGTGGATAAAGAATCAAACACACGTACGTCCACAATCGCAGCGGAGTGCGATAACCACTGTGCTCACCACTCCCCAAATCATGTGGAATACACAAAGGAAAAGATCCCCCATATAGCCTTAACAGACTGTTAGGGCAAGTGCTGTTAACAAGAACCCATGAAGGTTGGCACGGCATACGAGAGGGGTGGGTGGCCAGCTCCGCGCCCGGCCGCCTTTGTCTACCCAGTACCGATGTTTACTACACACCGCACCAGGTACTCATTTGAGGACGAGTCGACCTCGGGGAGGAGGCCCAGAACCTGTTCAGATGATCGTCACCGGTGTTGGCCATGAGCAGAAATCAAACTCGGGTCGCTGAGTTCGTAGCGCGGGGCGCTAACCGCTACACGCGCACACGCGCACACACAAGATCTCCGCCTCAACTCGACTCTCTTTCCTTTACTTGGGACGGCGACTGCCAATCATCCGGTGCGCGCATCTGCCAATCATATCGCACCTGCACGTGTTGCTGCATCTTCTTCTTGTCCTGTGCGAGCGCCTGCACGCGCTCCTCTTCCTCCTCGACGCGCGCCTCCAGGTCGTGCAGGATGTCCTCCAGCTCCTGCTTCTTGGCGGCGAGGCGGGAGCGCATCTCCTCCGCCTCGGCGCACAGCTCCGTCTCCGCCTGCAGCTGCTCCGCCAGGATCTGCTTCTCCTCCACGAGCTACAGTGCCAACGAGAGTCACCGTTGTCACCTGTGCTGCCCCGGTCGCCCATACTGCCCCGGTCACCCATGCACCCCGCTCAACCCTTGCACCCCGCTCACCCATCTCACCCTTGCACACCGCTCACCACCCTTGCACCTTTGAATCCTGTTCACCCTTGCACCCCGCTCACCCGTGCAACCTGCTCACCTGCGCGTGCTTGCGCTCCAAATCGACGAGGTCGCACTCGGCTTTGCTCTGTTTCTCCTTCACCTTCTGCAGCTCCTCCTCCTTCGCCTGCAGCTCCTCCTCCTGCCGCGTCACCTGCAGCAGCGGCTTCACCTGCACGCAACGAGCAGGAGGACGGCACACGTGACGCACAGATGGTACAAACGCGGCACACACAAACATAAACGCGCATGGCACACACACACACACACACAGTACACACGTGAGCGGCGCACGCACATGGTACACACGTGCACATACACACAGCACACACACACACACACGGTACGCACACACAAGGTCCACGTCAATCTGTAAGAATGATGCCACCACCATCGACGCCTGCAGAACCAGAAACAATGTAATAACAAGAACAAAGTTAAAAGCTGGTGCCTTCACGCTACTCAATGGACATTGGCATCGGCACTTGTCTCCAGTAGCGAGCTTAAGTCGGTGGTGGAAATTCCACATTCCTCTGTTTTCGACGTGTCTCTCCGAACAGCCACAGTTAATTGGCCGATTAGCACGGTTAGGATATGTACGGTGCGAAAGAAGTTCATCATACACACATATACATGTAGCGTGGTGCTCAATCGATCTACGCTGGAGAGATGTTGGGCCGAGCCGATCACCGGCCGAGATCTGAGTTTCTGGGGCCTTCCGTGAGTGAGGCCGATAATAAATAAACATTCAGATTCTGAAGCGCCCTGGCAACCGCGTCAACCCAGCCTCCGCCCCACCCCCCCCCCCCAGTCCTTCGTGCAAAGTGGCCAAGGAAGGAGAGTTCCTTCACGTCCCCCTCACCTTGGTGAACATACGCCACCACTGCCAGTTGCGGAGCTTGAGGTAGGCGGCGCAGTTCCTCTGGATCACCTTGAGGGCGCTCATTTGCTGCTGCCGGCGCCCAAACGCCCTGCGCGTCACCACGACAAAACGGCGCACGCGCGATTGAGCTGGCGTGGGTGGCCCCCAGCCAGGTGCTCACCGGGGGAGGGCCCCCCTCACCCCCCCCCCTCCTCGGTAAATGCACGGCACAGCTCTTGGCAGGAAGCTTGAGTAACGTGCTCGGACGCGTCGTTGCGCTGTCGTCCAGTACAACGACTAAACTGTTAAAACATTTTTTTACTTTACCAGGTAAGGCCCACCGAGCTATACACAGCTCTTTTTCAGAAGCGACCTGGCCACAAATGATAGCTCAACGAAGTGGCTTACCATTACGTGGAAACTTCGAGCAGCCGAATACTCTAAACGCAAGTTGGTTCTAAATGCGGCGGGAAAAACCGAAGGCCACGGAGAAAAACCCACGTGACCACAGGAAGAGAGAACACACAAACTCCAAATATACAAAGGTCGTCAGGGTCGTGATCGAACCCACGACCTCCTGTACATCAGGCGAGGTAGTTAACATCTCGCCACCGTGGCACCCCTTAAACATCAACTGGCTGTTTAAAGACGTCACGTAATTTACGGGTTTATTAATTGGGTAGAACAGCGTAGCAAATAACGCCCCCCCCCCCTGGCTCCCCACTGAAACTACTGCAGGCAATGAGGAGCATCGACGACTAAAAGAGGGATGCAAAACTGAGCCCTTGCGGGCAGGATGGGAAACCACATGCACAGAGTTTACCACACGGAGATTAGAGGAAGAGCGAAGGTGAGGCGGAAGGATAAAGCAAACGGGGAGCATGACTGCAGTGACGTGAAGGGTGGTGGCGAGACTTTCTCCAGATCGAAGTGGAGGAGGGGAGATCAATTACATAGAAGCGTGGTCACATCAGCCATGAGGATTGTGCGCGATGCTTTTTTATCCACGAACGCATTTAATTTTTTAGCCGCGCGTCGACAGAACCACTGAGCCGGGGCTGCGGGGGGGGGAGGGGGGGGGCAGGCAGCGGGAGTGACTGCGGCCGCGGCAGTTTCCAGAGACGCCCGGGTGCCACCTACTTCCTGGCGAGGTATCCGCGGCACGAGGCCTGGAAAAGGATGACGATGTCAGTGATCTTCATGTCGCGCTCCTCCTCGAGGTGGGCGAGCACGCCCGCGCGGAAGAAGATCTTGCTCTGTCCGATCCGGAAGAGGTTGGGATCCAGCTCCAGTGCCCGGATCTACCGTGAGCGAGGTCAGAGCTCAGCTTTGAGAGAACTTGAGCGGATGATGATGATGCATTACAGCAGCAGCATGAAAACCATCAGGCAGCGTGTACCTACCATGAGTTCGCAGGCTTGCTTTCCGTCCATGAAACCCTTGGGAATGGCATTTGGAGTCAAGATTTCATATCTGCAGTGAAAATCCAGACGAGACGTGTGTTCAGGATAGCAGTGGCTCACACACACTGCTTGGGTGTTGATACACCAGACAGGAGGCGTGCACGAACACTGAACAGGTGCAGGTCACGAGAACACTGGACACGTGTGGTGCGCGAGAAGGCTGATGGGTCATGCGGGGGGGGGTCGACTAACCGCTGGCGGAACTCCTGGAAGACGATGCGGTTGGGGAAGCCCTGCCGGCAGATGCGGATGCCCTCGAGGACTCCGTTACAGCGCAGCTGGTCCAGCACGAGGTGGGGCTCCAGCTTGCCCGCCTGCGTCCAGCGACGCGTGCACAAGCAGGCAAGAAGCACAAGCACTCTAAACTTTAACTTTTAAACTAAACTTTTTCATTTTATTTACCAGGTAATGCCCACTTTTTCAGAAGCGAACTGGCTGAGTCGACCTAGGGGAGGCCCAGGACTGGTTCAGATATTCGTCTCCAATGTTGGCCACGAGCGGGAATCCAACTCGCGTCACCAGGTTCGTACCTTAGTGTGCTAACCGCTACACTACCGCTCCCCACAAGACTCACACACACTCACACAACAACAACCGCCATTCATCACTAAGTGGTGGTGACATCACGACGGTTGTGCCAGGCTATGTGCACGTTGAGGCCACGTGAAGTGTTGAACGCCCGCTGGCAGGTCACGGGGCAGACCCAGGTGCCAGGGGTCGACTGACTGAGATGACTGGCTGATGCACCACCTGTGCGCTCCTCACACAATCCAGCCTGGTTAAACCCAGGATTGATCGGAGGTAGGCCAGCTTAAATGTTTCTAACCAGGTGAATATGTTCCATTAGGGGGGTCCACGTTTCGCAAGCGTAGAGAAGGGAGGGAATGACCGTGGCCGAGAAGGCCTGAAGCTTCGTGCGGAGCGACAGACCAGGTAGCTTCCACACAGCGTTTATACAACCGATGAAAAGATAATGCTGCTCGACTGATTCGGAGTGAGACCTCTGCTGTCATGAGCACACTGCCCAGGTATGGAAAACTCTCCACTCTCTCCAAAAACTGCCCCATCACCAATTGGGAGTTGTGGGGGTGGAGTGTCCGATGGTACAAAATACCCAGGCAGGTGCGTAGTTTTGGTGGGGCTGATGGTAAGGCCCCACCTCTGAGTGGCATGCTCCAAGTTCAGCAGCAGCACCTCCAACTCCTCCTCTGAGTGAGCGGTAATTACCAGATCATCGGCATACATAACGTGGTTTACCAATAGGGAGCCATCCCTTGACCGCACACGGGCATCGATCAGCCTTCCATTGTATCTGTACCAGATGTAAATTCCTCCGGTACAGCCATTAAAGACTTCACGAACGGGGTTTGGCCAGGAGACGTCATAGACGCCTGTTCCCCCGGGGTTACCAGTCTCGCACCCATCCAGAGCCCCCATTTGGCCACTGTGGTGGTTACAAACTCCATGAGGGGAATGGTCAATCTAAATTGGCCCTCCCCCCACGGCACTGCCCACCACAGCTTTGCCGTCTGGGGTTGTTTTTGCCTGACTCACACAGACACACGTGCACGTACATGGCCAATACAGCTCTGAACTGACATATGGGGCCCGTGCCCATGGCAACAAGACAGGGCAGATCTCAGCGCCGCACGCACGTACAAACACGCACGCACGCACACACGCACGCACACACGCACAAACTCACCCTCTTCTCGTGGTTGGGGATGATGCAGCGCACGAAGTTGGGGTTGGTGTTGCGCAGCGTGGCCATGAGCTTGGACAGCTGCTCCTTGTAGAGCTGTCCCACTGTGCGGAACATACCCTTGCGCGTCTTGTAGGTCGAGCCGAACGCCGTCTCTGCCATGCCCGACACCTGGTCCAGCCCCACAATGCGGTCCACTGCCGGTTGGTGAGGGGGGTGGGGGGGGCACCACACGGCGTGGGTGAGCGTCGCTACTACCAACGCAAACCGGCCCCAAAACTGGCTACCCGCCCGCCCACCAACCACGAGCGGCTCGTGTGGTCTACGGTGTTGTCAACACCCTCAACCACCCATCCCCCCCCCCCTCCGTGCCCACCCATTTATCTCTGACCCCCCCAGCCGACCTCTCTGTCGGCTTCAACGCGTGTGGTTTGTTACATCTCTTCCCGCTTGGTATCGCGGCTCAAGGGGTTAATCGGGAGGTTCATTGCAAGGTAACGGTCTCCTTCACTCTCAGGTGCTTCAGCTCTCCCTTTGCTGGACAGGTACGCATCGCGCGTGCTCCATTTATGCCACTGGCAAGCGTAGACTACAATTTGCTTCACAACCCAAATGTTAATTTGAATTACTAGCAGTCATTATCCGAGAGCAATAGTAAATGGAAAGCCCCGTTTAGCCTTTCTCGCTACGCAGCATTGTCGAGTCAAGTGCTGGAAACGTTTCATTTCATTCGTAGGCAGCTGGGTAGCCGGGTGGTCAGCATGCGTCACAATGAGCCAGTCTTGATATATTATGGCATATAAGCATGAAATAAATGCAAATCCTTTCGTCAGCGAGCGCTATTCGTAGGATGGTTCAGTGGCCAGTTTCGCGGGCACCGTTATCAATAGAGCGTGCCGTCTGCCGTTATCAATGTACGTTAAAGGCCCGCGACGTCGCTTGCAAGAGTGGGTTCACGATGTGACGTGTCGCAATGCGAATACAACTGCATTTGAAAACCTACACGAGCACATTTGGTAGTTTGCGCCGTTCTTATCATGCAAGGCCATCGCGAATGGGGCCGTATTTCAAACCGTATTACCCCGCAATTTGGGGCGTTAGCGGGAGATTTGGCAGTAAAAAAATGTCAAACTCGTAAAATTTGCAGAATGTGACGCCGGAACACGTGGCCCCCATTGTTTGTTTTTTTGTTCAAACAACATCCAAGAATATTTAACGTCCACTACGAAGCAGACGACGGTGCCTATTTACGGTTATCGAAACCCACAGTATTCACCAGGGTGGCCACTGGGCTCGAACCACAAACCACTGTTAAATATCCTATCATCATCGTGATCACCCAGGTCTCCCTTCGGGAATTGATATACAGTCATTATTCTAGGTCTCGCCTGCTTAAAAAAGACCCTGGTGTTAATTGTACGAATTACATTGCAACTTTAACACTCTATAATTGGATTATTTTAACAGGATATTTCCCAGTATTGACTTTCAACACGTTAAGCTATTTTACAGAATAATAAAAAAAATCTTAAAATTATCAAATACGAACTTATTCATGAAAATATTAAGCCTCAAAACTAAAAAAAAATAGCTGTAAAATTTCCCCCAAGTTTCTTTATCCAGATACTGTAAGTAAAACTTACTGCACAGGGTGGTCCAGATGTCTTGTGACACCCCCCCCCCCATTCAATTAATTGACCCCTAACATTTCCCCCCCTCCATTCCATATTTATTTCTGCGCTAAATAAACCTTACTTAAAAAAAATATATATTTTTTTGAGAATTAAATGGGGATCACGAGACATCATCTGGACCACCCTGTCCACCACATACCCTGCGCTCTCGTGTCACAGGCCAGTCGCAGCTCTGTGGGTACTGCCCCCGGAAGATCCCACTTGTTGCGCCCGCTATAAAGTCACCCCTTTACAATCGCTGCAGACCACAAGGCTCTGTCCCCCCCTCTGTTTACCATCTCACTCGGCGTACTCAAAATGACTTGATGAAACCCAGGGTTTGCCCCCTGTGAAAGCGGCAATGCTGTTTCACGTGTCAAGGGGTTTCTTCTCAGCTCCCGATTAAACAAAGGTGGCCAACCGACTCGACTCAGCTTTGCAGCCAGACCCTGGCACGACCGTTCTCGGTGCCGGGGCCACCGCTCGTTGTGGGGGAAATGTGGCGAGAGGAACCCAACTCGGACTGAACCCAAACTCGGTTTGTTGTCCTTCCCCAGAACCTCCAATTAGCAATGGTTGGCTACGTACGGTGCGAAAGAAGTTCAACATGCATGCATATATATATCAAAACTCGTGGTGACCCGGAGACGATTTACCAAAAAAGCGTTCATGCAGCGGTGGGAACTCCGGAGTTGCACATTTATTATCAGCGCCGGCAATGCAGCGTGCGCAGCTCCGTTCTTTGGTAAATGCACTCGCGACCGATTTTGCGCCTCGTATGTTCGCTGTGAGATGGAGAGGCTGGGCAGAATATGTTTGCAAACCCCCCCCACCGCCTGCCCTCCCCACCCCCCAACCAGCTTCCGCCATGGCGAGTAGAGGAATGCATAGTAGCGTCTCATGGGGGCGAGAATGCGCAGCGGGTTTTTTGGCACTGAGATATCACGCCTGCCACGAAGGCTGGCCGCACGGCATCCATTACAATGGCATGAGCAACGGAGAGATGGATTAAAAATCGGGTTAGGTGAAGAGCGTGGACCAAGCCAGCATTCCGGGACGGTGGCCAGCGCAACCTCCCTCTGCGATGATTAGCGCCAGCAGACGAAATAAAACCTGCGGTAGCACCAACTCCACGTTACTGCACCACAGTCCGGTTTAGAATAGCGAGGGAAAAATTTGTTATTTTTTGTTGTTGTTTTAATATTCAAAGTCTTTACACGTTGCACTCAATTAAAATTATACACGTTACACGTTTTAATCGGGAAAAATCCCTGCACGTGCGATTTTTAAATCGCTTGTTTTTTTTATTGTGCAATAGAAGCTAGTACTTCCGCAAATTTATACCGACCCTGACGCCGACAAAGCCCGTTTCACTGCATTGACAGCAGTCACCTGGTTGATTGTGAAGCACTGGGAAAGTGTCATAGAAATAGGCTCTCTGAATGCCCTGTACTTCTGCAAGACATGCCAGCGGGGGGGGGGGGGGCCAAGGGAGACAGGCACACGCGCTCTGTAAGGCCCACTTCGCAGAACGCACACACGCGTGCGCGCGCACGCCAAGAGAGAAGCGATGAACACAAACACACACGTCAACATTCAACATAAGCGTGAGCGACGACAGGTCGGGAAAGGAGGAGGGGGGGCTGGGGGAAAGTCCAACAGAATCCACCACAGATAAACAAGGAAAGCGACGTCAGGGACATTGAAACGATCACTGGACAATCGCGGGCCATTACCCAAGCTCACAATCGAGCGAGGGCGTGCACGAGAGTCCCCATAAAGATTCGAAATCGTAGAATGGTGCCCTACTCTCAGTGTGTGCTGTTTCGTCACTCGGGTCGCTGTGCACGCTACCAAACCGTTATTTTTGTGCACAAAGGTTCAGTCGTTTCAAACCAAGTGCTGGTTTATTATCTGGCCAGGTGGAACTATGGGAAACGCACTTGATTCGGCCCATTATTCTTACCACTTTAGTGACTAGTATGCTTTTTCAGAAATCAACGGTGCTTGTCCTCTTGACAGACTGGTGCCCCCTCCACAGCCATGTGTAACTTCCACTCCTTGCCCGAGGGAGCTGCCAGTGGTGATGAGCACAGCCCCATAGTCATGAATACATTGGGGGCACACTGTGGCTTGTTGATAGTTCTTCTATCTGTGTGTGTGTGGGGGGAGCACACGTGGTACTTCTGCTAGTCGTCTCAGTCATCCCATGGCACCTGGGTCTGCCCCGTGACCGCCTGCCAGCGAGCCTTTGACACTTCACATGGCCTCAAAGTGCACCAAGCATGGCACAAGCGCCATGGTCAAGTCAATGCGTTTTTTGTTGTTGTTACGTGTATGTATTTATGTATCTGTATGCATAAACAAGTGTTTATATATGCATATGTGCATGTGTTTACGTGTCGTAAAACTAAGATTACTTTCTGCCAAATCCGCTCTTAGTACAGCGTCTTGAGAGGTTTATCGTTTGTCAAGTCACACGAACTGCAGCCCACGCTGTGTTTGTTGTCCTTCCCCCCGCACCTCCGATTAGCACGGTTGGCTACGTACGGTGCGTGAAAGAAGTTCAACGAACACACGTCGTACGAACCTCGGCGGTAATAATAATGTGGGCTCCGAGCCCATATAGACAAAACTAAGGAGGGAGATTTACATTATGAGACCTCCTTTGCCAGTGACAAGATATAGGAATAGGTTTTACCCTTTTAACTGGCACAAAAACTAACACCTTTATTCAAGGCATCATGTTTGCAATAACCACAACACAAGCAGTCAAAATGCAAATAAAAAAGACAACTCTGATAATAATATGCACTGTCCTTGAATTTGATTGGTCCACACCCGAGACGGCTTTTCTTAGAGCCTAGTCTCCACTGGTGTTGGACCAGAAGACGCCTTTTGGCGTGGAGACTAGGCTCTAAGAAAAGCCGTCTCGGGTGTGGACCAATCAAATTCAAGGACAGTGCATATTATTATCAGAGTTGTCTTTTTTGTTTGCATTTTGACTGCTTGTGTTGTGGTTATTGCAAACATGATGCCTTGAATAAAGGTGTTAGTTTTTGTGCCAGTTAAAAGGGTAAAACCTATTCCTAAGGAGGGAGACTTGCAAGCGACAAAAGCAACAACGCCGATGCCAATTAGTCGAAGCTAAAGGCCCTCATGCACACAGCGCCAGTGCTGGCAAAACGCTCGCCAGGTTGGGTGCGCTCGCGACGCAGCCGCCCGCGTTCGCCGCTCTCACCGTCCTTCCAGAGCTCGGCCACAAATCTGTCGGAGGACTGGTGTAGCAGCGTGGCCACGTTGTCATTCAGAGGGTCCATGTTCTTCATCAGCCACTCGTCAGACTTGTAGTCCACCTACGCGTGGGGATGCGGCAAGCCAGGCATCACGCCATGGCCACCAGCGTACACATCGCAAACGTCGAACACCAGCCACCGTACACAACCGTCATTGCCACCAGCCGACACGAGATGCGCTCCTGCTGCTGGCTGAAACGCCCCTTCCATCCGATATTAGGAAGCCACTTGAGCGATGCACTTTCATATAATCTAGATTGAAAACTAATTTATTTGAGACTGCTTTTTGTGTGTAGTTTATTTTCCTTCCCCCGGCACCTCCGAGTAGCATATATATAGCAATGTACAATCCAAAAGAAGTTCAACATGTGAAAAAATAATAGGTTTTACCCTGATAAGATGTTCAAACACCAGAGAGAAACCTTTTGCAAAGAATCAAGTCTGCATTAACCACACGTACTATAAGGCCTAGTCTTAACATATACAGGGTGCTTAACATTTTTTTTACACTTCTGAGAATTTGCAACAATACCACAAGAAATGTGCTGCTGCCTCCGGGCTCTGGAGACCACCTGGAGAAGATTCCAGGCCACGTGCTGACAATGATTGCTAGCAGGTGGAGACCCTTTGACTTTTTGAAGCCCTTAACAAACATTTGTTATCATGTTACAGTATATTATCCGTTCTTTTTCCATTAAAAACGATAGTCCCATATAAGTATGAAGTTTTTGAAGCACCCTGTATATGCTATCACCATTACACCCACCACCGCAGTACACAAACCAGAATCAGAATATTTATTAATACTGGATGAATTCAATATATTGGAATAACCACCACACACCATGACCACATAGCAACAAAGCATCACACACCAAAACCACAACATACCATCACAAACCAACACCACATACATCAGAATCACACACCAACCACCATGGCACCACCATGGCACCACCATGGCACCACCAGCACACACGTCCATCATACATCACCACACTGAGCACAGACCACCAGCACAGTCACACGCAAGACATACCACACCATGCACAGCGTACAAACTACACAAATTAGACATCTCTCCTTCATTTATAAACCGACTCGTTTAACTGTAACTGCGGACAGGTGAAGAATATGATGGATATTCCAGAGGAGGTGGATGAGTTTTGACAAGTTGGGAACAGAAAGAGACCATGATAAGTCTCTAAAAAAGAATAGGCTTTACCCTTTCCGGAAAGAATACAGGTGGTTTTAAGATGTTCAAACAGCAAGGAGACACAACGCATCAAGTCTGCATAACCACACGTGCTTGTGGCAAAATATGCAAAGAAGAATGCTTTGATAATGTAAGCACTATATTCTTGGTTCTTTTGGTAAAGTCACGTAGAAGGGAAATAATAAAATAATACAAATAAAACAATACAATTTTCATGGCGTTTCGATTGCAACACAAGCAATCATCATCACACCTGATGATGATTGGTTGTGTTGCAATCGAAACGTCGTGATAATTTTATTGTTTTATTTATATTATTTCCCTTCTACGTGACTTTACCGAAATAACCAAGAATATGAATCCCTGCAGTCACGAAAGCTTTAAATCGAAATGTAAGCACTATTTTCTGAAACTGTTTGGCCTACACCAGAGACGGCCTCCTCAATGACCTTGTCTCTGCACAAGTGTTAGACGAGAGATTGCCAAAAGGACGAGCAGCACAAAAGCATTGCAAATATCAAAGCAGTGACACAGCTCGGGTTGAGCAGTTTATAAAGGGTCCCATAGATAAGTCTCATTTGCAAGAGTGATCTGGGTCACGATATTGCCGAAAGCAAAACGAAAAACGAACCGCAATGAAAAAGCTAAATAGAAATCTGCGCAAAGACAACCGTGGCGTTCAGATGCCCACCGACATAAGGGCCAGGGACTTGTTTTACACAAGACAACGCGCATCGGCGGAGCTGCTGAGGGGCCCCACCTTGCCGGCGTAGTGGATCACGCAGAAGTCCGCCTTGTCCTTGAGCTGCTTGGCCTTCATGAACTTGGAGTGGGTGCCCTGCTCCTGAATCAGCTTTTCCACGAACGACTTGTCCGTCGCCTTGGGGAACCAGCACTCCTCGTCCAGCAGCGCCAGGATGCCCGGCGGGTTTGCCTGTCCGGTGGGACGCCGCAAGATACAGTTCACTTACGGCTCGGGGCGCGTGTGCAGCTGTGTGCGTACCGGTGTGTGCCCCTGGGTGTGCACATCAGTGGGGTGCGGTAGGGTAGTGGTTAGCGCGCTACGCTATGAACCCGGAAACCCGCGTTCGGTTCCCGCTCATGGCCAACACCAGTGACAATTACCTGAACCGGTCATAGGCCTCCGATAGGTCAACTAAGCCTTAAAGGAGTACCTGGTGCGCTGTGAAAATATTGGCACGAGGGAGACAAAGGCGGTCGGGCGTGGTGCTTGCCACCCACCCCATCGTGTGCCATTCCGGCTTTCATAGGTGCTCGCTAACATCACTGCCCCGACGGTCTCTACGATCGTGTCGCTATCTCTGCGAGCGTGCACCGGCTTCTCGATGAGCTCGATGCACGGCTGCAGGTCGAGCCCGAAGTCGATGAAGTTCCACTCGATGCCCTCGCGCTGGTACTCCTCCTGCTCCAGCACGAACATCGTGTGGTTGAACAGCTGCTGCAGCTTCTCGTTGGTGTAGTTGATGCACAGCTGCTCAAACGAGTTGAGCTGCGACAAGAGAGAGAGGAAGGGAGGGGAAACGGGCGTGCGCTCATCAGTGTCACCGCCCCGCTGAAGCTCGCCACGCTGCATTGTGGGGAATCCGCCACAATGCCGCGCTGTATAAAATACTCGGGGTGTAGCGGCTTAGTCGATTCATCGATCAGAATCTTTATCGATACTGATGGGTCAAAAATCCATGATGTACGTGTGCAGCCTCCCTTTGTCAATCCACTGCTGGATGAGGGCCTCCCCATGCCGTGCATGTCGCGGGGGTTATAAAACTATTTTGTCTTTTACTAGGTAAGGCACACTGAGCTATATAGCTATTTTTCAGAACCGACCTGCCCACAAATGATAACTCAACGAAGTGGCTTACGTGTACATTTATAGCATACAAATACTCTTAACGTACGCTTATAAATGTGAATAGAAAAACTGGAGAACCTGGATAAAAATTCCACAAGACCACAGGGAGAACATGCAAACTCCAAATATACAGCAGGTGTCAGGGTCAGCATTGAACACACGACCTCCTGTATACCAGGCAAGGGAGTCAACATCTTGCCACTTTGGTAGCCCTTCGATGTTCCTTCACCCACTGTGATCAGTATGGGTAAGTAAGGGTGGCGAGGACCATAGATGTGAGAGCAGAGATGTACAGTACAACAATTGACTTTGTCGAACGTCCGTCTGGCGCCTACCGCTTAGCATTACAACAACCTGCAACAGCTGTTTCAAGTGCACGGCCATCGCTCATCCCAAGCACGATCCTGGCCCAACGCTGCCGAGCTTCCGGGATGTGACGAGGTCGGCCGCATGCCGGGGCGATCTCGTCTTGGGCTCATCGCGAGAAACGTTTCAAACCTTCGTGCTGGAGAGGCCGCGGGCGGTTACCTGGAAGATCTCGAAGCCGGCGATGTCGAGGATGCCGATGAAGGAGGCGCCCTGTCGCTTGGTGCGGTCCAGGGCCTTGTTGAGGCGCAGCACGAGCCAGCGGAACAGACGCTCGTATGTGGCCTTGGCCAGGGCTTCGATCGCAAAGTCAGCCTACGCATGCGTGCGCGGTACAAAGACAAACATCCCCCGTATAGCCTTAACAGACTGTTGCAGCAAGTGCTGTTAGCGAGCACCTACGAAGGCCGGCAGCACGGCACACGAGGGGCTAGGTGGCCAGCACCATGCCCGGCCGCCTTTGTCTCCCCAGTGGCGATGTTCAAACACCGCACCAGGTACTCATTTGAGGCTGAGTCAACCTAGGGGAGATCCAGGACCTGTTCATATAATCGTCACCGGTGTGAGCTGGAATCGAACTCGGGTCGCTGGGTTCGTAGCACAGAGTGTTTACCGTTGCGCGCGACACACACACACACGGCCTTTATCACAGCACCGCATGGGCGCAGCTGCTGTTTGTGAGCACCTGTTCAGGCAGGCAAGGCACAAAACGGAGTGGTGCGACCAGCAGCGCGCTGACGCTTACACGCACGATACAGGGCGGTCATGTTAGGCCACCATCGTTCTAGGGGAGGTGTAGGACAGGCTCTGATCCCATTTTATGCTGGTGTGCATGGTCTGGAATCAAACCTAGGTCATGAGAACTGCAGTGCAGTGTGTGAACCAATGCCAACGCAGCTCCCCGCATCCGCCAACGCTTTATTCGACAGCTCTTGTTTAATCTGCTGCAACACTGCCACAGCTCACCGCGACCTCTTCCCTTCTCCACTCCTCCCTGCCGACTCTCTCTAAATCTCCCGTGGCCCACACAGCCCCCCACGCCTCACCTGCTCCTTGGTCTGCGCCTTCTGCACGTAGTCGCGGCCGACCTTGATCCGCGGGGTGAGGATGGCGCGGCTGAACTCCGTCACGGACACCCCCAGCAGGTGGCACACTTTCTGCGCCGCTGCGATTGGGTCGGGAGGTGCAAGGCAAGAGGAGGGGGGACGTCAAAGCGCTGCGTCGCACGATCGTTAACGAATAGTCAATTAACCAAACGAGTCGAGTCGAAGTCACGCACGCAGAGGCTCGCACGGTCAAAAGAAACGTCTCCGTTCGTAGCCCACCGAAGGGCCACGATAGAAATTCCATAATACCATGGACGGGGCCGGTTCCTCCACGGGATAATCGCGGTTGAATTTCTGCTAAGTTGTAAGTATTTCATCGTCCCTGGATGGATGATAGGATGGTGAGTGTACGCCTAACCGGATTCAGAAACTTCCAGCCTTTTTGACTACGTGCCAAGTGCTCTGGATAATAAAACGAATAACCTAAAAAGGGCATTAATATGAAGGTAATGAACAAAAATGAACATCAAATCAACTTTTTTGTTTCAAAATCACACTCTAAAAATAAAAAGAGCTGCCATTTACCACTAAGTGGTGATGACGTTACAACGCCGCTCGTGCCAGGCTAGGTGCACCGAGGTCGTTACTGATGGGAGGTCATGGGGACAGGACCCAGGTGTTATGGGTTTACTGAATGAGATATTTCACTCGACGCTGGGGGGGATACGAGCGTTCAAGTGGCAGCCCCAAAAATATGGAACACCCCGCCTGCCACCAGATGTCCGAATAGCGGAGCGTGTTTCTCAATTCATTTCTTGAGAACCGCTTTTTGTGTTCAGTTTGTTGTCCTTCCCCCCGCACCTCCGATTATAGCACGGTTGGCTACGTATGGTGCGAAAGAAGTTCCACGTACATAAAATGCAGCTGGCTGCATCTCACAATGATGCTCAATCTCCCAGTTCAAGTCCAGGCTTAGGGGGACCTTCACAAGTCGTTCTCTTCTGCCTATGAAAGAAAATGACCTCGCTACGTAACGGTCGTGTCTCAGCGCACGGCGTCTTGCACGCGTCGTCCCGCATGGGCTGCTCTTAAATTTGTATTGTTTTTATTTTTATTGCAATGTAACGAAGAGCCCGGTACAAGGTACAGACAGATCGCAACAAGGGGGAGGAGGAGGGGGGGGGTTACAAAATCTCCGTGGACTAAAACAAGCCCCAACTCAGCACTCCTGGATCCAAAGATGGGGAGGAGATTGGACTTACTGCCCCACACACACAATGTAGGGGACTGAGTGGGAGCGTCGGTTTTTATATGGGGGTTGTAAGACAAGACTGTGGTGGTGGTGATGTTTTCTGAGAGACGAAGCCTTCCGCAGCCAGGCTCCGAGATTGTGGAATCCCCTTGCTCGGGCCATTAGGGATTCCGAGTCTATTTCACTTTTTAAATCAGTCTTAAACTCACCTATTTATACTGGAGGTTTTCCATGTAACTTAATATTTAAAAAAACAATTCTGTTGTCCTGTTGGATTACTGTGCAGTTATTATTATTTGCTTTTATCATAGTTCTTAATTTTATTGGAATTTCGAGAGCAGACATTGATTTTGTTATTATCAGCTTTCTATTTCACTTAGATTGTATCTATATTTGGGAATGTAGTTTTATTTTTACGTGCCACTTTCAGATACTTCTGTATGAAAGGCGCTTTATGAAATAGAGGTTGTTATTATGATTAAAGGTAGAGGGGAGCCTACACGCGCCAAGTGAACTTATCGTCACTTGGGCTGTTGTTGAAATTCGCACTTGTGGCGTACTGTACTGCACCTGTGTTGTCGGGCATGGAAGCCTGGTCGGTGTTCCTCTCCTTCTTGAACACCACGTTTCCAAACTGCAGCACGGACGACACGACCCGGAGCAAGGCTGTGGCGGACAGGAAGACAGGGCATGGTTAGCGTCAGTGACAGCGTGGACCGGGTCGGCCACATCGCGGCGTTAGCCGCGTCGCATCGCTGGCGATGTCTCCGGCATCATCGGTCGCATCGTCGCGGCATACGTCACATCTCGGTAGCAACTCCGCCGTGCGTGGCATCAACGCAAGCAGAAGCTCAAGCACCTGGACACCACAATGGTGTTCAACACAGTGAAGACTTCACGTCCGTCAGCCTACACTCTCTCAGTCTTATCGCTTGGTCACCCTTTCGTTTTGTTTACACTATTCCCTCGTTATTCGTTCCGGAGATGCCCGTGAGTAGCAAATTTTGCAGCTAATGATGTGGGCCTATGAAAATCAATTACCTTATTAAATACATCTATGTGTGTCTGTTCGAAATGTTTAGCATACTTCCCGACATGCAACAAACTTGAAATTTGGCATGTGAGTAGCTTCCAGACTGTACACAATGCAAAAAGTATAAAAATAGACTTTTGTATTTTGTGGGGGGGGCGCAATAATGGATATATTTTGCACGGCAAGTGAGCGGTGACGTCAATTCTGTGATGTCACCCGCATGCGGCAGCGTCACGCAGTGTGCCTGCTGACGTCACGCATCCCCCCCACCACCCTCCGTGTAGGCCGTGTATTAATCCAAGACAACAATCCAAGTCTCGGGCAAAGCCGGGTAGTAAAGCTAGTAAATTATAAATCATATCACTTTCTCTATCATCACTTTGTCTCATCATTTTCTTTTTCTCTCTCGATGCAGTCGTGTAGAGTTCCAGATGCGAATTCGCAGATAGCCAAAATTGCGGACAGCAAATGATGAGGGAATACCGTATTTGCTTTGTTTCCTGCGCTGAATTTTCTGAACGTGAACTTTGCCTCCCCGAATGGGATTTTACTCCAGTACATTCCCTTTCATCTCAACGAGCTCCATTTTACAGGCCTTTTTTTTATTCACTGCCAGGTGAAGACCTTCCCATGGCACGGCTCCATCCGCCGCTGCATGAGCGCCTCCAACGTGCCGGTGGTCATGGAGGTTGCTTGCCCATACTTCAACGGGCGTGGGTTCGCGAAACAGGGCATCGGGGGGGCAGGCTAGAGCGGCAAGCCGGGTGCCGCTCGGTTCGTAACGCAAGCGCGCTCACCGATGCGCCACCGTCGCCGCCACTCCAACCCGCACCCCCCCCCCCCACAATCGGTCGAACGTCGTGAGCTGCAAATACATTTCAATGATTGATCGCAGTACTTCGTACGCAAGTCCAATCCACAGAGCCGCGACCGTCCTAGGGGCCTTTGCCAACGACGTCACGTTGAACGACATTCACCCGTCCGCAGCGCATACCGTTTGGCTGCCTTCATGACCCGCTCGCCAAGAAACGGTGGCCGTGCCTCTTCACTGGCACACGGTGACGAGAATCCCGTCGCGTTCAGCGTGGCCACAGAGCGCACGATTACAGACGGGCGGGCTCAATCGCGACACGGTGCAGTTAATGACGTCCGGCGCTTCTTGGGATCGCAGAGGCAATCTTTCCCTTTAGTTTTTGGTCGTGCGGGAAATTAGTTGATTGGCCCGATACATATATCTATGACTACAATTACGGCTGTGCTTATTTGAAAACTAATTTCTTTCAAACTGCTTTTTGTGTTTAGTTTGTTGTCCTTCCCCCGCACCTCCAATTATCACGGTTGGCTAAGTATAGTGCGAAAGAAGTTCAACATACATACACGCATATATTGAAACAAATACCTCTAAAAAGATCTGAAAAACCATGAAACCCAGGCGGTAAGAGTTCGATTCCCGCCCGTGGCCAACATCAGCGGAAACTAAAACCGGTTCTGGGCATCCTCCCCCTCCCCCCAAACCTTATGCGAACCAATGTTGGTGTAGTATGAAATAACCACACACGACCAGCATCGTGTGGGGGAGGCCTTTGCCCAGTGAGAGATTGACAAAAGGCCGTAATATATAATAACTATTATTGTTACTCATGGGCCAGCAGGCAGAGGCATCGCGGGCTGTGCCCAACTGCCGCGGCAGGTGGACTTAGTTTAAGGCCGTAGTGCAAGTCATGGTGTCGCTCGCGCTTTAAAATAACTATGGCGGCGGGGTTACACAGCAACACGGGGCATCTGCTGCCCCCCCCACCCACCCAGACAGCTGCGCCCTTCCAGCCCCAGTTCCACATATGTGCGGCGGTCTCCTCCCAGCTGATACACGACAAGTCCATTACCGCTCGCTTAAAGGACGTCTTCATCTTTGGTTCTTTCGGTAAAGTCACGTAGAATGAGAATAAAATAATAAATTAATAAAATAAAATACCACAATATCATCGTCGTCATCGTAATCAGCTGCGATCAATCCACTGCTGGATGAAGGCATTGCCCACGCTCTCGCCGTACCATCACAATCACACGGGAGACATCCACTCAGACGCGTCCCGCCCGTTTGTTCTGCCACTCCCGTCGGTCTTCGTCCCTTCTCGACGTGACACGTCCTGCCCAAGCCCTCTCACTATTCTTGACACTCGTCGGTGCCTTTAACCTGTGAATCTAAACATGCGTTTAGATTGCTTAGATTATTTGGCTGCTGTAAATTTCCACATGATAAGGCACTTCGTTGAGCTATCATTTGTGGGCAGTTCGCTTCTGAAAAAGAAGAAAAAAGGCCAGTGGGCGTTACCTGGTAAAAAAATATAAAAGTTGTTTTTATATATATAAAAAAATTTGTGATTTGTTTACTTTTCCTACACTTTGCACTCCTACTGTATGTTTGTGTTGTTTGTTGTTGTAACATTCTGACCCGCCCCTACTGGACATCTGTGAAAAACAGCCTCATCGCCTACCGGATTTCTCCAGTATAATTATTCTGATTCTCATAATCCATCCACTGCTCTTCCTATACCTCGACGTAACTAGATGCATGTATTCTCTCCGTTCGTCTCGGTGCGCTCTTCAGTTTCTGTTGCTCCATTTCCTTCGGTGCTGTCCACACGTGCGATCCACACTTCAGGGCAGGCGGTGCCGCATCGGCGGTTGACCCTCATAACCAACCCCCGTGCGCGCCGTTTAGCGGCGCTCCATCGCCTCAACGACGAAGCGTCCTAAAGTCTCCTCTGCTCCCCGTCTTTCACGGCGAATGTATCATGGGGCGAGCTACTGGCGAGGCAAGCAGGGCGGCAACGGCTGACTTGAACAAATCGTCGTGCCAGCGGGGAACATCAATGCAATTCATTTCAGATTTCAACGACGGCAGTTGAAGAACAAGGCGCCCAGTCGGTGGGCGGGAACGTTTAGTTATTTACATTCGCGAATATTTCCTTCACCACTGTCCCTGTGCGTGGTTGCATTCGGACACTGCGATACAAGTCCATGTGGTTGCTGCGAAATTGTCATCGAGATCGGTGACCGTACGTACGGATTATTCACGGCTTCCGTCACAGGATACCCACTACAGGACAAAGACCCCCTTTGCAGGTGAGGAGCTGACCACTTCTTGGGTTTCTCACTTTCCTGCTGCGGGCGGTGCTGAAAGGTAAAGGCGATGCCTTGCTTTACGCCGCTGCTGGCGGATGTGTTCTCAAGCTAGCTCCTTTACAGGATCACTTTGTCTTTAACTTTTCCACGTTTGCCAGACCGTTTTTTTTTTTTAAAGGGCTGGGCGTACCCGCAGATTTGCCCCACTGCACGCGACGTGCCCATCAGCTGACCGCGGTGCGCCACCCATTTGCACTGCCGGATGGAAAGAGGCGAGAGGAGAGCTGGGGCAGGATTCAGGACCAGTACCCCATTGTTTCAACTGCCACGCCAGGAGATAGAATCCAGCGACTTTTGAACGCCGGCACGAGCGTGATCACCATTGCAGAAATGGCAGCATCACACTCACAGTGTGTACGCACCTGTAACTCAGCGCTTTGGAGGCAAAGCATTGTGGGAGAGAGACCTGTGAAACTCCCAACGCCGGAGGGCTGCAGAGGCAACCAGGAACTGGCGGTATGCAAAAGGGGCTTTGCGAATCCATCTGTGCGGACTTTTCAGAGTTATCCCACCCTCCTCCCTTCCCGTACGTGGGTATTTCTTCCGGATGCTCTCGTACATTACGCAGTAAAAATATAACTTGAGAGCGAATAAACGTTTAAAATTACGCTCTTACATTTATTTAATGAACCCTAATCAGTCGGATTTTATAAATCTACTGATACCGTACACAACGTACTTTGGTGTCAGCAGCGGCAATGTGCACCTGGTATCAGGTGCTTTGGAGGCAAGGGTTGGCGATTCACACGGAGAATAGTTTTAGGACTCCCAAACCGACTGGGATTGCCAAGGTGACTATGCAGAGGATAGCAGTACAGCAAGTGGGTGCACGGCAGGGCATTGACTGTTATCCCTCGTATGTGTGGTGGGTTTTCTCTGGGAAATGGAAGAATTAATGGAAGAGGTCAAAAAGACCCATGAAGAATCATCCGGAAAAAAAAGTCTTGAGACTCAAGCTCTCCTAGGTTGTTTCGGGTGTGGACCAATCAAATTCAAGGACAGTGCATCTTATTATCAGAGTTGTCTTTTTTGTTTGCATTTTGACTGCTTGTGTTGTGGTTATTGCAAACATGATGCCTTGAATAAAGGTGTCAGTTTTTGTGCCAGTTAAAAGGGTAAAACCTATTCCTACCTCTCCTAGGTTGTCGCCGCCAATTTGATCACATCAAGTTTTCGTGTTGGGTCACAATGTAATGATCCGACTAAATCGGAGTCGTTCAGAACAGTCTCTCTGCCACCCGACAAATTTGCCAAACGAATTTAATCGGTCACGTGGTGTAGGTGCACCAGAGTTTAACGTCCCAATTATGATTGTTTCACCACCTCACCGGTGAGCTGAAAAACAACTCTCTCAACCATTGCAGAACTGAGGTCGCAGGAATTTTCCTTCGGCTTCCCGTTTAAGCATTTTTTTGGATCGTTTTACGAACCATGACACGAGTGCCACAGAAACGGTTAACCGGCAGTGCAACACGATGCAGGCCAAGGCACCCGGCACCCACCCATCTGCTCCTCGTGAGCGAAGCCCATGATGCGCAAGGACTCCATGGTCTCCTGGAAGTTGTCCTTGTCCTGCTGCCCAGGGATGGGCACGTAGCCATTGGACAGAAAGCGGTAGTTGCTGAAGCCCTCCAACAGCAGCTCGGCTGCATCGCATACACGCACACGACAGCAACAATCGGATTAAAGCAACCGCACCATGCTCTGGGGGTTGAACGCAAGCTCTTGAAGGAGCGCCACCCCCCACCCCCATCTCCCGCTCATGCGTTATTCTTGACCATCGTCCATTATTGCCTTCAGGGGGCTCTCACCCCGGCAATGATGCTCGTGCATGCGCGACGGTGAGAGAGAGAGAGAGAGGAGAGAAAGAGAGGGTGGGTGACGGAGTTTCAACCGGGGGGGGGGGGGGGGGGATGTCGCTTACTGCGCAGGTGCTCGGTGGCGCCGGTGAGCAGCTGGTAGAAGATGTGGAAGGCCCGCTCGTCCTTGGCCTGACGGATCGCACGCGACTTCTCCAGCAGGTCTTGAGGGCCATCGCTCCGTCAAGGGGGGGGTAAACGACGCTTCTCAACGTCACTCGGCACGACATCGTTGTAGTGAGATTTAGATCACGCGACGGAGGCACCATCGTCACCTCCACCAAAACTTGCTCCGTCCCTTCCTTTAAGACATCTTAAACCTGCGGCTCAGAAGCCGAATGCAGCTCTAAGGACTGCTTCGTAACGCAATTCATTCAGGACCACCATCTCGTATGCACCACATGCATTGCAGCTCTTGAAATAGTTTCTTTTTTTCCCGACTTCAGAAAAAATGGCTCCTTGTTATTTTGGTTGCAGACCCCTGCCCGAGCCCATCCTACTCCTGCTACTCCCCGTCCCCGCTCCCCCAGCTTCAACCAGGCCTACCCGAACCCCTATCATTACCCCGATTACTACTCTCTGCTGCTACTTCCCCCAGCGACGACCAGGCCTACCCCAATCTGTCCTTAACTACTCCCCACATTGTCTCCAAACAGTCACTGCAACTACACGACCACTATTAATAACCTCACTCTTGATCTCAACCACTTTCATCTTATGTACAATTTCGTAATTGTTGTAAAGTGCCTTGGGATAAGGCGCTCAATATATCGCGACAAGATAAGATCGTCAGAGCACATCAACGTCATCTTCCACGTAGAACTCCTCGCCGCACGCTCACCATTTTCTAGCAGCATCTGTCATGCAAACCGTCAACTCTCAGGCACACATGGCTCAAACCGCACACTCAAGAACACCGTTTCATCCACCCACTCGCTCGCTCACTCTCACACTCGCACACATTACTAATTCGCCGCCTGAGATGAACACTGCTCGCTCCCTCGCTCCCACGTAAGCCGCTCATTAACGCGCCGGGCCTTGCCAAAACCCCGATTCGAGTCGCACATTTCTGGCCGCGAGCCCAAGCGCTGGATGTGCGTAGTGCCCATACCGTGCACTCGCATCTATCACAAGGGGGGGGGGAAGGGGGAGTAGCGGGCGCGATAGAATTAAGGGGCGGGGGGGGTGCCTCTCGCAGCTGATGTAAATGAGGCCGCGTGCCCACACCCCCACCACAACAGCTCTACTTGCAGCTGTTTGGGAAATAATCACAGCTGCTGGGCGCGTCTTTAATGTGGATGCTTACATAAACGGCACACGCGCAAGAATGGCGCGTGTCGCACAAACGCCTCACTCGTTTGTGCGACACAGACCTAGACAGATGGCGGCGCAAACCGTCGCGTGAACTCCGGTGGTCATCCTCGCAGCAGCAGCAGCAGCAGCAGCGGCTTTTTTGGCTGGCCATTAAACAAAGACGGCCACCGCATCGCCCGCTTTCAGATGCGCTCCTGCGGCCGTCTGGAGCGCTCTTTTCCTTCCGAAATTAAGAAGCCACTGGAGCTATGCAATTTTACATCTCGTATTAATTTAGAAGTGCTTTTTGCGTTTAGTTTGTTGTTCTTAACCCGCACCTCCGATTAGCAGGATTGGCTAGGTACGGTCCGGAAGAAATTCAACTTTCTTACCTTTTCCCTATCTTGCTCCAAGATCTTTTTTTTCGTATTGCCCGTCGATGTAACTCACCGACCTAGTCCCTGCTGGACATCTGTGAATAAAGGCTGCGCAAAGCCTCTTCCTTCCTCCTCCCTCCTTTTTACTCCTCCTTCTGCCTCTTTTGTTCCCTCCCTGCCTCCTCCACCAGTCTAAACAGAGATTCCGATTGAACGTGCCTAGCCCAGGCTGAACGTTATCTGCCCATTGGCAGCCGCGTTCTGAGCGCTGCGCGAGGCCAGCGGAGAGGAGAGGCGGCAGCCACGCCGGCGGCCGCCCCCTCTCTATGAGGGGGCCAGCGGCCGCCGTCGTGTTTCAGCGAGGCAGCCGCTCGCTCCACCACAAATGGCGGAGTTGTTTATTTGGTTTTCATCTAAGGGGCTCGGGGTGCGAGCCATTCCTTTACGAGTGCGAAACACTCTGTGTTGCTGCGTCTGTGGGGGAAAAATCGCGCGTGTTTTTTTGGTCGTGGCGAGGCATGCGAAGAAAATAAACTCCTGTAACAGGGACGGGCTCGCACAAATCACGCTCGCCGCAGCCCTGGCGAGGCCCCGTCACTCTTTAAAACAAACACGGCTCGCAAGAAAGGATACACGTCTCAATGTTTGCTCCGACAATGTAGCCAGCCACGTCAAAGTTGATCCTGATGAATTTCCCCTGGGGGAAGAGGAGGTGGATGGGGGATTTGGGGGGGGGGAAGAGTGAGTATTTTTCACCTCCTCGAGTAATTCGTAACCACCGCCACCACGTCAACTCCACAATTCCAGACTGGTTTTTGCGGCTCCAAAGCAATGCGTGTGACTCCCAAGTTAAATTTTTGTATCACTATTAATATCACGACGCCACTTGTAACATCTGGATTGCATACAAACTGTAACTTAATAACAGAGATTTATAGTACGTCACATACGTTAACATGTAATCACGTGCCATAAATTGAACCAAGCAATTTGTGGGGTGGGGTTGGGGGGAAGTGGGGGGTGGGGGTGCCAGTGGTGGGGAAGAAGCATCGTCAGGAATTCTGACGATGCCCCGGGTTCGCGCGGAAAGTGCTCCCCCCGGGCAGAGCCACTGTCTTGCGGTGGCTTCGTTTAGCAACCCCACCGCCGCTGCTGTTGCTGGTCAGGGGTGACGGTGGGTGGGTGGATGCGGAGGTCGCGGGGGGTGAGCGATGATTTATCGGCTGCCTGTTCATCCGACCATTCTGCGCGCGGCGTCCGGCTAAAATGCAATCTCTACGGCCGCGCGGCACACGATCCCCGCTTTGCTGCCTCACAAATCTCACACGCCGCCGCCAAACAGGTCAGAGCAAGGTGGCGATGAGGCGCGAGGTGCGCCAGGTCACGAGAGGTCGACGCTTCCTTCTGACGTCGCATGAGGGAGGGGGGGGGCATGGCACTGCAGCGATCAACGGCGGTAGCCCGGGCTCCAGTCCTGCTGTGCAGTGCCAATGATCGTTTGTCTATTTGGCTTCCCAACAGACAGACTCGGCCTGCTTACGAGCATCCGGGGTTGTTGTGTTAACCGAGTTGAGTCGTGTTTTCCCCTTCAATTCTAATTCAGTGTGTTCTGAGGCAGCCAGCATGAACATGACAGCACTGCAGACACACGTGCAACTATTTTTTTTTTTACCATAAGGCCCGCTGAGCTATATAGCTCTTTTTCGGAAGTGACCTGGCCAGCAATGATAGCTCAACGAAGTGGCTTTTCACGTGGAAATTTATAGCAGCCAAATACTCTAAAACGCATGTTTCTAAATGTGGACGGAAAAACCGGAGGACCCGGAGAACAATCCACGCGACTACGGGGAGAACACGCACACCAAGCGAGGTGGTTAACATTTCGCCACCACGGCGTAAATGCCACTTGTCCCATTGAGAACCGTGTCACAGCCTTCACGCAATGTTCACTCGCCAGGCTCGTAAAGGAAAGTTTTCTTGAAACACAAGACAAAGATCCCCCCCCCCGCCCCGTTTAACCTTGATAGATTGGAGTGGAGTAAGTGCTCTTAGCAAGCACGCCTGGCCAGCTTTGTCTCCCCGCAGCTGGAATTCACACAGTTAACCAGTTAATGATTTGAGGCAGAGTCAGTCTTGGGCAGGTCACTCTGAACATTTTCAGATGACACTTTCCACTGACGATGGACGTCGCTGGGAATGGGACCGAGGTTGCTGGGACTTGTAGCGAAACAAAGCACTGTGTAACCACTGTGCCTATTTGTATATGTGACAAAGATCCTCCGTATAGCCTTCACAGACTGTTGGGGCAAGTGCTGTTAGCAAGTAGCACCTATGAAGGCCCACACGGCACATGAGGGAAGTGGGTGGCCAGCACCACGCCCAACCACCTCTGTCTCCCCAGTGGCGATGTTTACAAATCGCACCAGGCACTCATTTTAGGCCGACTTGGCCTAGGGGAGGTCCAGGACCAGTTCAGATAATCGTCACCGGTGTTTGCCATGGGCGGGAATGGAACTTGGTTCATCGGGTTCATCGCGCACACGCACGCACGCACACACGGACGGAGTGATCATCGCCTGGCCTCCTACGTGCAGCGAACCACGTCGGCGGTGCACTCACAAATCGGGAGGAGTTGTCATTCTTGACTGTCTTGGCATTGCCGAAGGACTCGAGGATGGGGTTTGCTTGCAGCAGCTGTCTCTCGAGCTCCCCCTGCGAAGGCAAAGCGAGAGGCAGGGGGTCATGGCGATCCGCGCCGTCATTAATACGCCGCTATTTTTAGGCGTCTCACAGCGCGACGGCAACGACGAGACTTCCTGTGCAGGGCCGCGTGTGGCAGCCGTGAACGGGGAGCCGCGGTGCGACTCAACGAGCAGTCGCAGTGGCGGCGATTCTCCCCCAAAACACACCGATCGACTGCATAAACCTCACCGGGCCCAGAGGGGCACGGGAGTCACTCTCGGGAATTAACAGGAATCTGCGCTCCCGGTTGCTGTCAACAAAAAAAAAGTCCTGGGAATTAATTTATGTATTTTATTACGTATCACCCCCCCCCCCACCCCCCGGGAATATTTTTGTCTTTTGTTAAATGAACCTTATGGCGGGACCCCGGGGTCCCATAAGCATCCCGCTCTCGTATAAACATTCTATTAGAATGTAAACATTATATTATTTATATTATATAATGTAAACATATTATATATGATATTATAATGTAAACATTATATTATAATGTAAACATAAACTTTGCTCTTTTTCACCAATGGGTTTGAAGGATGGTGGCAAGTGTTGTCTTGTTAAACTACGCCTTTAAAACTGAAAACTACTTACCTACAGTAGCTCTATTTAAATGCACTATCGAAAGAATAATTTACACCCCTCTGTCAATCATCGTGTTTCTCAGTGTGGATTTGTGAACACACTTTGTAAACAGTACGTAAAATAGTACGCATTTTCAATGCGCTGTTCATATTGCAACAAGCGTTTATACCAATGTTACTCTACACAGTCGTGGGTCACCGCTCCTCTTATCCGCATTGATACGAGCGGTATGTGGGGACTATGGCTTAACCCATCTGCACAGATGCATACGGACAAGAGAAGTATTATCAAACAGGAGGAATTCACGGTGCAACGCATCTCATCTGTTAAATATCTGTTAGGTAATAGGATTGTCATCGATTGATCCTGGCTGCAGACATTGGTAGGTCACAAATAATAACGAAGATAAGAAAGCAGTTTCACTGTATTATTATGCATACCGTTATGACAAATAAAGGAATTAAGTCGTGTAGGCAGTTTGAGCAGCTTTGGATAAGACTTATGATCCTGCCCATACTCGAGCATGGAGTACATTCGCTTGCTCAGCTCTTCTGCGTGTTCGTCCTCGCTGCTGCGCTTGGAGGACGACGACAACAGAACGATCTGCGCCAGGTGGGTCGCGGCGTTTGTGTGCGCGGTGAGACGGAGTCGGCAAAATTAAATTAATTAATTACGATTTCGACTTGCGTTTATTCGGGACCCCGGGGTCCCGCCATAAGGTTCGAACAGGTAACTCCGGCATATATTCGAGGGGGGTGAAAATGAGAAATCGTTATTTGTATCGGCTGAACACTTAAATGGCCGAGAAGCATCTAAGAGCGCCTTACGCCATATCGATCATTCCAATGCCCAGCTATGGATTTATGTATTTTTTTTGTTAACCAAGGGAACCCGCTGATCACAGCTGTTCCCCCCCTGTGCTGCACAAAGTGGTGACGCAGCACTGCCCTGCGAGCGGACATTAGTTGGTGAGTACGGGGAGATGTTGCTCTAATCATTCTGATTCAGCAATTGTGCGAGTATAAATACGCTGAAACGCTTAACAAGGAGTCAAATACTCTTTGGTTCTTTCGGTAAATCACGTTGAGACGATGAAAATATAAGGATGGGTTCTACCCGTTTTGGCAATAAAACAGTTGCGTTAAGATGTTCGAACACCAAACCGATTCCTTTTTGCAAGGCATCCAGTCTGCATTAACCACACGTACTCTTGGCAAAACATGCAAATAAACGTGCACTTATTTTATACCTACGTGACTTTACCGAAAGAACCAAAGAGTATGGATTCCTGCAGTCACGAAGCTTCAAATCTAAGGGGTCAAATCACAATTCAACACGATGGCTCGAGTCTATGGTGGAGAGTGTAATATAACTGCTTAACTACGGCTTTCATGGGTGACAAATGGATAAACTATATAATAAACTATATCATTAGACGATTCAGTGCATGCATGTTAAAATTGGGGCCTTTGATTCAACCCAAAGCTCAGGTGAACAATGACTGAAAATCTAAGGATGGCCATCGTTGTCTCAGAGTTTGCCCAAATTTGGGCAAAAATTAACGTACGAAAAAAACAGAGCGATGACTACGGAAGGCACTGCATGACTCTTGCGCCGGCAGCAAACAGGCTTAGGAGGGGCAGCACGGTGGGGGAACAGCGGGTGGGTGGGGTAGGTCGGGTGGGGGGGGCATGGAGATTTTCTTCGACGCAACCCGTCCCCGCAATCTGGAACGTTTCTGAAGCAGCGGAAGCCGCCTGCTTTTCTTAGCAAGCCATAAAAAGTGGGCTCTCCGTGCCACACGACAAAAAGACCAACATTAATTCATCATTGCTTTTCAGCAGAGATTATTTTCAAAGTGACATCCTTTAGGCAGGAATGCCCGCCTACTAGCCCGACCGAAATAAGAGAGCTGGAAAGAACGCGCTGCGAAACATCATTCACGAGCTGTACGTTGATGTGTATCATGAGTAAAAGCCCACTTTTCCGTCCATTAGTTTTATTAAAACAAACCAACTGCTGCTGATTTGTAGATAGGGCACTTACGGCTGTAGAAACACAGGGGGCGGGCGGGGGGAAATGTGGGTATACCAGAGGAGGAGAAACCGGAAAATAAAGCCTTGGATGACGAGTGTAATCTGTGCAGCTCATCCAACCGCATGGGATGTACAGTGAGCGTCTTCCTTCGAAATTGATTCATGCTCAAAAAAGCACTGACTGGCTCTCACCCCTGTTTGGTTCTCATCCAGTGGTGAAAATTCCACATTCCTATGCCGGGGACCAGTCTATCGTGAAGACACCCATTGTAAACTTCCAAATAGAATGTACTAATTTTATCAATGCAAAATAGGTGACGAGTGATTCAACCCCTTACTGCATTTTGAATCGAGCGGCCAACTACTCGGAATTTCCTATTTGCTATATATTTTTCCTGACTGGATTACGATTCAATGTTTTTCCTTTCCCCAATTTAATCCACTTGTGTTATTACCAGTGTTACATCATGTGAAGAGGTAGTTATTTTTTAACTCTTGCAGTGAGCCGTGGATCACCCTGTGAGTTAGGGGCCGCAAGTTCCCACAACCCTGCCACGGAAATGTTCTTCACATAGCAGTCAAACCGATAATGTCCACTCTCAGAGACGGAATTTAGCTAATTTATTTGACAAGCAAATTTAATGCTTTGGTTTTTTTTAATGTGCAGCCATTGATGACAGGGCTAAGACCGTCACTCGTTCTGCGATAACCGCTTCGGCGAGCCATTCTCTCTAACACGAAGGATTGCACTGCTTCACGAGAGATATGAATGCAGACTTTGTCTCATGGCCGTTAATTATTTATTTTTACATCGCTTACTCAGGAAAGCCTCACCGAGTCTCAGGAACCTCCTGCGACGAGGGTACTGCTAAGTTTTTCACAGTTGGGGGGCGACGAGTTGTATAATTGTTACTTTTCATGGCAACTGAGTAATTTGACCCCAATAGCACCATTGGGATAAAAACTGAGGGGCCCGCGATTAACGGTTTGAGTAAGAAAAAAAAGCCAAAAAAGTGGGACCAACGTTTTCAAAGTGAATCAATGCGCTTCTGTGCGGTGCGCCTGCGTGCCATGCAGGAATGCCCGCGGAGGACAGCGCCACCACGCTCCGCCTACGCAGCTGTTTGGCGGGGTGGGGGGCGGGGGGGGGCAGCTGTCCCACATCCGTCAAGCAGTGGACGTGCGCTCACAAACACGCACGCCGGGCTGCGCGCTTCCTCCTCGCCTCGCATCTCCGCGGCACCACGGGAGGAAGTTTCGTCGTTAAAAATACACCATGCACGCTTCCGATGTGGCTGCCCAACCAGCGACTCGGCGGGCGCGAACCGGGAGGAGGACGAGCAGGATGAGGCCACGTATAAATTGCACTGGTGATGGGGGTCACGTCCACTCGAGGAGAAAATCGGATGGGTGTTTCAAAGGGATTTCTAACGAAGAGATTGGGGTCGTGCGGCCTTGAAACGGCGCCCGAGTCGGCGAAGCGAGCGGCGAACACGCGGGGGAGGTAGAGGCGGCCGTGGTGATCTGGCGAGACGAACGCCGTAAATCACGATCGCGTTTCACGATCGCCCGAGCTAGGACATTGTGCGCCGCAAGGAAAACCATGTTCCAGAGCCAATGTGAAAGAAAAAAACCACAGGTCGATAACTTTGAATTGCTCTCCAAACTTTTACGATTCATAAATATTAATAATACTTTATTTACTCAGGACAGCCTAAACAATCTCTTTTCAGAAGTGTTATGCCTGAGAAATTTGCCAATTCTTTACCAAATTGTTTGTCGTGTCTCCACGATATACTGGCCCGGTGACGTGGCAGTGAATCACACGACTCGCAGCTGGAGGGCTACGAGTTCAAATCCTGGTCAGGTAGGCCAACACACCATGATCAAGAAAACGAGCACCATTTGCGCTGAGCTGCAGAGAAAGCAGTGAGGCTCATCGGGAGTGAGCGGCCGATGTAAGGTGGCAAGGCCAAGAACTCTCCCTCTGCATCACGTTCCACGACCCTAACGGGACTTGCTAATTGTGTTAAGATCAACCAAGAGCTGTGCTTCGAGTGGAGGGCGGAATGGACACGGGGAAAACGAGAACCACTTCTTTGTCAGACGTCAAACGAGGAGAGTTCGAGCCTGGCCCGGAATGACCGTTGGAGTCGAGCATCGGCTAGGAGCATGGCGGGGTAAGGAGTGGGGGAGGGTGGTGGGGGGGGCACCGCCAACCGCTCTGATCACGAGCACGGCCAGCGGGGTGCACCATGAGCCTTCGCGGCAATTAGCAACAAAGAAACACTTGCCTGAGACTTGAGAGGCCTCGGGGACTCCGGCTGCGGCGATTCCAAAACACGCGTTGCCGAGACAGGGAGGGAAGGAGAGGGGGGGGGGGAGGGGGTTAGATATCAGAGAGAGCCGGAGCGCCGGACCGTCCAGCGCAGCAGCTCAGGGACTGCCCTTCATGCCGCGTGAACGCCCTCTGTGCTCTCCCCCTTCCCGGCACAGCCTGTTCACGCCAAACCAGCCGCAGCCAGCTTGGCTTTCACTCCTCTTGCTTTTCTCTCCGACAACAGCTGTCACGCGAAGCCGCTCACTTGCGCTCCGCGGCGGTAGCAGCAGCGCCGGTAGCATCGGAGGCCGCGCGCGTGTATTTACTCCCGCGCCGCACACGCACTGCCGCACGAGCGTCTCTATATGCTGTGGAGGTCGCTTTCCCGTACCTTGCCAAGCTGGTCAGTGCGGGTTGGTGAGCGGTGGAATTAGCCACGGCTGGGAATCGAACTTTGTTCTTTACTGTGTGCAAATCACTATGCTACCGTTCCACCTTGCCATCGTGTGAAATCAAATGACAATTATGCAGCGTAAAATGCCGATGTTCCAAACTGCAGCCACTTTTTACAGAATTGAACGTGGTTGTACAATTACAAAGCAATTCAAAAATACTTTGAATGTTCTCCACCCCCCCCCCCCCCCCCCACCACCGAGTAATAGTCCTTACTTAATTGTCAAATTTAAATCATCGTATCTTCGTTTTTCTCGTTCAATCCCATCCGCATCTTGACTCTTCTTGTAGTTTACTTGTAAAAGACTGTTGGAATTATGCTGTGGAGTGCTGAGATGGCCACCCACGAAGGACAAAGCTACGATTTTATTTATCGTGACCCACAATTGCGTGCCGCTTATCCCATTCGCCTTGTCGCCATTTCTTCACGAGCACTTAAAACGTCACCACAAACAAATCCCGCCGTGAATTCCTCCAAGGCTCGGGACTCAGCTGGTCACCATCCGCGGGAACCGTTGGGAGTTTAGTTCATGCCCCGCATGCGCTATGGCAGAAGCCACGAGAATGGGGAATGGCATCGCCTCTAGCACCGCAATATAACGAAGATAACCAAGGTCGGAGCTCGATGAGACAACGGAGCAGGGGAGAGGGGGAGGGGAGGGCTTTCTCCTGTAAAGGGAAAAATTAGCCAGGCAACACATTCTTAATTCATTACGCAAGTCTTAATTCCCCACTAAATATTTTCCGAGTCGCTTGCAACAGACTGGGTTGAGGCACTTGACCAGTAGCCACAGCCGTGGCCGACAGAAGGATACCGGATGCCAAATAAATAACCATGCGATGTTGACAAACGTGGTTGTTTTGCTTCAGCACACTGGCATGCCGAAGAGAGTGATCTGCAACATTTAACAATTGTTCTTGCTCCAGCACATCGGTATGTTCAACACCGGGGTATGCATACCGTTGGGCTGAGGCCATCGAATCATTGGCGCGTTTGTTTACGTGACAACTTTATTTGTTGGAGGACGGTGTCGGGCGGGAGGAGGGTCTACGACGCGCGTTCGGCATTGCAACTCGCACGATCCATCCCGTGTAAAAATCAACGATGGTTAGTGCGCGAGGGAGCCTTGCCTGTACGAGACGCGGGAGACGACCGTCATGGGTTTACGCCGGCGGCTGCGCAGCGACTCGCTCACACGCCGTCGGAGAACTCGCAGCGCGCTCAAAACTCCGCGTCGGATTTTACCGTCGGTGGGATATTGACACCGATTAGGCCCGCCTGCTGTATTTCACACCATTAGTGCGTGACCGCTTCGGCCCGTGCCGTGCGTACAAAACGGTAGCAGTCAGCAGCGGCCCAACCTTCGCAGAGATGTTTCTCGGCCGCCGCGTCAGCGCTATTATTTCCCGTCTCCGCTCAGAAAATTTACACCCGGCAATTTTTTCGTCAATTTTTATCTGCACTTTTCGTAATGTGGCGCCGCACGAAGGCCGATTTATTTATCCACTCGGGGTGAGCTGCCATGACAGCTGAGCACGTGCATTTGTAAAACAACCCAAAGGTGAAATTTAGACTTAAAACTGTCGTGACTGCAGGAATTCATATTCTTGGTTCTTTTGGTAAAGTTACGTGACTTTACCGAAAGAACCAAGAATATGAACCCAAAGGTGACATTAAGGGCCCTCTCCATTACGTAACCTTATATCCTGCAGACGATTCCGAGGTCATGTCTGTGCCTATCCGATGGATAAAGTCTCACACCAGCGATTGCCCGAGGCATAAAACTAAAAACTTTGACGTAATTAAAATGTCTTGCTTAACCTCTAGTGATCGCGTTGAGGCCATCAAACGTTACACACGAAAATCTAATTGAATTTTGGGTAGGAACCAGGGATTCTAACATCGAGTCTCAATGCACACCAACACGAGCCTCTAGACTCCATTTTCAGGACGTTTGTCCAGTTCGTTGTGGGGCGTTCTGCACGTGTGAAGTCACTTGAGTACCCGGAGAATACCCACCCACACCAAAGGATAACATTCAATATCCCCATATGCAGGTCAGTAACCAACTTGCTGTACTGCCGTTTCACGGTCACTTAAAAAAAGCCCAGCTGGCTCGGAGTCTCTCGCACGATGACCTGCGCATGACCCACCAACTCCCCCCTGCCACGCCACCAGCTCCCAACAATCAGAATCAGAATCTTTATTCAGACTGGAAGAATCCGCGCTATGAGGTTCATTTTCAGAGATGTCCAGTAGGGACACGGGGGTCAGCAGAGTTACATCAACAAACAATGCAAAAACAATATAGGAGCAAGATAGCGAGAAGGTCAGCAAGTCACCAACAATAAGTAAATATAAACAAAGCGCAGCTGTGCCCCAGAAATTCAAAGGGGAAGCGCCAAACATTCACCGTAAGCGTTCGCCTACCGGGAGCGCGCGGGGCACGGGAACTGGTATCGGACCCGGCAGGTGGATCCGGGGGAGAGATACTGGATACTGACCGGAGCGGTGTGGTCCTTGCGTCCCCGGGGGGACGACGCGACATGCGCCAGGTACTGGATCACCTTCTTCGTGTTCTCAGTCTTGCCGGCGCCCGACTCGCCCCTGCACGCGCGAAGCCCCCAGCCAATCGGAGAGAAGAGGAGCCAGGCGTGAACGACTGCTCTCCTAGGTCGGGCAACTCACCCCCTGGCACACGGACTACTCTGCCAATCTGAAGGCGGGAGGGACGTTGGGTTTAAACGCTTCTCGCCCTACGCTATTCAAGGACTGGCACAGCCATGTTCGCTGCAGAATGCATGAATGCGGACGTGTGTATGTTGAACTTCTTTCGCACCGTACGTAGTTAACCGTGCTAATTAGGAGGTGCAGGGGAAGGAGAACAAACTAAACACAAAAAGCAGTTCTAAAGAAATGAGGATGCGACGTACGATACAGTCATTTCAAATGGATTCTTACCCTTCCGGCATGCACACACACACAACTGAATGTGCCTAAAAATCAATAAATTCCTCTTCATACATATTTTTTATGATGATGATAATAATCTGATTTGGGATGATGGCCGATAGTCGAGATTAACGGTCGATTGTCAGCCAAAGGAGAGAACGTGCCTCCGATTGTACGTCCACAAAGGAGATGGAGCAATGAGATGCAGCTCGTGTGCAGGAGCTGCAGGGTTGTATTGCATGACCATGAAAAATTATGACAGGTTGACCTTCATCCAACAGTGGATATATCATGGCTGCTGATAATGATTATGATGTGTTTATAAAAATAATACCGCTGTAAAAATGATCCGCGGTGGCAAATATGTGGAGTTGACATGTCTCTCTCTCTCCCGTGGTGGCGTGGATTTTTATCCGGGTCCTCCGGTTTTTCCACCACATTTATAAACATGCATTTAGATCATTTGGCTGCTATAAATGTCCACATGAGCGACTTCGTTGAGCGATCATTTGGGGCCTGATCGCTTCTGAAAAAGGGCACATTATTCAGCTCAATGAGGCTTACCTGGTAACAATAAACGATAGTTTATAGTTTAGCATATTTTGTGGCATGCGCCAGAGAGGAAAGGGAACAGGATATGGTTGAATCGTGACCCCCAATCGTGGAGTTACAGGGGAGGGGCACAAACGGTTTGTTAAGTTGCTCGATAACGAGCGCAGGTCACAATGCCCACAACGGAACACAGGGCTCCGTGAAATGTAATTTAACGGTGGTGTGGTTACGTTTAACACAAGCAAGCCTGTTCAACGTTATTCTCAGAGTTTCACATCGGTCAGGATGAGAAGAGTTTAAATTCCACATGGTCCCCAAACTGACAAAATATTTAACTGCGTCTGATTTATAACACCGGCCTTTTATCAGGGTAACTCGGACACGTGAGCGAGTAATACAGTTCACAGGCCACGCACGGGATATTCACTTTGACATCAGTGCACGGCGACATTCTACTCTCAGCAAATCAAACCTCCGCGCAAACACCAGAGAACATAACTGTGCTACTCTAGAACGCCAGCAGCACAAGTCGCCACTCTGGGATCACAGCAATCAGCCGCTGACGCAATGCAACGCGTGTCACCCGCACTCTGCGAGTTAAGTGTTGAAACAGATAACTGTTGAGATTGGCTTTTGACAACAGTCAAAGTGGTGGCAATGGCTTGGAACACCCCCCCCCCCATGGCAGCCCGGCAATGAGCCTCGTGTATCCTCGCCACCCCATGCCCCTTCACAGAGGCCAACACCGGTTGCTTTTAAACAAAAACGAGAGTCTCAAACCTCAAACGCTCACCACGTACGGCTCTTTTTCGGCGAAAGCGCCATGCGGACAAATGCTTAAAATCCGTCAACGCGCCGCACTGGTCTCAGAGCTGGACACAAGCAAAGATTTATCACGTAAATATCAAAGCAAACATCAATCTTTCTGGGACAGAAAAATTCCAGCGATGTCCAGCCACTCCAGATATGCGGGACCCGCACGCCAAGGTGAAGACGTCACCGATATCGGTTATCAACGCCTGTGCACGCTCGCCGTCCTGTGAGCTCCGGGAAACAGGCGGGCTGGCGAGCAGGCCGGTTCACGCGATGAGCTTTCAGCTTATCGCCACGGTAAATCGGGCCGCAGGAATTCCCAGTGGGGCGCTGCAACGGTCGAAAACATTAAAATCGGAATCCGAGTGAGAACCGAGCTGCGACCGACCACGCGCTCACCACACGCAGCCTCCCCAGCAGTGCGTTGCTGCGTGCGATTTCCCAAACGCTGGCAAAGTTACAAGATCACGGTACGTTTAAAGTCGCCTTTCGGCTTGCTTAATCGCCAGATTATCGTCCCAGCAACAATCTGCGCGATGCAACCGCCGCCACCCGACCCAAACCGCTCCACGGAAATTTTCATCCCAGCTCCTGGCGTTTCACGCCGCAAATTCTAAACCGTGCGTCGCGAAAGATTTACCCGAGCAGATAGCCGTCGGGGAAAAAAAATAAAAAGGACCAGGTCACCTCAGTCCAAGCCGCAAGTTGTATTCCACAAAGATGTCAAGATTTTTCCCGTTTTATTTTTATGCAAAGGAATGCGAGCTTATTGCTGAGCGAACTTCTGACCCAGAGGGAGTCTCAGGGCATCAAGGAAACAAGCTTCCTGACTCCACCATCACGACAAAAAAACTGCAGTTTGTTTTAGTGCCTGCAGTGATGGAATTCATAACCAAACAGCAGCTCTGCCCAACGCAGAACCATAAAAAACCCCAGGACACATAAACAACACCAGCCCCGTGAGGGCCAGAAGAACCACAAAATACTCCCTGCATCAACTTTCTGAAATGCTTTTTTTCTTCACCAATGTTTTCCACATGGGCTACAAAAAAATAACACCACTGATGAAGTTCATTTCCCCCCCCCCCCTTTCCAGGGGCTTGTTTTCATTTAACGGGTGCCCGTACCCACAGAGTCGAAACCGCGGTGATCATTTTGCATTGCATGCACCTATTGCCGTAACAAAAGACAGGGGTTTGCACAAAGGAGACCAATCCAAAGTGGGATTGTAACGGGATCGAGTGGAGCAGATGGATGGGACTCACGTGCAAAGGATAGACTGGTCCTCGCGATCTGAAACGAGACAGGGCAAGCACAGGCGTCAGTCAAAGCGCAAGGTTTACGAACACTGCCAGTTACATCAGCACCACACATGAAGCTGAGCGGCATTCCCCGGGTGGCAGAACTCTTGAATCCGGCCAAACGCAGCAAAAAGGATGTTATTTTTTTATGCAACGCCCCCCATCGCTTACGGGAGCCGGAGAAGAAGAGACACCGTCGCTGCTTCAAAAGCGGAAAAAAAATTTCCGCTGCAGCAGGAACCCGCAAAATGGACGCAAAGGAGCTCGGCCATCGGCCTCCTCGCTCAAAGAGCAAAGTGTTCGCGTGGTTACTTTTCGATGTCCATGCATGTGCTCGTTTACATCGACAAAAGCCATCGTTGCCTCCCCCCTGCCTACCCCGCGTCGTGGATGCTGCTGTTTTATTATTAACTCTTTCCCGTTCTGATGGCGTACGTCACTAGTTTTTTTTCCTACGATTCCGTTCAGATGCTGTTCCCGATTACGTACGTCATTGGAATCGAATCGAATCCAAACGAAATAGGGAGTAAAAGGCCATGAGCGAGGGCGTGTGGCACAGTTTGGTGCCAGCTATCATAGTACGGTCGTGTCGTTACAGTTATCTGCGGTGAGTACAGTACAATGTCGCTAAAAACAGCGGCGCCACGCCTCTCCAAATAATATTAACGCTGAGCCGCTTGCACGCTCTGATATTCAGCGGTGAGTGGGACCCACACACAATCAACGGGAAAGGGTTAAGATTGAAATTCATGCAATTCATTTTTGAATGCACGATATGTATTTTGTAGGATCGGTGATTTCCATACCCACAATTCCCAAGTGCTTTATAGGGCAAAAATAAAAAAGGCGCCATTTACATTGTGCGTGTGAAGGCCACAGTAGCCATTCTATTCCAAAACCAAACACTCCTAAAATGTAAACACTCTTCTGACAATCATTCAAACTCTTTGTATTGCAGTCTGTAAAAAAAAACACGCACAAAACAAATCCACAGGAACGTTAATATCTCAAACTCCGAGAGGCCAGGAGCCACATCGAAAGACCGGTGCGCGATTTTGGCTTCAAGCGAGAAACTACAAAGACTGCCACCGTCAACAAGCAAACCCTCCAACAAGCACGGCTTGGGGCTGGTGGGATCACAGATGTGAACGTTCACCGATCACACGAACGCGACCTCCTGCAAAGGACTACACCACGCGCACTAAACGAATACATCTTGGTCTTTCGTGCAGTTTTATTGGAATGTTTAGGAGTCGCGGTGCCCATATAAGGCGGCACGTGGGGGCACTTCGAGGGTTGGGGGGGGAAAGAGGGGGCAACGTGGGGGTTGTGGGGTGCGGGGGGGGGCAGGGGGGAACCAGGGACTCTGGCGGAACCAGGGGGCCTCGGCAGAGGGAGGAAGCGCCCTTGCAGCTGCGTGGGACCGCGCGAGGTGTCAGGAAACACGTGACGACGGCGCTGCGGAGCAGATCCCGCCAAGTGCCCAGTTTTGGGGGGCGCACGGACGCTGTGGAGCCCCAGCGAGTGCTGGTGCAGCAAACATCTCAGGGATAAATAAAAACATTGACGATCCGAGCGGCACGCGGATGAAAACTCGCGCCACGGAGCCGATGGGCCTGCGCGGCTCTGCCATGGCACTCGGCAAGCCTCCGTCAGCGGAGTCCGTTGGGCCTGGCCTCTTCCAGCACTGGTGGTCAGACCCGGCATGTGACACTGCGGCGCTAACGCGAAGCCGTGGCCGGGCCGCGGTAGGCGGAACGAGACGTAACCGTGGCTTCCCACTGGGTCGTCCCGGCGGCAAATGCGACATCGGAAAGACACAACGCTGACGAGGCAGCGGACAAGGCAAAAGCAGGGTGGCCTAGTCTTTGGTTCTATTCGGTAAAGTCACGTAGGTAAAAAATAAAATAACAAAAATCACGACGTTTCGGCCACAACACAAGTGGCCTTCATCAGGTGAAGGGACCGTGCTGTCATGAGGACAGCGTTGGAGTGACAGCACGGTCCCTTCACCTGATGAAGGCCACTTGTGTTGTCGCCGAAACGTCGTCATTTTTGTTATTTTATTTTTTACCTACGTGACTTTACCGAATAGAACCAAAGAGTATGGATCCTTGCAGTCACGAAAGCTTCAAATCTAGAAAAGGGTGGCCTAGTTTAACGCGAGGGTGCGGGACGGCTATTTGCAGTGATGAAGGAATGTAACCCGATCATAGCAACGGCATACTTCTTAATGCAATTGCACAACTGAGAAGGCAAACACACGTTACTGACCTATGCTCCTAAATTTAAAAACAGCCAAGACCACACGACGCGTTATTTCTGCGTCCAGCGAAACCACCCCATCATCCATTACACCTCCCCTTTGCCAAACAGAAGTCGCACAGAAATCGTACGGAAACCCAAAAAATGCTTTCAAGATTTTATGGCTAAATCCCACGGTGCTAACGCACGCTCCGATTGCCTTAAGGAGCCCTCGGCCTGACTGCATGGTATAAGTAATTAAGCGTAAGCCCCTGCAGCCTCCAGAGGCAGCCCAGCCCTAGAGGTCACGGCCATGGCGAGTGAAGCCAAAAGATATACATCCACTAACGCTGCTCTCTGCCACAGACGCTGCTCTCACTGCCAACTTCCTGTCCAATCTAATTCAAAAAGACACAAGCCATTTGTATTTCTGTTGCCAATACGTACAAAATCGAGGCGACTAATTGAGTGAGCTTTGAAAAGAACGAGGTGGGGGTGGGTGGGGTTATTTGGCTGCTATAAATTTGTACCTGATAAGCCACTTCGTTGAGTTATCACTTGTGGCCAGGTTGCTTCCGAAAAATAACGAATCGCTCAGTGGGTTTTACCTAGTAAAATACAAATAATATAGTTTTAGGTTGTTTATTTATTTTTAGTGATTTGTTTACCTTTCTTATATTTTGCAGTCTTATCGTTTTTGTTTGCATTGTTTGTTGTTGTAACTTTCTGACCCGCCCCCCTTACTGGACATCCGTAAAAAAAGAGCTTCACCACTCATCGGATTTCTCCAGTCTAATAAAGATTTTGATTCTGACGAGGAGCGGGGGGGGGAGGAACGTATTGGGGGTACATTGGTGCAGCATAACACACTGATCCTCATGAAATCTGCCTTTGGAACACGGAGCCAATTGTTATCAGGCTGGGTGCTATACGGAAAAAGCTACGTGTGTAGCGGGCTCAAACGGAGACTCAAGTCGTATTCTTGGAGGCAACGCATTTATTAATACCAACACACTAACACAAAGGGGTAACTACCCCTTCACCAGATAACAACCTATAATGGTGGTTCACCAGGCTAACTACACTAACTACACTCGGAGAAGCTACGATGGACGGGACCCCAGTTTGGGTCCCGGTCCCCGTGCTGGTGACTTGTCTTCGGACGTAGGCGTAGAACGCAGAGTCTTGAGGATAACAACAGCAGCCGGTGCCGTTCAGGGCTCCGGCTTATAACCTGTGTGGCGGGGCTCGCTCCTCCCCTAGCCACGCCCACCTTCTCGAACCCTCGAGGAGGATCTCCAACTCGGCACGTGATCCCCCCCAGCCCCCCTTTGGGGTCCCCGGGTAGACACCTCCGGTCAACGTGTTCCCCAGATTCAACCAGAGTTCCACGGCCACCTTGTAACCCCGTACCGTGCCAGAACTCTTGCCCTCTATCCTGTAAGGGCTGGCACTGCACGCAGAGCGTGGTCCCATCCATCACTGTCCATCAGTGCTTACCGAGCCCCGCGAGGGAGGGCCGGTACTGCATCCACCCTCGGTGGTGTCTGCGATGTCGGTACATCACGTGCCGTGCCTCTCCCAGGCCGGCTTCACACAGTGACACACACAGTGACATCCAACGATGTCACTACGCGTGTTCAGCTACTCATAACGTTCATCTTCCGACTGCTTAGACATTACAAGAACTGATTTTGATGCACCCGGCAAGATTTTATGACCCGCGGTTGTGAATCGCAGGAAAATAAATAATTTTTGCGAGAATTTTTGCTGTTTTTACACCGCGCACCACCGGTTTACCGCCAATGTGTTCAAATGTCAAAAGTGTTTATACGACGAGTTCACGTCCCGCGGTACGAGGTATGCCACGGCGGCAGCAGCAGCAGCACCACAGAGCAGCAGTCAACTCGGCGAGCCGCGCGCAGACCCCCGTGGTTCCAAGAGGAACCAAAAGCGTACTGTGACGGGAAAGGAAGTGCCGTAACGGCCACGCACGGCCACCGTGGATGGAGGGAAACGGGGCCCGGCGGAGCCACAGGGTGGTCCGCGTATCGCACCCATACACACGTGTCACGTCATCTTGCTGTGGCAAGCTGTCGAAGCTGACAAACAAACAAAAAAATCGAGCATATTTTCCAGTTAGAAATGTAAAAACGCGTGTAAAACGATCTGCTGCCGTACGAACATTATCTACAGGAAACGGTAAACGTACAGATAATAGGTTTGAAGTGCTATATTTAACCAGCAAAGCCTTCCCGAGTCTCAAGACCCTGGATTGGTATCTTTCGCCAATTTCACACGAAAGGCAGTTTGACCGTATTTACAGGAGCATACGCTGCTGCCACGGTGTGACGTGTGTCAACCATTTTAACTGTACACGTTTTATAATGGGTTGCCAATCACTGCCCCCCCCCAAAGGCCCAAATCGGCAAGCAAACCAGCAAAATAAAACGGCACTGCCCAATAAGATCAATGCATTTCTTGAATCGAGCAAGGTTACAAGAACTTGCGAAAAGAGGCGAGGGTAAGGGGGAGAATTCCAAAGTCGAGCGGAGGAGAAGGGGGAGAGGAGAAGCAGAAGAGCTTTCGATCCGCGGCGTTGAGGTTGAAACACGGCACGGTGGCGGCGGGTTGGCCGGGAGAGCCGTTGCCAGGCGACACACCTCTGCCCAGATTCTGCGCGCAACCACTTTCCGTCCCGTGTGATCCGTTTCAAAAGCCGCGGCCCTCTTCCCGGGAAACTTAAGCCACGTCAGGTGGCCACGTGCGGGGGGGGAGGGGGGGGGGGAGAGCAAGCTGTGGCACTCGCGCAACCGAACGCTCGCGATTCCAAGCATTCCCACCGCTGCCCACGGCCAAGCAACGTGGCACTGCGTGTCGCCCCCGTTCGCCATGGGGAAAACCCCTCGAGTGCGCAGGCCTCAGCGAGGACACGAAGCTGGTGGTGTGTGACAGCCTCGCGCGACAACAATGGCGCGAATACCCAATGTACAAATTCTCACTTCATCTTCCCGCAACCGGCTTGCAGGTGTGACTCACACCCGAGTGTGGCGAGTGAGGGGGTCATAAGGTAGGAGTGGGGGGGGGGGGTGGCGGGGGTGACTCCATTGCCTGACCAGAGCTGAGGTGAACAGTACCGTATATGAAGAGTACACAGTAGTGCAGTCAATTTCAAACACAACTTCCTCCCCAGCCGATTAAAAACTACCTCCAGATGGACTCCAAACAACTTAGCTGGCTGAGGACAGCTGCCCTGCTCAACACCGGAGAGCAGGGTGAGAACGATGACTCCTAATAAGGACAAAATTTTCCACACTACCTAAGTTACCTAAAACAGCCCGAAGTTGACAGTTTTTAAAGCAACGAGTGAACCAGGCTGCTGCCTACACTTATAAATTCTGCCGAAGCTCGCATGGCATTGTGGGGACTTGCCCACAATGATGCGGCAGCCTAACGGCACCTGAGTTAAATTTGTGGTTCACGTGACGATGAGGTCAATATGCTACACGAGCCAGCTGGCTGATGGTGATTTTAAACTACAGTAAACCGGGAGCAACCAGAAGGTATGGACACAAAAAGTGAAAGAATGTAAGAGCAGACCTTTTAGGCCTGGTATTAACTATGCAACTGCTCTGGGATCTGGCAGATAAGTTATGGTGATGTTGTCTGTTGATGGTGGTGACGGCATCAACAGCATTGGCCTTGATGACCTCTATAACTTCTACTTGAGTGGCCTTCCCAGCCATTCCAAGAATGTATGTATGTAGATATTTTTTCCCACCGTACATGGCCAACTGTGCTAATCGGAGGGGCGGAAGAAGGACAACAAACTAATACACAAAAACTGTTCTCAAAAAATGAGGAAGTAATGTACAATAAGTATAATCATTCAAAATTGACTCTTACAATTCTGGCAACCACACACACAAAACTGAATGTGCCTAAAAATCAATAGCTTCATATATATTTTTATGATGATGATGTTGAGATAATAATCATTACATGTGCAATTATGGCAGGTGGTCGAGATTAACAGTCGACTGGCAGCCAAAGGAGAGAACGTGCCCCCAATTGGACTTACACCAAAGAGATGGAGCAATGAGATGCAGTTCGTGTGCAGGAGATGCAGGGTTATTGTATTGCATGACCACGATAAATGATTACCGCTTGGAGTTGGCCTTGATCCAACAGTGGATAGATCGTGGCTGCTGATGATGATTATGGGGAGATGGGGATGGCGGTTTACTGCCATTTATTAGGGTGCAAGACGGCACGGGATGGCGTGGGAAGGCACGGTTGGCTTACAGCTCCGCAACGGCGCATGTGGCGGGAGAGCGGCTCACCCTGCAGCATGCTGCGGTAGGCCGAGTCCGTGATGGCGTAGATGTGGGGCGGCATCTCGTGGCGCTTCTTGCCCCGGTACATCTCGATTATCTGGTCCGTGTAGATCGGCAGGTTCTTGTAGGGGTTCACCACCACGCAAAAGAGTCCCGAGTAGGTCTGCGTGGACAACGACAACGCTCGAATCAGCAGCGTTCGCGCATCGGCGGAAAAAACTATTACGGCAAAATAGCCGTTCGCGATATAAATTCACGAACGCAAATGACCGTGCCACAAAAAAAAACCACGTTGAATTATTAACAGCGGTGCGCCGGGCAATGCTCTAAAGAGGAGTGAGATTCTGCATTTTGCTGGGTATCAGAAAATAGACAGCAGGTACGTCAATATGTACTGTAATAACGAGCGTCAGTTAACCTTCTCTGAGGTCAGTGCACTCTGCATTACCGATGTGACAGGAGGCATTATACGGAGTGCTGCTTTGGCAGTCCAGTGTACAAGGCCCGTGCGACCGTCTCATTCAGGGAACACGTCAAGGGACCCCCCTCCCCCGGACCTCCTCCACATCACTCCCACGGGGCAGCACTGCACCGTGCAACTGTGACCCGGCTTTCCAAAGAGCAACATTGCTGATTGCAAGCAAAACACACGAGTCACAAACAGACAAGTATGTTACTGCGGTAGCCCGTGGATGGGCAAAGTGGGAGAAATGAGCAAAATATCAAAGTAGATATTTACATAATTATAATTGGCCTCATGAAGCTTATTTATGAATTTTGAACACTGTATGTGGATATGTCATATTTGATATATTTGTTTTCTGTCCTCTGCATTTGGCCGGGTGGTACTGCTGTTATAATAATGGTATTTATAATGCTCTTTATCTAGGAAAGCCTCACCAAGTAACAAGACTCTTTATTTAGAGGCTAATTGCATTGGGATATTTGACCGATTTCAGGCACGCTTAAACAAAACAATACACATAGGGTAACTGTACATATCGCTCCACACAACTATGTAAATATAATACCCTGCAGTGTGTCCGCATGCTGCAATGAGCATGCGGGGGACAGTGTTCATCTGCATTGGGTGGCCCTGAGAACGTAATGGTGGAAATTCCACATTCTCATGGCAGGTGCTCCAGTTTATGCAAAGGATGACCACTTTACTTCCCGCAAAACATATTCTCATGTTATGGACCCTGCAAGGATGATGCAACTAAAAAAAATACATGTTACATTCAGGACTGTAGGAGACTGTAGGAAGTGAAAATCCTCTTGACGTTAAAAAAAACACGAACAATTCCGCTGATGCGCGCGAAAGCAGCAAAACACCACAAACTGTCTGCGGGACGGCGGTCTTCTTCTCACAGGCAGTGAGAAAGAGCTTTGAGCCGTGCGCTCCGATCTCAAACCCCCCCTCCCAACTTTGCTCAGTGCGCGAGGCCTAGCAGGGTTCACTGGCCTCTGGAATGTCACAGGAGGTTTACCCTCCTTCTGGCAGATAAGCAGCGACGGACACGGCGACCCAAGAGCACAGCTTCGTTGCACGCTGGTAATCAGGGCAGCATTGCAACATTGGAGAGCAAAACTCCCCAACTATGTTTTTGTTTTTTCATAAATGTGTGATTACACCTCCGCTTCGAGTCTCTAAGCATAATGTACGGTTGCTCGATGAGTATAGTTGTTTTTGGGCATGTTAAACAGAAGGAAATTTAATTAGCCAAACATCTCAGTGATGCTCTCTTGGATAAACAGCATTACTATTATTAATCTACTCTGACGTTTTATTACGGCCTCCAAGTTTGCACCTCCGCAGGAGACCAAAGTAACATTTGAATATTCGTAATTTTACAAAACCTACGGCGCTCGCGCTTTGACGCGTATTCCTAAAGTGTGCGGCCCGCTCTCGCCTGCCCGAGGCTGCGGCATCAGCGCAGTCTCACTCTCCTTCCTGCTGCTGCTGCTCCACTTTCTCAGGCGGCAGGAAGTCACCGAGCGACGCACAGAAAAAACGCTGGTGCTCCACGCGTGGTGGGACGTGGTCCTACAAGCGCAGGCCATCTGGAAGGGGGGGGGGGACACTCTTGTGCCAATGCCGCTTGCACGACCCCGATCTCGTGCTTGTGCCGTAATGCCGCACTGATTAAGTGACTTTGCACCGCCACTGCGTCCAGATAACGCCCCGCTCGGGAAGTTTCTTTGAGACGCCGTCGCCGAGCGTCGCCAACGAACACAATCGCCCCAGGGCGGTTGGGGGTGGAGCAGGAACAGTCTCGGTGCGGGTTTGTGAAATTAACGCTCGCCTCATGGCTGTAAACTGGTATTTTAAACACCCAGGCTTAAAGCTCATAGCACCTCCAGCGCACGATTAATTAAGAATCCAAAATTAGGTTTTCATTCGTGTTCATTTGCACCGACATCCCTGAAGATAATTTCCACGCACCAACAAAATTTTGCACTCAAATCACGTATCGTCTTAACTATGTCACAAATGTCTAAACACGTAAATGTAATCGCCCACGTATTTTTTTTGTCCAACTTGGTGAATAAATTTGCGTTCTTTCAAGGCACCCTTGCCAGCATGCTTCGTTTTTTTTCTCAAGGAATGAGTTACAGAAGGTGGTTAACTGCTCGTGAAATCCATCATCCAATGTTTAGTATCAATCATAGAAACATTGTGCCAAGTGCAGACACGGAGCAGACTCTCTCGACTATGTGACCCAGACTGACTTATTTGGTTCACGGACGCAGGAACCGGTATCAATTTTGTGATTTTCGTAACAATTGCCACATTCACTCATAGACATGTAAACTCATGGCGGTGCAGACAGTGCGGGCGGTGAGGGACTACTGTGGAATGCTGGCACGATGGCGAACTAGTCGGATCGCAATCGAAGAGCAGATCCCACAACATGCTCATAAAGATCGTTAATGATTCGTTAGTACACACAAGGCCAGATTAGGACCGGACCGCTGAATATGTTTAGAAAGTGCGTCTTGATTTGTTCACGTTGCATTCGGAACTCGAAATGCTCAACCCAAGCACACAGCTTCGATATGCCACACTCCTGCACACACTTCCTGCATACACCCACAAGCAAAGAAAAAGATCCCCCGTATAGCCTTAACAGACTATTGAGGCAAGTGCTGTTAGCAAGCACTTATAAAGGCTGGCACGACACACGAGGGGGTGGGTGGCCATCAACACACCCGACCGCCATTGTCTCCCCTGTGGCGATATTTACACACCGCACCAGGTACTCATTTGAGGGCAACTCGACCTCGAGGAGGCCCAAGACCGGTTCAGATAATCGTCACTGGTGTTGGCCGTGCGTAAGAATCGAACTCGGGTAGCCGAGTTCGTAGCACAGCGCGTTAACCGTTGCAGTACCACTCCCCTTAACCACACACGCAAACACACACAAACACACGCACACAAACGCGCACCTTCCCCCTCTCCCACCAACCCCCGCCACACTCCCTCCCACCCAGAGCTGACCAAATTCCACTCCCACAGGCAAGTTAACCCTCATTCCCAACACATACTACCCATACAAAAATACACCCCTAATCCACAACCCTCCCCTCGGCCCCTCCACACACTACTACCGTCCCCATCACATAAACGAGCCTCCCACTCAGCCCAACTCCAGACAAACTCCGCTCTCTCACGCAAACCCGCTCAAACACACACACGCAAAGATAAAGACAAATATCCTCCATCTAGCTTCAGACACTGTTGCGGCAAATGCTGTTAACGAGCATGTACTAAGGCCAGCACGGGAGCACACCATTACCTCCCAGACGCCGATATTCCCAAGCTGCACCGCGGTTTTCATTTCAGGCAGAGACGAGATAAAGAAACGTGGTCCGAACTGCAAATGGTGAGGAGTGTAGCTGCATTTACAAAGGATTCTGACCGATGATAAGATTAATCGAAAATGGTTGAGTCCACCTTGTGGGGTGGCCCAGGCCTAGTTTAGGATCCACTGGTCACCATCAACATGGTCAAGAAATGGATTGCGGTAGGTCGCAGTGCAGTGTCCCAGCAAAGTCTACGATCCCTCACGTAGCCATATCACAAACGTATGAGGCAAGTGCTGTTAGCGAGCACCAATTAAGGCCGGCACTGCACACCACGGGGGTGGGTGGCCAGCACCCCGCCCAGCCGCCTTTGTCTCCCCATTGCTGCTGATTACGCACTGCAAGAGGTATTAATTTTAAGGCTGAGTCGACCTAGGGGAGGCCGAGGACCGGTTCAAATATTCAATGTTATTATTTGTGAGCGGGAATCGAATTCGGTGCGAACACGCACACATGCGTGCACTCCCCACTCTCTCACACACACAATACGATAAAGCACGATCTGGATGTAGACAGCGCGGGAGGAGCATACGGGTCTGGGCAGCATGAAGAGATTATTTGTTTGCTTTAAGAGCCGGGAACGAGCGGTAGAATGTGACAGGGCCAATGGAGGAATTGAGACGACATTATGCACAAGAGGTGTGAAGACACTTCAAGGAGCGGAGACGGTCAGTCAGTCATGCGCATAAGGAAAGAGGCAAGTCTTTTTTCGCACAGTATGCAGCCAACAGTGCTAATTTGAGGTTTAAAGCAGGGAGAGAGTCTCAGCAGTGCAGAGTTCCAGAGGAAGGGAATTCTAGACATTGAGAGCAGCAGCAGCGAAGAGTAATCCGACCATCAAGTGGAGGTTCTCGGAAGGCTTTGACAGAAGGCCTTGAAAGTTTGAACGGATGGTCACGGGAAGCGGAATAGAAGTGGGACGATTGGGCGGAGGTACGCATAAAAACATCGGGTACGGTCGCCCACACTCTCACCCAAGCATGCACACCTGTACAAAGATAAAGATCCCCCGTATAGCCTTAACAGACTATTGGGGAGAGTTCTGTTAGCAAGCACCTAGGAAGGCCATCATTGCACACGAGACGCTGGGTGGCTAACACCACATCCGGTGTTTACACACTGTTCCAGGTACTCATTTAAGGCTGAGTCGACCTAGAGGAACCACAGGACTGGTTCAAACATTTGCCATTTTTATCGGTCGTGAGCGGAAATTAAATTTGAGCCGCCGGGTTCATAGCAGTGGAGTGCGCTAACCACTACACTGCCTGCCTGTATACACACAAATGGTGCTCGCTCACACACACCAATACCAGCCATTCGCCACTAAGTGACAGTGACGTAACCACGGCCCCTGTGCCAGGCCGCACACACACTCACGTACGCGTGCACGGGTGCGAACTCACGTAGATGAGTCCCGAGTAGTATCGGTCCTTGAGATTGTGCAGCACGGATGCCTCATTGAGGCATGTGAGCTCCGCCATGTCCTCCACCTTGCAGAACTTGGGCGGGTTCATCTTCTGAATGTCATCCTTGTTCACCACCGCCTTCTTGCCGTTCTCCGCCAGCTCCACCATCACGTCGTCGCCGCGCTCCTCCTGCACGCTGGCCGACTCGAAGCCGTGGCGTTCCGACGGCACCCACACCAGACGCTTGGCGGTCCAGTCCGCCTGCTGCCCGGGCACACAATGCCCCGAAATCGTCAACTTACCCGCTGGACACGCCTGCCCCGTCCGCACCGTAGCTGCATGACTCTCAGCTTAGCACCCTACCCCACCGCCACCACGAGCCCCCACAGGCATTTGTTAACCCAAGGATCAAGATAAAAAATGCCATCATTGTGATGCCACCACCACCGTGCATTTCATCGAGATGCCACCACCACCGTGCATTTAATCGAGATGCCACCACCACTGTGCATCTCATCGTGATGCCACCACCACCGCATCTCATCGTGATGCCACCACCACCGCATCTCATCGTGATGTCACCACCACCGCATCTCATCGTGATGCTACCACCACCGCATCTCATCGTGATGTCACCACCACCGCATCTCATCGTGATGCCACCACCGCCACATCTCATCGTGATGTCACCACCACCGCATCTCATCGTGATGTCACCACCACCGCATCTCATCGTGATGCCACCACCACTGTGCATCTCATCGTGATGTCACCACCACCGCATCTCATCGTGATGTCACCATCACCGCATCTCATCGTGATGCCACCACCACTGTGCATCTCATCGTGATGCCACCACCACCGCATCTCATCGTGATGTCACCACCACCGCATCTCATCGTGATGTCACCACCACCGTGCATCTCATCGTGATGTCACCATCACCGTGCATCTCATCGTGATGTCACCACCACCGTGCATCTCACGGTGATGCCACCATCACCGTGCATCTCATCGTGATGTCACCACCACCGCATCTCATCGTGATGTCACCACCACCGTGCATCTCATGGTGATGCCACCATCACCGTGCATCTCATCGTGATGTCACCACCACCGCATCTCATCGTGATGCCACCACCACCGCATCTCATCGTGATGCCACCACCACTGCATCTCATCGTGATGCCACCACCACCGTGCATCTCATCGTGATGTCACCACCATCGCATCTCATCGTGATGTCACCATCACCGCGTCTCATCGTGATGTCACCATCACCGTGCATCTCATTGTGATGCCACCACCACTGTGCATCTCATCGTGATGCCACCATCACCGCATCTCATTGTGATGTCATCATCACCGCATCTCATCGTGATGTCATCATCACCGCATCTCATCGTGATGTCACCACCACCGCATCTCATCGTGATGCCACCACCGCACCTTATAGTTGATGTGTTCTGCCCACCGCTGGATCCCGCAACTCGATTAATCTTTATTTAAAAAAATATTCTACGAGCCAATATCGCCCTCAATAAAGTAGGCGGTCAGTGCACATTACGACAGAATAGGAATGCTACAGCGGGCATGGAACAAGAAGAATAAAAAAAAACCCTGTCAGTACTTTCAGTGGCTAACACCGACTAATTATAATAAATTGCAACTGCACGCAAAATAAAGTGCAGCCGCACGCAACGAACAGCATAAGAAAAGTACAGTAGATACGCGACCTCCAAGATCTGTCCTCGTAGAATACCACCACATGCTCTTCGGGTATTCCTCTTGGTTGCAAGACTGGTGGTCGCTGTCGCCGTCTTGTTTGTATTGTTTCTGTGGGTTTTTTTACGTTTTGTTCGCTATCTTAGCCTACAAGTAAGGTAAATAAACCATTTTTAAAACGTGTAGATTTTGACTTGTAAATGCACTCCCGAATGCTCATAAGCGGCGTAAGATTTTCCTTTCTAAATAGACGAATCGATGCAACGTTACATGACTGTCATGTGTGTATTACAGTGCACCCACAAAGTTAGTATAAAGAGTCAACAAAAGTATTCCCGCTCACACAGGCTTTTGGTGGCACGCACATCCGAGCCAGAAATCGAAATTCCACAATCCAGGATCATAATATTTATTTATACTGGAGGAATCCGAAGGGCTATAAAGCGCTTTTTCACAGATGTCCAGTAGGGGCGGGTCAGAAAGTTACAACAACAAACAACACAAAAACAAGAGAGGAGTGCAAAGTGTAGGAAAATTAATCACGACAAAAAACTATTTTTTATTTTACCAGGTAAAGCCCACGGAGCTATCAGCTTCTTTTTCAGAAGCGGCCTGGAAACAAATGATAGCTCAACGAAGTGGCTCATCGCGTGGAAATTTATAGCAGCTGCCAAATAATCTATATAATCACAGTTTTGCTCTGGACAGCTAATGGTGTCTTTCCAACAAAGTGGTATTAATTTCGTTGACACCAGGGAGGCCTCAAGATTCAACTCGCGACCTTACGATTGTCGGCCAAGCGCGCCTTTCCACTGGACCACATGGCCGAATATTATCACCATTCTTAGTCTTACATTATCAAGCAAGTTGTGAGGATGACGATCGTGAAATTACACCATCAGCAATATTCAGTGAAGCACAAACTGTTCCAACATAGTTTTGGTTTTATCTATGCTTTGCTGCGTAGTAAAATGTAATGATATTTTGATATTCCAATTAAGGGGAATGACCTTGCATCCCCAATAAATCAACTTACTTCTCTGGATTTACAATGTGAAGTCTTATCTCGAACCAGCACTGGTGTGGTAATGTATCTGTGCTGCGTTCAAGTGCAGAAACACTATTTATAGTCACGAAACAAAAAGGAAACATTAACGTCGTTATCAGGGTTCTACATTCGACCCTGTCACTGTCTCTTCTGGAATGGGGGTTCGCGAGACATTAGCATCTTAGTTGTAGTCTATGTACCAATGCAACGTCATTCACTGACGCAGTATTGCATTTCGTTTGTTCGATATTTATTGATATAATACTGATGTTAACGTATAATTCAGCACAGCATTAATGACGTGCACAAAAGTCTACTTTATTCCATTTGCTTGCACGCCGCTCTTGCACTTGTGGCCTCTACATTTTTTTCTCAGCTCTGCTGAGCAAAGAACCATCTCATTTCAATTGCCTCTCGCCTGCTCAAATAAAATAAAAAACACGGGTTCCACTCAAACAGTGTCCAGTGGGTGTTGGTGGGTGGTCGTGTGGGGGGAAGCCGTGGTCACACATCGGTGGCGATTCTCAGTGACCGCACAGCGAGCAACGGCCAGGCACAGCCAAGTCCCACGACGTCATCACGGCTCGAAGGAGCGGGCATGCAGGGACAGACGCCGCGTGGCTTCCAGCGTACCTGTGTAGCCATGTTGTAGACGACACCCTTGTCCACATACAGATACTTGTCTGGGTCCTCCGAAAAGCTGGCGCTGATGCTGCTCCGGTGCGCCATGACGCTCCCTGTGGCGGCCTGCTGGGTGGACATGATGATGCTCCCTGTGGCCTTTGCTGTGCGGACGGAGGGCCACGTGCAAAAACATCATGCGTGCGATTTTAGGTGACGTGGTCACACGAATGCTTTCCATTGGCGGGCGCCAAAAGCGGTCCGGCTAAGATTGCTACACTAACGAACAGTTCACGGCCGATGACTTTTGCGTGTAAATATAAAGCGTGACACGGGGACGCAACGCGCCCCAGAATCTTGGCGCTCGATGCCGAACGAAGATATCATCGCTCAACTGCCACGGCCATGACATAATTGACCACGGCTTAGATTACGACACTGAAATGCAGAAACAACTAATTTTTGTATCGCCATTAGGCAATTCTGTGACTGTGCACAGCAATCCAATCACACACCTACAAAAGGCGACAATAGATCTGCCGGCCCCGTGAGCACAGTAAGCTCGGATTAGGCCTCCGAGTTGGCCCGCAGATGCAGGGGTGGCACAGCTGCCGTCACTCTGCGCGCCGCACGCCAAGAGGCTCAGTTGCCACAGCGCAAACCTCTTCCATTACACACCATGCACCACCGCTCCATCGCTCCATCGCCACGCACACCTCCGTAAGCGCGCACGTCACACCGTGGAGGCGTTACACACCTTTTCCATTGCACCCCACACACATCTCCGTCGCCACACACACACCTCCGTCACCACACACACCTCCGTCACCACACACACACCTCCATCACCACACACATCACTATAAAGCACACCAAGTACCATACACTCCACCGCACAGCACCTGTAAACAATAGACACACCATAATAGTACCATGCATGCCTTGATCACCAGGCACACAATGAATACCAGAGACACCACTAACAGATGAATGGATTTTCACCAGGCCCACGTACACCACCTAGCAGCACTAAATAACCACACACAGCCCCACGCATGACTATTTCACCAGACACCCCATCAACACCATCAGCCAAACATCACACTTCGACCATCACCAGCAGCACCAGCAAAGCCATCACCTCCACCAGGCTCCCCTAAATGCGGATATCGAGCTGATGTGGTTAATACATTTCGTGCCAATACCGTACACCATAAACCCTTTTTTTTGGCCTCAGTGGCAACTCGTAAAATAACCTCCCTGCCGTGCGGTTAAGGTCTTAACGGTCACCACAAAATCACGCCGTGGATTATTCAGGCGCATGAAGACTAATTTACAGAGTCAGGCAGCAAGAGAGCTGGGACCCCCCCCACCTCCTGTCACCTCCCCCCCATCACTGCGGAACCTGCCAAGAGCTACCGTACCTTGGTGACAAACGAGCGGAGGCTCTGCAGCACCGGCTCCAATTGAAAAATCCAAGAACAGGCGGCGGCTTCGCTGCTTTTAAAGGAACATTTGTTACGTTACGTGACTCATGCTGCGAATACGGGTTTAATTTTAGCCAAGGGGGGGGGGGGGGGGGGGGGGGGGGGGGGGGGGGTAACAGAGTAGCCACCGTGCGGACCGTCTATATTCGTCCGCACAAAATACACCCGTGGCCTGCGCGGCCCCCATTATGACGATGGCACAATTTTTATCGTGGCGCGAAGACTCCCGGGGTTTCTCTTTTGCGGCACACGGCTGGGGGGGGGCTGCTGGGGTAGCAGCAGCAGCGGCAGCAGGGGCAGCGGCTGCCCTTGGCAAGGGGTGAGGGGCATGGGAAGGGAACAGGGGGGATGGGGTGAGGGCAGGCGAGAGAGGTACAGTAGGCTAACAGGGGGGGGGGGGGGGGGGATGGAGCATCAGAAGAGCGGTACACGCAGAGATTACGACTGGCGGGAACAATGAGGCGACAATCAGTTTGGTAGAAAGTCACCGTTTTAATAACCAGATATCAGCCCGTTCAAAGCGGACTGGCTGGTGTCGCTGTGGGTTAAACGCACTGCACTATAAACTCCAAAGACACGAGTTTGATTACCATTGTGGCAAGTGACACTGTACCTAAATCGGTCCTGGCCTCCAAACCAACCCGCATTGAGACCAGCGTGGTGAAAGAATGGTCAAACAATCTCTACGGACCGGCAAAATATTGCGAGGCCTTCGTCCGGCAATGGATTAACAAAGGGCTGTAAGCTAAGAGCACCCTTGACAGTAGGAATCTCTCTGTTAAGGCAGACCTGGGATTAAATAATTAACAAGTCAGGGAATGGGAATTGGAGGGGTGGGCTGGGAGAGGGGAGATGGGTGGATGAAGCGGTCACAAAGAGGGGATGAGAGGCAGCAGGAGGAGGGAAGCAGGGGATGGGTAAGGGAGGAATGGGCAAGATGGTTTGGACGATACTGCCCTGATGAGCCTCGTTCAAACTGGCCGGAACACCCTGCACCCGACTCTAAACCCGAGCCCAGTTCGTGCCAAAGCAAAAACCACGAACCACACGGCGACAAAAGCAATAAAATGTTAAAACACGGCACACCCCCCCCCCCCCCCACCAATTAACACAATCACTGGACACAACCCACCGTCTTTTAACATCGGCAGCCACGGGCATAATCGTGGCGACAATCACGGTGACAGCCACATTGACAGTTATAACCATCATAGGAAAAAGCACATTATCAACTCAAAGATAACAACGTATAACTAATCGGTAATATAACTTAACGGTCATAGCAACCACAAAGCCAGCCACAAAGCCATCAGAACCCAAACACTCGCAACACCCACACTCAACCACACTTTCAACCTAACCACGTTTAGAACCTAGCAACCAAAACCCAAACGCAACCACCGCCACATCACAACCACAGTCCAACTGCAAATCCGGCCCTACCAGAACCAAACCACCACCTATCCCTCGACCCAACCGCAACCCTACCACAACCATTTCTCAACCACAACCTGTCCACCACCCAACCACAATGACAACCGCGGCTCAACCACAACCACAGCTCAACCACGACAGCGGCCACACCCCGCCACTGACAACACACAACCGCAGCTCAACCACATCAACAGCCAAAGCCACAGTGTTGCCACGGCCCAAACCACAACCACGGCCCAAACCACAACCACGCCACAGTGCCACCACAGCTCAACCATTTCAGCAAGCACACAACACCACCACCACCACCACCGATGAAACACAACCACAGCAAATAACCACAGCCACAACCGCTGGGGCCTGCCCGGGCCCGAATAACGGGTACCCGCTCGCGCCATGTTGAGCTCTCCCGCCCGAAGGGACGCGGCTCGCACCTCGCGGAGCCGGACTCCGAGCCGGACACGACCACAAAGCAGCTCGAACCAAAACGTCAACGGGGACCCTGACCGCAAACCCCCGAGCCGGACCCCCCCCCCACACCCCCGTCCCGCTTGGCCTCTCACCTCGGGGACCCCGCGAGCTCGTGCGAGAGGGAGAGCAGCGCAGAGCGGCGCGCGCCCTGCAGCAGCAGCAGCGACGGAATGAGCGCGCTCAAGCCCGCCGCGTGCCCCGCCCCTCGTCTCGCGCACCCTCCCCACGCCCCCCATAGACCCCCCCCCATGGGCCCGCCCCTCGTCTCGCGCACCTCCCCCCGCCTCCCCCAAAGACCCCCCACCCATAGGCCCGCCCCCCCCTATAGACCCGCCCCTCGTCTCGCGCGCTCCCGCCCCCCCGCCCCCCCTTTCGAGCCACCCCTCCCATAAACCCGCCCCTCGTCTCTCGCACCGCCCTCGCCCATAGACCGTTACTCATCTCGCACACCTCCCCCCGGCTCCCCCATAGCCTCGCCCCCCATAAACCCGCCCCTCAACTAGCGCCCCCCCCCTTATAGAGCCCCCTCCCCCATAAACCCGCCCCCGTCTCGCGCACCGCCCCCTTTAATAGAGCCCACCACCTACAAATATCTCCCCCCCCCCACCTCCTCGCAACACGCTCTCGCCCCCCAAATAAACCCCGCCCCTCCCGCACCTGTCTTACAGAGGGCCCCGCCCCTCGTCTCGGGCCCCCAACAATGTCAGGGTGACTTGAGGTGATGGGGGATATCCAGCAGTTCTAGCGGTCATGGGGGATTGGCCTAGGGGTGGGGGGGGGGGTGCAAGTGAAGAGAGGTTATTGGGGAGTATAGTTTCCGGGAAGTGGATGTTTAATTAGGGGATCTCGGAGGGGTTCATTGGCAGGGAGTGGCTCTAAGCATAAGAAAACTAACGTTTAGGGCCTCAATCAGCGCAAGGGGCCCTGGATTCATGGCAAATATGGGTGAATCAATAATTATCTCGAATTAAAAACAAGAACAAACAACACGATAATTACGCCCATGAATTCAGTACCTTTCATCTGACTCCTTGTCTTACTCTGGCCTATAACATCTGGCCTCACTACATTTTTATCTCTTGCCGAACGCCTCTTCCCTCATCTTCGCTTGGAGTTACACAAATTATAATTGAGGGGGGTGGCCCTCGAAATGTTTTGCTTTGGGCCCTCAATGGCCCAGGAGCGCCACTGGTTGTTTGGGTGTCTGGGGTAGTTAATTGGGGTGACGTGAATAATAGGGGAGGAAGGGGGGGGGGAATTTGTGGGAGGAGCCTCAATCCCTCTACCCTCTGTGACGTCACTTAGACGGGATGCTCCGTCCCTATACACGATTATACAGTACAGTACTCGACAGTACTCGGTATAGAAAACCAATATATAACAATGGAGTAAGGCAGTGAAAACGACAGTGATGTATTGCTGGGCAATGCTGGGGCTTCCACTTTAAAAACCACGCGGACCCTTGAATTGTTTTGGCGTCGCGCGTACGATGTCTAAACAAAACGCGACCGTTATAAGCAGGCAAAGGGCGGTGACATGACGCCATACCCACACCACACGGCATGACGTCGGGCTGAGGCGTCCAGAAGGTTGCGTCGTGGGAGAAAAAAAATGTTGTGATGTCTCGCTCAAAGCACCTGCACGGTGACGTCATACCGAAGAACACAGGTTGATTGCGTCATTGTATTAAAGATTGTCTGCAGATTGCGTCATTCTGAAGTGCCCAATCTGGAACTGGGTCATTCCGCAGCGGGTCTATCGGATGACGTCAGTCTCGAATGTCTACAAATGTTGTGCCTAGGTGATGACGCCATGCTGGCGAATCATGCCGTGACGTCACGCAATACTTAAGCGCCGGAATTAACAACAATGCTGCAGTCCACAATTTGCAGGTGTTTTGAGGTTATATCGCTGATATATAAATGTGTCGTTAAACCCGCCACCACCCGACACAGCCAATTAGTAAGGTTTATCACCCAAACAGAAGATGGCAATTCGTTACTCGTACACCAACACCAATGTGTTGGAGAGCAAATCCACGACATTTAAAGTCACGTAGGTATAAAAATTTAATAAATCACGACGTTTCGGGCGCAACACAAGCGTCCGTCATCAGGTGGGGAAAGCGATGGTCTGCTGCTGAAGCAGACTGTTTTATAAAGGTTTTAAATGGGTGTAGCTCAAGGGTCATAAAGAAGTGGCCGGGGCTAGTGATGTTAATGTGAGAATTTAGCGTGATGTTAATGTGAGAAATTAGCATGTAACTGTGAGATAGGATGAGAGCGGCCTCCTCGATTAGGGCACGGAAGTGGCTATGTTAATGTGAGGGATTAGCATGATGTTAATGTGATCAATTAAAGGGCACGGAAGTGGCTATGTTAATGTGAGCGATTAGCATGATGTTAATGTGAGAAATTAGAGGGCACGGAAGTGGCTGTGTTAATGTGAGAAATTAGAGGGCACGGAAGTGGCTATGTTAATGTGAGAGATTAGCATGATGTTAATGTGAGAAATTAGAGGGCACGGAAGTGGCTATGTTAATGTGAGGGATTAGCATGATGTTAATGTGAGAAATTAGAGGGCACGGAAGTGGCTATGTTAATGAGAGATTAGCATGATGTTAATGTGAGAAATTAGAGGGCACGGAAGTGGCTGTGTTAATGTGAGAGATTAGCATGATGTTAATGTGAGAAATTAGAGGGCACGGAAGTGGCTGTGTTAATGTGAGAGATTAGCATGATGTTAATGTGAGAAATTAGAGGGCACGGAAGTGGCTATGTTAATGTGAGGGATTAGCATGATGTTAATGTGAGAAATTAGAGGGCACGGAAGTGGCTATGTTAATGTGAGGGATTAGCATGATGTTAATGTGAGAAATTAGAGGGCACGGAAGTGGCTATGTTATTGTGAGAGATTAGCATGATGTTAATGTGAGAAATTAGAGGGCACGGAAGTGGCTGTGTTAATGTGAGAGATTAGCATGATGTTAATGTGAGAAATTAGAGGGCACGGAAGTGGCTGTGTTAATGTGAGAGATTAGCATGATGTTAATGTGAGAAATGAGAGGGCACGGAAGTGGCTATGTTAATGAGAGATTAGCATGATGTTAATGTGAGAAATTAGAGGGCATGGAAGTGGCTATGTTAATGTGAAGGATTAGCATGATGTTAATGTGAGAAATTAGAGGGCACGGAAGTGGCTATGTTAATGTGAGGGATTAGCATGATGTTAATGTGAGAAATTAGAGGGCACGGAAGTGGCTATGTTAATGTGAGAGATTAGCATGATGTTAATGTGAGAAATTAGAGGGCACGGAAGTGGCTATGTTATTGTGAGAGATTAGCATGATGTTAATGTGATCAATTAGAGGGCACGGAAGTGGCTATGTTAATGTGAGAGATCAGCATGATGTTAATGTGAGAAATTAGAGGGCACGGAAGTGGCTATGTTAATGTGAGGGATTAGCATGATGTCAATGTGAGAAATTAGAAGGTATGGAAGTGGATATGTTAATGTGAGAGATTAGCATGATGTTAAGGTGAGAAATTAGAGGGCACGGAAGTGGCTATGTAAATGTGAGGGATTAGCATGATGTTAATGTGATAAATTAAAGGGCACGGAAGTGGCTATGTTAATGTGAGGGATTAGCATGATGTTAATGTGAGAGATTAGCATGATGTTAATGTGAGAAATTAAAGGGCACGGAAGTGGCTGTGTTAATGTGAGAGATTAGCATGATGTTAATGTGAGAAATTAGAGGGCACGGAAGTGGCTATGTTAATGTGAGGGATTAGCATGATGTTAATGTGAGAAATTAGAAGGCACGGAAGTGGCTATGTTAATGTGAGGGATTAGCATGATGTTAATGTGAGAGATTAGCATGATGTTAAGGTGAGAAATTAGAGGGCACGGAAGTGGCTGTGTTAATGTGAGAGATTAGCATGATGTTAATGTGAGAAATTAGAGGGCACGGAAGTGGCTATGTAAATGTGAGGGATTAGCATGATGTTAATGTGAGACATTAGAGGGCACGGAAGTGGCTATGTTAATGTGAGGGATTAGCATGATGTTACTGTGATAAATTAAAGGGCACGGAAGTGGCTATGTTAATTTGAGGGATTAGCATGATGTTAATGTGAAAAATTAGAGGGCACGGAAGTGGCTGTGTTAATGTGAGAGATTAGCATGATGTTAAAGTGAGAAATTAGAGGGCACGGAAGTGGCTATGTTAATGAGAGATTAGCATGTTAATGTGAAAAATTAGAGGGCACGGAAGTGGCTGTGTTAATGTGAGGGATTAGCATGATGTTAATGTGAGATATTAGAGGGCACGGAAGTGGCTATGTTAATGTGAGAGATTAGCATGATGTTAACGTGATAAATTAAAGGGCACGGAAGTGGCTATGTTAATGAGATATTAGCATGATGTTAATGTGAAAAATTAGAGGGCATGGAAGTGGCTATGTTAATGTGAGAGATTAGCATGATGTTAAGGTGAGAAATTAGAGGGCACGGAAGTGGCTATGTTAATGTGAGAGATTAGCATAATGTTAATGTGAGAAATTAGAGGGCACGGAAGTGGCTATGTTAATGTGAGAGATTAGCATGATGTTAATGTGAAAAATTAGAGGGCACGGAAGTGGCTATGTTAATGTGAGGGATTAGCATGATGTTAATGTGAGAAATTAAAGGGCACGGAAATGGCTATGTTAATGTGAGAGATTAGCATGATGTTAATGTGAGATATTAGAGGGCACGGAAGTGGCTATGTTAACGTGATAAATTAAAGGGCACGGAAGTGGCTATGTTAATGAGATATTAGCATGATGTTAATGTGAAAAATTAGAGGGCATGGAAGTGGCTATGTTAATGTGAGAGATTAGCATGATGTTAAGGTGAGAAATTAGAGGGCACGGAAGTGGCTATGTTAATGTGAGAGATTAGCATAATGTTAATGTGAGAAATTAGAGGGCACGGAAGTGGCTATGTTAATGTGAGAGATTAGCATGATGTTAATGTGAGAAATTAGAGGGCACGGAAGTGGCTATGTTAATGTGAGAGATTAGCATGATGTTAAGGTGAGAAATTAGAGGGCACGGAAGTCACTATGTTAATGTGAGAGATTAGCATGATGTTAATGTGAGAAATGAGAGGGCACGGAAGTGGCTATGTTAATGTGAGAAATTAGCATGATGTTAATGTGAGATATTAGAGCGCACGGAAGTGGCTATGTTAATGTGAGAGATTAGCATGATGTTAATGTGATCAATTAGAGGGCACGGAAGTGGCTATGTTAATGTGAGGGATTAGCATGTTAATGTGAGAAATTAGAAGGCATGGAAGTGGATATGTTAATGTGAGAGATTAGCATGATGTTAAGGTGAGAAATTAGAGGGCACGGAAGTGGCTATGTTGTGAGGGATTAGTATGATCTAAGAGAGAGGCATAGAGAGACACAGAGAGTCGGATCCGTTTATTTACAATCATGATGATGGAGCGTTTGGGTTATGGAGTAATGCTGCGGCTGTGGTTATTTATCGTAAACGGGGCTAATGTTTGGGTTCATTTAAATACAGTGCCAACCCCGGTCGAGGGTCGACTCAGCCCATCACCCTTGTGAGGTCCATAACATTTGTACCACCTTGTTGGAACTTAACGCGACGGGACCATAGGGGCCGTCCATAAATGACGTCACGCACCTGGCGGGGGGGGGGGGTCAGACATTTGTGACGATGTGACGAGGGGGGGGGTTTGATAAATGTGACGTCACATCAAAATCCGCAACTTTAAAGCCCTAATTACTTTGACAGTGGATTGTCTTTGAGCTGTACGCCTTTTGGTGTCATCTGGTCTACCACCAATTGAGACCAGGCTCTAATGAAAGCTGTCTGGTGTGGACCAATCAGATTCAAGGACAATGCATATATTATCAGTGTTTTTTTACTGCAAATATTGTGGTTAATGCAGTAACATGAATCCTCATAAAAAAAGGTTTCAGTTTTGTTGCCAGAAAAAAGGGGAAAACCCTATTATTATATTTTGATACTGGCAAAGGAGGTCCAATGATGTAGATGCTTGACCCGAGCCCTCATTACTTTGATAGTGCATTGTCTTTGAGCTGTACGCCTTTTAGAGTCATCTGGTCTAGCACCAATTGAGACCAGGCTCGAAATAAAGCTCTCTGGTGTGGACCAATCAGATTCAAGGACAATGCATATATTATACTCTGTTTTTTTTAGGTAAAGTCACGTAGGTAAAATAAAATTGAAAATAAAACAATTAAATCACGTTTTGCCAGAAAAAAGGGGAAAAACCCGATTATATCTTAGTACTGAAATGTCCCCGACAGCCTCATGCTGACAAGACACTCGAACCGTTCTCATGTTGAGATTGTCGCAGCAACGAGGTAGCAGCTCTCATTGTGGGCACCAAGGTGGCAAGATGTTAATTATCTGGCCTGGTAAACAGGTGGTGGTGGGTTCGATCACGACCCTGACGCCTACTGTATATTTTGGGTGTGCATGTTCTCTCCGTGTGGACGTGCATCGAGTCTTTGGCTGCCATACATTTCCACGTCACTTGAGCTATGTGGCCAGGTCGCTTCTGAAAAAAGAGCTATACAGCTCAGTGGGCCTTACCTGAAGATAAAAAAATGTATAACCAGCCTCGCAGCTTAAAATACAGAAAAAGATATTGCCACCCAGAGGCAGCCACATTCCACAATACTCACACACCCAACACGCAGAGGTTAGAAATTTTGATTGTTTAATTCGTTCATCTCGGACAAATGCCGGAATTATGACCAAAATCATATCGCCACACTAACTGTTCAAGCCTGGCGAATCACTTCACCTCATCACAAAGCTCCACCGAGCGCAGCTACTTCTACGAGAGCTCGTCAACGCTTTGTTCTCAATCTTACTCAATTTCTAGAGGTCCCACTGGCACAACGCCTCGCTCAATCTGGCGTGACAGGCACACACTCAAAACTGTTCTCAAAATTTATTTCAATTTGATTCTGGGTTTTCTGTGTCCCCCCCCACCACACACCCCCACCCCCCCCCCCAATCACGTTCAGCTCAAACACAGCTCTGCTTCCAGGCACGTACATGAACGAAAAATGGAGTATAAAGTTAAATGCTTTGAGCAACAAAAAAATCAGCGCAAGAGCCACAGTGTGTTTAGCAAACAAATAACAGTGTTCAGACCAGTAAATTACATTGCCTAACTGCAGGCGCCACCAGGCTATTCCTAAAAAAATTACAGCATTATTCAATCGACAAAATAAATGAAATTGGAATGAGCAGTTCTTATAGTATTCTATGGAAGAGCAGCACCGGTACCAAGTGTAGTGACAAAACTTTGAGTGAAAAAGTTTTCTTTTATATGGCCAATTTAACAATGGTTCACAACCCAAAAAAGCTGTTATTATAAAAATTCAAAAAACCTAGTTTTGCAACCACAGGTGATACCAACTGGTTAATTATCTGGTCTGCATCCATGGATTACACACACGTATTATCATCGAGTGCTTTGTGTTGGCAGAATACATTAAAACTGTGCTAAATCCTTTACAACGCACATACCATCAGTCCAGAGGCCAAAATCAGTTCTCTTATTCATCAAAACATTGAATGTCACAAGACTTCTGAATTTCCACAAAACCAATTTCTTTGTATGGTCAAGATGAGTATATTGTGAGATAAGCTTTTCAAATAAGATGCTCCCATTTATCACTTTGATTGTCCATACAGAAAAATAGGTACCACTTAATGTTTCGCGAACTCCCGACATCTGACCTGGCCAATGGACTACGTTTGTCATTAAGTTCCAAAGCGCCGCATTATCACCAGAAGCAATGCCTCTCCACAATAAAGGCCGATATCGTGACTCTCAAAACATCCACGGGTTGTGCATGTGCGTTCACTCTCCAGCCACAGCTGTCGCATGCCAGATGATTTCCCCAAAGCACGGCCATAAACAAAACGTGCGTCAAGACCGATCTTGGCAGCTGTGCAGTATGAAAATTGTGTTCACGGTGCTCAAGAAGTCAATGCAATAGCCTGAAGGTTTTAGCTGAACAACTTTCACCCCTAACAAAAGTAGCTGCAAATTCCTGCAAGTGTCCACGCTCACGGAATCACGTAATTGAGTAGAGGCTGGGTCCGAACTCGACATGCATGCCAGTGCATTGCCACCTCATGGCTTGGGAAAACCCTCAACCCACGAGATAATAATAATAGAAGTGCCCCTCTTCTCATGCTTTGCTCACCGAGTAACAAATTCAACCCTGACAAATTGTATTTGGTGGTTAATAGCTGTGTGGGGTGGGTAGCTAATTGTTGACATTTAAGAGTACAAAAAACCCTTGCACACACACAGCCAATGAGGATGACTTTCACTGCAGTGGAGAGGGTGCTTTTGCGGATTTTGACCAGCCCTGCGACACAAGCCGAGACAATCGCAGCTGGGAAAAGCGTGTGGCTGTGTAAACCACCTACCGCCCGACCGGACGATAAAAAAGCACATTGTTCTAGTTCGTGTGCGTGTTAGTTCGAAATTTCTCATTACACAAGGAGTTGAACACTTACTGCATGTCGTGAGTTAATAAAGAAAATTACAAATGCCTTCCCAAAGGACCCCTCCTCCCCCCTCCTTCGGTCGTGGCTAATGCAAACGTCTACAAACTCGTTTCGGCCTCAACGACAACAATAATTAGGTGGTTTAACTTTAAAACAAATGGAAAATTCACCAGCTAGGAGAATGTACTTTTGATATTAAAAAAATATACAACACCATAACAAAAAGCCCCAGAAAAGAAAGATGCGGGGAGGAAGGAGGTGGCGGTCGCCTCCTCTTCATCCCTGGCGGCACGCACCCCCCTGCCCGGCCCCGCATCCTCCCAGCGTGGGGGCCTCGTCCGCTGGTGCTCGCAGGCACGGGCGTCCGTGCAGCTTTCGGGACACCTGTTCAGGCCGGGAGGCTCAGCTTCTTGCCTTTCAGGACTGCGGGCGAGAATAACACAAAGGTAAACCACCACCACACATTTAACCGTACACAACGTCGGATGAAGCGCCACGGTGGCGATATGTTAATTACCTCGCCTGGTATACAGGTCCTGGGTTAAATCCTGACCCTGACACCTGTATATGTGGAGTTTGCATGTTCTTTCTCTCTCCCCCCGTGGTCGTGGATTTTTCTCCGGGTTCTCCAGTTATTCCCTCCACATTTTGAAACATGAGTTTAAGAGTATTTGGCTACTATAAATTTCCACACGATAAGCCACTTCATTGGGATATCAAATTGTGGCCAGGTCGCTTCTGAAAGAGAGCTATATCATTCAGTGGGCCGTACCTCGTAAAATATAAAAAGTTGAATAGATTTACAAACGCTTATCGCGGCCGGCACGGCACACGATAGAGTGGGTGACGTGTTTAACGTGACGCCTGGACCCTTTGGATGTTTAGGACTGATGTTTAAACTAAGTAGGTACAGCCCAGAACCGGTTCAAATATCAAGCACCACTGACATCTATGGCTGGGAAGTGAACCTTGTGTTGACGATATCACTGCGCATTGCAAGAATCACGATGCCACCACTTCCCATGCAAGCGCGAACACACGTACAACACACATACAATAAACATACTCATGCGGAAAGCTTGGAGATTATCCCTTTCAGATGACCAACGGGTTAGCGCAAGTCAAAAAATCATTGTCAAATAGAACTGAAGACAATTTCGTAAATTTTCCTTTTTTAAATCTTCCTGATATTGCATTACACGGCACAGCATACATAAAACCAAACTGAAACTTAAGTTTTGGGTAATTTTCATACAAATGCACAAACTATTATGCAAACTTAGGCAGTATGCATCAACTAGCGCTGTACATTTTAACTGCAATGTTCACGAAACGGAGAAAAGTTCTGAAATTCAAACTTCTTTAAAAATGTATATTTTCATTTCAAGACAAAACTGTAGAGAAGCGTACTCTTGTAGAGAAGCGGTACATTGCGTATTGTTACGCATTACATTGGGAAGGTGGGACACCAAGGGGGCGAGAGAATGTTCAAAACCCTACCCCCCCCATGGCTCTCAAAGTTCACTTGAGCATAAGGCATCCATGAGACATGCAATGATGCCAGGTTCCAGGGGAAAACATTTTATTCAATTACCGGCTATATCTCGTCTCATTTTTATCACCTTGTTTGTATTGTGTGTTGTTTTTTCTTGTCTCATTTGCAGCTTCACCCACAATGTAATAATAGCTGACAACTTGCATATAGGCAGCTGCATTCACACAGACAAGATTTAATGCGTGTATGGCGAGCGAAGGAATCGAGTTCGATAGATGAATTGATGGGGATCGTTACGAGGGTTGTTGACCGAGTAGTGTCATTGCTATAATCAATTAAAGGGTCCATTATCAATTCCAAAAGTCATTTAAATATTAGTCATATATGGTTTACTTTCTGGAGCGATCGAACAGATATGGATGCCAGAAAGTTAAAACGCAACTGGTCATTTGGCAACCCATGAAAAATACATTTTGCTGGTTGAAAGCCTCACCAAACCATGTTGGTCATGTGGCGTGTTTAACCATACTTCACGACTCTGGTCAGTGCAGGTTGGTGAAGGTTGGTAAACCAATCATACATTTTTCATCATTATTTGCGTGAAATTATCAATGTTAGCCACTGGGGAGTGACGAGCTTTTTTCATTCCTGTTGCTTGTGGCCTACTGTACCGTTCCGTGGTCATGTGCACGAATGCCTATTTTGAGGATGATATTGGCACGTAAAATAAAGATTGATGAATTGCTAATCGTTCCAAGTCTGGCGATTGCTCATGTTGCGCCTCCCACCCCACACCTTTAGTGATGTACAGGTAAAAGAAGTCGCAGTAGAGGATGGTCTGCACCAGGCCGGCCACGATGGCGATCAGGTCGAAGAAGCCCTCGGCAAAGTAGCGCCAGATCCAGTTGAAGAGGTAGAGGGTGCGGTAGACGCCCAGCGCAAAAAGGTAGTGGCTGGTGATGGTCTCCGCCTCCCCCGTCTTGCTCACCATGAAGAGCTGGGGCAGGATGGCCACCGACTCCAAGTATATGGAGAAGGTCCACAGGATCTGGGGGCAGTGGTACACAATGAGTAGGGTACACAATTGAGTGTGCTACACGTGGGATGTAATGACAGGAGCTTGGTGAACGCCACACGTGGTACACAAGGTATTTGGTATATACAATGGGGGGTGGACAGAATGTATTTTACGAAAAGTTGTATTTAGCACTCAATAGTTATGCAAACAGAGTTTGGTATACAACGGGTTTAGATTACAATTATTTTGGCACACAAGATAAAACAGTTTAACACGTAGGTTTTAACACGTAAGATTCAACACACAAAGTCCGTGCATGGTACACAAAGGGTTTCTTATAATCCTCAGAGTGAATCGATATAAGCATGTGTGCAGACTCTCCCCTTGACAGTAAAATGAGCAACGGAACCACAAATAGGCCTCGGAAAGGTAAGGTAAAAACAACGAGCCTATCTTTACCCTACCTGTTACCCTTACCCCATACAAATTACCCGATTACAGAGTAATTACTGGGGTACTACACATGAACAAGGTTTATAACAGGTAAATGCTAGGTAGAGCGTTTCATCTATCTTCTATCTACATATATAAAAAGGAAATGTGTGAATATGTGTGTCATTTCGAAATGTTTAGCATACTTTCCAACATGCAACAAACTTGAAATTTGGCATGTGGGTAGCTTCCAGATTGTACACAATGCAAAAAGTATAAAAATAGACTTTTGTATTTTGGGGGGGGGGGGGGGGGGGGGGCGCAGTAATGGATATACAGTAAAACCTTGGATTGCGAGCATAATTCGTTCCGGAAACGTGTTTGTAATCCAAAGCACTCGTATATCAAAGCACTCGTATATCAGTTGTGATCACGTGACGCTCGGCAGACAAAGCGTATACGTACTACTCGTATTGCAAGACCTCGTTCGTTTATCAAATTAATATTTATTTTAAAATTTTGCTCGTCTTGCAAAACACTCGCAGACCAAGTTACTAGCAATTCAAGGTTTTATTGTATTTTGCACGGCACGTGAGTGGTGCGTGCTGACGTCACGCATCCCCCCCCCACCCCCCGCGTAGGCCATGTATTAATCCAAGACAAGAATCCAAGTCTCGGGCAAAGCCGGGTAGTAAAGCTAGTACAGAATACTCTCGATGATTCCAATTTTCAATGGAGGCCACGGACTGCGCCACGGAGCTTTTAGCGAGCGGTAAACCAGGTATTTACCGGGTAATTCTTCCGCGCTATCTTTACCCTACCCTTTACCTTACCCCTTGGCATGTAGACACCTTTACCCTTTACCCGGTAAAAAGGGTAAATTACCTTACCTTGCCGAGGCCTAACCACAAAGCTTTCCGCACCACACAAGAATTGTCAATTCAAGGCATCCCCAAGTCACCCCTGCTGCCCTCTGCTGGTGACTACATATATAGCACGCCGATTGTTACAAAGCAATCTCTTCCAAAGGTGATTTCTAGACAGCAAAAGGTATGCTCGCCCTTTGCGGTCTAGAAATCTTCTTGTGTGTGTATAATTACGCATCATTGTTTCCAGCCTGCACGCAACTTTCCATCCCTCGAGTTTCTCACCATTCCTAGGTCTTAAAATATTTCCCCTTGCCCAAACAAGAATTGGGCCGATGCTCATCTTCATTTGTGATGCCTTGGGGTAAGTGGCAATTCCATTTCCTTTGGTGGGAGAAAAGTCTCTCCCCATACCTCGCCTGTTATGCAGGGGGTTGTGGGTTAGAATCCGACCCGGACGCCTGTATATTTGGAGTTTGTATGTTATCACCCCGTGGTTGCATGCATTTTTCTCCCAGTAGTCCAGTTTTTCCCTCCACATTTAGAATCAAAGTCATGTGTTTAAGAGTATTTGGCTGTGTTAAATTTCTACTTTATAAGTCACTTCACTGAGCTATCGTTTGTGGCTAAGTCGCTTCTGAAAAAGAGCTACATACAGCTCAGTGGGCCTTACCTGGAAAAACATAAAAATTGTTTAGTTTAAGAGTGTGAGGAAGGAAGAGTGAAAATCAAATCGGAGTTAACCGTGTTCACCAGGCCATTGCAGATGCACCCAGAGCTCGGTGGTCAAGGGGGAGCCCGAGGATCAGACAGATGGGGGTGATAGGAATGTAAGAGTGGACAAATGTAGTTTGGCATCACTTTGAAACAGCTGCAGGATTTAGCAGAACGGAGCCATGACAAAGTGCAGTGGCATCGGTGGTATTGTCAATGGTGACCTCCTTAATTTGACCAGTTAATACATGCAAAACATTAATTTTCCTTGAGTCTAAACACATTTGTTTTGATAAACAGGTATTGTCGTTGAAAGAGGTATGTGTACGTTTGTTTGTCAAGACAGAGCACTTATTTAATTCAACCTTGCTTCAGGCAATTTAACGACCACAGAGAAACCTAAAGCCAAGGCAAACACTACAAAGCAAACGAGCAAACTCATACATGGAAAACAAACATGCCAAACACGTAATGCTCCACAAGTTACAGGTGCTTAAACATAAAAAACCTTTACTCCATTAATACAGTTAAGAATGCTCACATTAATAAGTTAATTGTGGAATAAAAAAAACTTAAAAGGTGGCTAGACTGTGATTGCTCTTGATGAATAATTAATTTTAAAACCTGACTGATAATGATTGAAAACGTCATTTAGACATTCTCTTTTGCACTTAACCATTACATGTGAACAGGTCAAACAGTGTAACAGGAACAACTAAAGACACGCTCAGTTTCAGGACAGCAGTGGCGTGTGCCACTGACTTCAATGTTCCCGTCTTGCGAGCAGACTCACAAGCTTCGTGCTCTTCAGTGATGGTGACAACGTTCTGGGCCACCCACCACTTACAAAATGATGGATCACCCTGCTCCAGCAACTAAGGCCTCGGGGCCGTATTCTTAGTCACAGCTCTGCTGCTGAGTTGGTCTCTTACCATGGCTCAACGCAGACTAGAGCTGCTCAGTTGCTTTCACAGAAGCAAGAGCAGCTCAGCCATGGCTAGGTTCATTTCATTGAAATACTGTGCATGGTCATGTTCACTTGACTCGAACATCGACAAAATGCCATCATCTTTCGCCATGATCCAATAAACCACGAATTGCTTTTTTGGATGTTGAAATGCAACTGTCTTTCGGCGCTTACAAATTAAAATTGTACTGCATTGTAAGTGAACACGAACAGCCACTGTGTGACCGTGCATTGCCAGCCGAGTTGTGAAAGCAGTTCCGTTGAAACAGGCCGCCACCGTTTGCGATCTACTGTGAGCCCTGGCTGGATGGCATGCGAATCGTACGCACGCGGTGTCTGTGTGCCATTACCTCCACTACCGAGTAGTCATGGTTGACCACCAGGGATAGCAGTGCCACGGGCAGCACCAGGAACTCCACGCGGAATGTATCGTGGTTGCTGTCGTACGTTGCCTTAAACTTGGAGTAGATCATCCACACCGTCGCGTAGGAGCAGCCTATGTAAATTACCTGCTCGCATCACACGGCAAGTGAACATTTTTGGTGTTACTTTCAATAAAATGTGTTAATTGAATTTACCTACCTATCTCTTGGCCTGTAAAAATATTGAGGCACCAATATATGTCCATGAATCTTTATCAAAGCAGTCTCGAATGTGAAGTTTCCACGGTGTTGGTAATATTAAATATGATTTGAAGCTTTCGTGACTGCAGGAATTACTCTTTTGTTCTTTCTGTAAAGTCACGTGTAGAAAGAAAATTAATTAAATAATAGAGTACGACGTTTCGATTGCTACACAAGTAACCGTCATCAGGTCGAACTAAATTTGAGAGAGAGACAAAACACAGACACGGAGACACACCACACTGGTTAGCACTAGTTGGTGAAGTGGGATCTAAGACTAGTTCAGATATCACTTACCACAGATGTTGGTTGTGGCCAGGAATCTAACACTGGTATCCAGATTCATAGCGCGGCATGCTAGCCATTGCACTGCCACTTCAGCTCCAGCATTCATTATATTATTTTGTTGACCGTCTTTTGCTATGATCTAGCATTTATGATATTGCTACAAAATAGAAGCTATGTCTGACAAGAAAAAACCCCGTAAGATGTCCCCTGGACAAGACACTAAACACAAGTTGCATGACATTAAGCGTAAAAAACTATCAGTTCACCCACATAAAATGCGCCAAGATAAAGTAATAAAACATAAAAGTACTCAAACACCGTGAAAGAATGTGACGTGGAACTGAACTGCAGGTATACGCTCGGGGTGTGCACAGATGCTGCTGGGACAAACGGTGCCATTTCAATAGTAGTACCGATGGTTTGCTCGTTTATTTAGCGATGTCTGCAATGTGACATTTCTATATACTGTTAATATGTCTACTATTGTAAGTTTCTCATTTTAAAAAATGCGTCTTGGGCGGCGCTAGTCTAGATGTGTGTGTGTTAATTTATTGACATCAGAGGCCTGTGGTAAAGCGAGACCCGGGGGGCAGGGAGGGAGGTGGCACAGTGGGAAGAGCTAGCGTGGAGAGGGGACCCACCTTCATGGTAGTGTTGTAGAGCGAAATGTAGTTGGTCAGCAGGTCCAGGTACCGGGTTGTGAACACCAGGGCAAATAGGATCTGGCTCTTGCCCGATATACCTAGACACAACACACACACGCACTCAAATGTTTGCATAAGGGTATACCGACTGCCCATGGCCTCCATAGATGTGGAATATAAAACAATGAAAAAAGTTGGAATGACGGACATAGCTAGAGACTGAACGTTACACTATAGTACAAATCTATTTTTACATTGACCAATGAACAGTTTTTTTCCCCATTAACATACACTTAGTATCAAATACTAAAATAAGAATACATATAACACAAAGGATACCAATTCATTACAGCTCCTTTAATGTACCTCTAACTGGCCAATTGCTCCTCTGAAGGTGTCATCGCCATACATATTAGCCTGCTATATATTTTATCGTCTAGTTTTGAAAAGGCAATTTTTTTACAATTGTCTCCAAACTTTCGTGAGTTCACTGCTCCTTTAATTTCAGGTCGGGCTCTTATTTTCTGTGTTCATTTGTTCTCCTTCCCCCGCGCCTTCTATTAGCTACTACGCACGGTGCGAAATAAGTTAAAACATACGTACATATATACAAAGGCCGTGCCGAGCCCGTGTTAGCAGGGGCGGCTCCTGGCGTCATTAAGACTCCAAAGGACCCTATTGCTATGGACACTGACGACCAGGGCAGACTCACTATCGCATTCACCGACACCGGCCTTGTTTAATCCGCCTCGAAGCAGGCGAGTTAAACATCCCGGTGGAGAGTCGTCTCAGAATCACCGTCACTTCGCGCATTACATTATCAAGCGCCACTCTGTGATAGTCCAACAGTTGTCATCCGATGGACAATCTGGTCCCCCGTCATACGCATGAGGAATGTCCCACCGGCCGAGCGCTCCTTAAAAGTTGTTAGCAATTGAGGCATCCAACGCACGGACGGAGACCAGACCTCACAATACTATTAACTCACCGTAATCCACTCCCCATTACAATGGTGAGCGCTTAAACAATTCGCATAATGGGAGACATTATTTGAATGACAGCGTCTCTCGTGCGGAAAACACCGGGCAGCCTCCCACGCCGGGCGTGGCGGACGGACGACGCGGTGTTTGGGAGGCAATACAAGTTTGTGGATCTAAGCAGCGTTGCAACAAAGTCGCCCACACCACCTCTGCGTTACGGGGTGGGCCAGGAGATGGATGGGACGGCGCAGCGAACCCCTTTGACGAGGTCGCCCGCCCCACCGTGCTCCCAATGCCCCACCACAGGAAGCGGTATTAACGAAACGAAACGAGAATCGGCCGCGCGGTAGCGCAGTGACACATCACAGCGATGCGGGAGCATCTTGAGACTCGGGCAAAATAGATGCGGGGCGAAAACAATTAAAAATTGATCATCACCAGGCCCCGTGGCATCCGAGTCCCAGTTCACGGTGGGCCGCCACCGCCGCAACCGCTTCCCCCGCGGGCAACCGGGCTTGCACACCGCGCGCGACCCTCACCTGCGCACGACCTCGTCTTCCATATTTTGAGGAGGAGGATGATGATGGCGAGGAGGTGGGAGAGGTCTCCCGCCAGGCGGAACACGTTCATGGCTCACTCGACACGGCCGCCTCGGCGCTCTTCCCGGCTCCCGCGATATCGCGCGCAAGATGGCGGTCGCCGACGTGGCCCCGGTGACGTCACCCGCGCGGGAGAGCCCCGCCCCTTCCGCCGCCCCCCCCCTCCCACCACCACATCCATCCCGCCGACCAATTGGAGCGGAGCAACGTGTGGGGGGCGGGGGGGAGGGGCAACGTGAGACGTCAACGTGTTCTGTGTTTACTCGATTATAAGACGCACAGGTGCCCCACGCTTTAAGTGAAAGCAAAAGTTGGGGGGGGGGGGGGGGGGGGTGCGCGTCTTATAATCCGGTGGCTGTGTATGTGAGAGTGATCAGATTTGCAGCCACGTTACACCGGGCGCAAGTTTTATTTTTTTAATGGTGGGGTCTTTCCGGAGCGTCTTCAAGCGGATCGAGTCTACCGGTTTTTTTCGGGGTTTATAAGACGCTCCTGAAAATAAGACGCACCCACCCCCAGCCTCGTGCCCAGTGCAAGTACTAGTGACACAAATATAATCTGCCGCTGTGAAGAGCTTCGGTTTGGGTGAATATCCTCGCCCAACTCCTCTTCTGATGAAATTTTTGTCATCTTTTGTTATGGCTACGATCTTCAACAAGGGCTGGAAAAGCAACACACATACACAGTGTTCTTGAATCATTTGGTGACCCACCATCGTGGCAATTCATCAAATCGTACGGGGGCGGGGGGTTAATCGTAATATGCCTCTTCGTAATTAATTAATAAAAACGCAATTGATCCATAATAGAGGTTTTTGGGTTAGATCGCGTAAATATATGTGTCGTTAAAACCCGCCACCACCCGACACAGCCAACTAGTAAGGGTTGTCACGTAAACAGAACATACCAATTCGTTACTAGTACAGCACACCGGTGTGTTGGAGAGCCAACCCACAACATTTATAATCTGAGTATGACGTTTCGCCATTAGTTACAACTAGCTTAATCAGGCGACAGCCAAACACAATTTAACCCAGTCAAGCATCTGTGTTATTGGCCACATCCTGCTGATGTGGCTTCAAAAGGAGTTTGGGCTTTTAAACTAAATTTTGCTGAACGACAATTAGCCCAAAAGATCCCACAGTTTGGTTTAGTTTTTATTATGGCACGGGTAAAACCCATTGGGCAATACATGCTCATTTTTGACCTGGTTACGGTAAAAAAAACTGAGCAAAACAGAAACATAATGGGCCTTCATCAAGCAGTGGATAGACCATGGCTGGGAACGATTAATCAATCCACCGACCAGTGCAGTGACTTCACAGCCCTCCACATCAGCTGTATGGCCGTGACGTCATCGTTCATTGTCCAGCTGTCCCGTTGATCGTGCGCGCGAGGCCAATGGGAGGGCGACGATTTTTTTCCTGGATGAGCGACCAATGACAATTCGGCGCTGGTTTACGTGAAGGCGTGGTCTAAGTGAGAGGCGGGGTTTGAGTAGGGGAGGGGGGCGAGGGGGGTGAGGGACTGTGTGAGGGGCGGGGCTCGTGGACCCACACTTGACACGTGGCCACGTGGGGAGGACAGGTCCGGTTTCGTGGCTCAAACTTTTGAGTGGAGCTTTGTTTTAAATTGGAAGTGTTATTTGTGTGCGTATGTATTTGTTTGAATGTAACGTGGCAGTTTTAAAGTGACTCACCTTTTCATGCCAAACGGTAACCTTTTTTAACCAAGCGAAAGCCCAATGGGGCCAAAGAGACACTCAAGCCTTCATTTTATATCAACCTTCACCCGAACATACATTACAAAATGATCATAATTGTCATCTATAATCTATCCTCTGCTGCATGAAGGTCTCTAAACAAGCCCTAATGACCCCCAAATCTCTACAATGTTTACTATTTGTAGATTGTCATGACGCACCAATAAACAGATCGACCTTTGCTGTATCAGTCACAACGTCACCCACCCAGTGGCGCTGTGACTAGAGTGCGCGACTCTCAATGGGAAGGACATGAGTTCGAGTGCTGGTCTGAGGGATCGAAGGAGCCCATCACGCATTTGACATACGTCTTTGTTTACATATTCGTACAATCGTTATCCTATATCTGGAAAACAAGAGGTTGTGGGTTTGATCACGACCCTCACATCTGTATATTTGGAGTCTGCATGTTCTCCCCCGTGGTCGTGCGAATTTTCCTATGGCTCCTCAGGTTTTCCCCTCCACATTTCAGAATCAATGTGCGTTTAGAGTATTTGGTTGCAATAAATGTCCACATGATAAGCCATTTTGTTGAGCTGTCATTTGTGGCCGGGTCACTTTTTAAAAAGAGCTATATAGCTCAGTGGGCCTTACCTGGTAAAATACAAATATTTTAGTAGCTTCATTGTAATATCATTAACCTGTTTACGTGACAACCCTTACTAGTTGGCTGTGTCGGGTGGTGGCGGGTTTTAACGAAACATTTATATATTTACGCGATCTAACCCAAAAAAACCTAGATTATGGAACCTGAAGGTAGTCTGTCGGAGCCGACTTACGTCATATATTTCTTGTTAACAATGATTTACGTTCGCATCATATTTTCCATTTATCATGTTACACGGTTGTTTTTGCACTGATTTCTATTTGCTTTCATTAGCTGCATTTTGTTTTGCTACCGTCAATTTTTGTCACTCTCGCCGCAAATGAAACAATACCGGTCTCTTGAGTTATAACCTGGTTAAACAAATACGCACACTTGTCGTGACTTGCCTTCCAGGGCGAAATAATGTGAGCATTACAACAGCGGCTCTTCTTTGGTGAGCGCCCGAGCCACGTCACGGGAAAAGGAATTTCCTCCACTGGCTCAAAGGGTCGTTCCGCAGCTCGCCTGCGCAACGAGACGCTGGCTTATGGCTCAATCAGAAACCTCCACGTGGTCTTGCTTCGTCAAACCCAGCCCCAACCTCGGCTCATGACAGTTGGTAGCACCTCCCACGCGGTCGAAATTAAAGACAAGACTCCTTTCTTTTTCTCAAGTATGGCTCGGGCAAGATTTATAATTAATATTTCACTTGCTTACATAAGAAAGTCTCACTGAGTCTCCATACTCTTTTTCAGGACTATATAAACGTATTAAGAAACTAATTTTTATTTTATTTTACCAGGTAACGGCCATTGAGCTATTAGCTTATTTTTCAAAAGCGACCTGGTCACAAATAGTAGCTCAACAAAGTGTCTTATCATGTGGACATTTGCAGCAGAACATTTTTCTAAATAATCTAAATACATGTTTCTAAACCCATTCGGAACCGGGGGGGAAACGAGAGTAGAACATACAAACTCTACAGATAAAGGCACCAGAGTTAGGAATTAAACTCAAGACATTTTTTTTTGTCGTAAGGCACTAGTGTTCAGAATATGTACTTATATTGGAGGAATCCGATGAGCTATGAAGCTCTTTTTCACAGACGTCCAGTGTTACCACCGCTGCACGATAACTTAATTATTTGGTGACGCTGCGTTGATAGTGCTGAATAAGCACAAATAACCTGAACATATTCGTCAATAATGCTTTGACCTTAAAAGGAAAAACACTATAGGCGACGTTTCGGCCAATGGCCCTTCTCCAAAGCCGATGTAGGGCTGCGCCCATCACAATCGCGGACGGTGGGGGAGGCGTGGCTTAATGAACTCTATCCAATCACGCCGCTTGAGGCGGAACCAGAGACGCCCCCATGAGTCGTATTAATATTGCCACACATTTTTAAATTACCAATTTATAAGCTGTCCATCAGGAATTTTTTTCCAAATAAAAATGTATGAGGTTCCACAGTGTATAGTGCAGTCTCCAACTCCTATTCACGCTATCTTCTCTGACCTCTTTATGTGCGATGAAGAAGGGCCATTTCCCGAAACGTCGCATATGATATATATTTTAAATGTGTTTAATTATTTTTGTTCGTGTAGTGAAATATAATTCGTATGTGTAAATCAGTGGCGTGACTAGCATAGGGGCAGGGGTGCCTTTGCCCCCCAACCACCCCCCCTGTTGGTCACAGCTACGAGTTGGGGGCCCCTGAACAACCACCATGGGAGACATCAAATATGGTGGCCCCATCTGAACGATTGCGGCACCCCCCTGAGCTGATAATTGGAGTTACGCCACTAGTATAATGGAATTGAGAGGCTTTATGATAAAGGGATGAAGGATGTGACACCACAACAGGGAGCTGCAGCGATGGGACTCCCGGACTCGTGGTCATAAGGATGTGACACCACAACGGGGAGCTGCAGCGATGGGACTCCCGGACTCGTGGTCCTGAATGTGAACGTTAACGGCACCACTGAGTGGACAGAGCCCCTACAGCTCGTGGGTGTGATGTGGGGTGTGATCGGCAGACAGCCACGATGCTGTCGGTTGGGGCAGTTGACGGATAGATACGAGGCTGTTGGTCAGGGCAGTTGACGGATAACCACAAGGCTGTCGATCGGGGCCGTTGACGGACAGCCATGAGGCTGTCAGTTGGAGCAGTTGACGGACAGCCACGAGGCTGTCGGTTGGGGCAGTTAACGGACAACCAAGAGGCTGTCAGTTGGGGCAGTTGTTGGACAGATACGAGGCTGTCGATCGGGGCAGTTGACGGACAGCCATGAGGCTGTCAGTTGGGGCAGTTGACGGACAGATACGAGGCTGTCAGTTGGGGCAGTTGACGGACAGATACGAGGCTGTCGGTTGGGGCAGTTGACGGACAGCCATGAGGCTGTCAGTTGGGGCAGTTGACGGACAGATACGAAGCTGTCGGTTGGGGCAGTTAACGGACAACCAAGAGGCTGACAGTTGGGGCAGTTGACGGACAGATACGAGGCTGTTGATTGGGGCAGTTGACGGACAGCCACGAGGCTGTCGGTTGGGGCAGTTAACTGACAGATATGAGGCTGTCGGTTGGGGCAATTAAGAGAGTAGCAGAGTAGATATCAAAATTAGTAAAATGGCAGTTTGAGTTCAGTTAAGACTGGAGAGGAGAGGGAGTGTCTGGGTTATGAGATCTCTATATGAAGTTGTAGAATAAGAGGAAGCATACGAGAGAAAGTAAACACGTTACCGATTGTTACAATTGTGGAACAAATATATATGTTTTATTAC